ATTTACCATGCCTTGCTCTGCACTGTGTCTCTGTGTGGAGGGGGCCGTGTTGGTAGAGGCAGGGCTTTGCTTCCTTGTGTCAGAGCCTCCAGTAAGGAGAACAGTGAGCAGCACAGTAATGACCTCACCAAATCTCACTCCAGATCTCCTGGGGCTAGCAGCCAGCAGCTACTTAGACCTCACACTGTTGATATATAGCTATGAAGCTGTAGGCATAGGAGCCTAGGCGCCTTCACATACCAGAAGGCGCTCTGCTATTTTTCCTGGTCCTTGCCCTATTACTGACTTACCATGCCTTGCTCTGCACTGTGTCACTATGCGGAGGCAGCCATGTTGGTAACGGCAGGGTTTTGCTTCCTCATGTGAGAGTTTCAAGCAAGGAGAACAGCAAGCAGCACAGCAATGATCTCACTCCTTCTGGGGCTAGCAGCCAGCAGCAGCTCATTAGACCTCACACTGTTGATATATAGCTATGAAGCTGTAGGCATAGGAGCCTAGGCGCCTTCACATACCAGAAGGCGCTCTGCTATTTTTCCTGGTCCTTGCCTTATTACTGACTAACCATGCCTTGCTCTGCACTGTGTCTCTATGTGGAGGCAGCCATGTTGGTAACGGCAGGGCTTTGCTTCCTCATGTGAGAGCCTCAAGCAAGGAGAACAGCAAGCAGCACAGCAATGATCTCACTCCTTCTGGGGCTAGCAGCCAGCAGCAGCTCATTAGACCTCACACTGTTAATATATACAGTAGCTTTGAAGCTGTAGGCATAGGAGCCTAGGCACCTTCACATACCAGGAAGCACTCTGCTATTTTTCAAGACAAGGGGTACATATTACAGGGTATTGTTCATGAATGATCAGCATTTTTAGATGTTCAGTATATCATAGCAAATCTTCATTTTCCGAGTTCAGGTCTAATGTAACCAATTTTCTGCTTTTTCATCTACAATGGCATTTACTACAGAACAATCGGCATCCGCAAAGCATAGCTAAATGCTTGAAATGTCATCTGTAGATGCGTCAACTATTAGAATGCATCGTTGTAAATGGGATTAGAAGCTCTTTTCCATAAAGTTTTATTCTTATTAAACTTTTCCCCTCTCCTGGCACCGGCAACATCATAAGATGTCCCGCAGATGCTCTGATAAACTCCACCAGTAAAATGTCATTTGGAAAAGAAATATATGGGCTTTAATACCCTTTTAATGCCTCTTCCAGCCGCCTGCTCCAAGTGTAATTGTAGCATCTTCCCTCCCATCACAAATAAAGAAATATGATTATCACAGGGCTGTACAATGTTACCAATAACGCGCTTTTATTCGACGAAAACCTTCTGGGAACATAAAATGATTCACACGTGGAACTTTATGGCTCGCGAAGTGTCCCAGAGTGAGTGCTACTGCTTAGCCAGTACATAATCTGAAAGAGAATATAAAACAAATGTGCTTTCTAAGCTCGGGAAACAATAAAGACTATAAAAGGCTAAATGATACAGCAAATAAAGTCTGAGGAATGGAAAAAATTCTAATTGTTCTGATGGCCGCAATTGATCCGTGCAGAATCAGAAGGTTAAGAATATTCCGGGAAAGGAGAAGAAAAAAAAAAAAGGATTCGACGTTCAGACCACGGACGCATGACAAATGAAAATTGTGTCACTGTTTGCGCTGCACGCTTGCATGAGAACTGGGAAATTTCTTATTAGGGGAAACAGCCGGGTGAGGAACACAAATTATTTTTAGGTAATGGTTTTTCCCGGGAAGAAGAGAGTTTAAAACTCCTCCAACCGAGAACTCTGCAAATAAGCAACCCCTGGGATTTCCGGATGGGAAGGCGCTGTATTCTAAAAGTATAAATAGCTGGTAGAAACGTCGAGCGGTTCGTCCAGAGTTTACTGTATGCATTTTTTGTATGTGTGGCTATGGCAGGACTAGGCTGTGTCCAATGTCCGAGCTTTTGTTCTGGTGAGTTAGCTCATCTAGGGTCAGTCCATCCTAGACTTCATTGTAACAGATACAACAATGAGCTTAAAGTGAACACAGACGTGGTTCAAAATGTACCTTTCTGATATCAAATGAGCTTTAACGAACTCTGGGGATTTTTTTTATTGACCCTACTGCATTGTAAGGGTTAAGTGTTCATTTTGTTATCTTCCTCCCTAGACCGAGCACTCATTGGTCACCTGACCGCACCGACCAATGAGAAGCGCTTCTTAGGAAGGTATTTTGTCGCAAAGTAACATCGATGCATCTGTCATTGATGGAACAGGGGAACTGATCAGCTACGAGAATGAATTGAAGGACTTGTTTTTGCTGTAAGTTTGAGGGGAAAAAATCCACACTAAGGGGGCCAACCTCAATGAAAAGAGGCAGGCAGCATAACCTTAAATACAAGTATGTTTGTGCTGTTCAACAGCTGTATAAACATGACACAATGCATAGCCACAGTTAATATTCATATTACTGTGAAGTGGGAATTTCATTTTCCTTAAGCCATTTGCTCATTGGCATTAGTAGATGGTTATTATACTGCCATTTTGTGGTCGTTTTGGTTATTGCACCACATTTTCTGTGTTCCCTCCCATTTATGATGTATTTCCCATTCTTCATGAGGCAGTCGTTTCTGGTGTCATGGCTGACTGTAATTTGGCCACATGTATATGCTTGCTTGGAAACATTACCATCTCTGACCTTCAAATACCACCCGTTCATTCATCTGCTGTATCCGGTTGTCTGCTGTAACCCTTCTGCACACAATAAAGCTCCTCATGGATGAAAATGTATTAGGTGTGTTCCGTTATCTCATAAGCTCCTCGCAGATGAAAAGGTTTTTGGTGTGTTCCGTTATCTCATAAGCTCCTCGTGGATGAAAAGGTATTTGGTGTGTTCCATTATGTGATAAGGATTGTCCGCAGTGATTATATCTGCTTATACAGGCCAGGCCTCAGCAAGGGACAAATCGCTAATACAACAATCTGAGTCAGAATATGTTTATCATTCATAGCGGTGTATAGCCAACACATTTCAGGAAATGATCATGTCCACTTCATCAAGTAAGAGGAGAGGTGGGATCCCCCCCCCCCCCCCCCCCCTCTGGAAATCACAGAGCTCTATTGACTTGTAACCTTTGGTCATTTCTTCACACAATTAGGAAATATATCAGCATCCAACGGATAGAAAAAGTGTTATAATTCTGATTATTCCATTATGCTTCCTGACTTTACTCTATACGGACTACCCCAGTACACGCAGCTAATTGGAATTCACAACATTCTTGCAACTTTTTATATTGTGTGATGTGGCTCGGCAGATTGAAATCAGAAACAGTGACATAATTAGGCATTAAGTTTTAATTAAGGAAATGTTCAACCCAACTGCCACTTGAGCTTTCAATTTAGAAATAATTAATTGCCTATATCATGTATATGTAAAAAGTCTAATTCCAGACAGTGGGAGATAATTAACCTCCACCCGGTAATAAGGAACGTATGCAATTAGCACAGGGAAGGTATGCTCTGTTTGCTGGGTGTATTTGTCTTACACAAGCAATTACATACATTGTTCAAGAACAACTCACGGCGATATCAATCGAATCCAATAGGTTGGCAAATCTCAGCGTTTTATAATGAGCTCTTATAGAAGTGTTATAGGGCTTATTATTGCGTCTTTTTCTAACCCCTTAATATCACCTGCTCATAACTGCTAAGCAGTTGCATCACCTATTATTGTAATTAAAGGGTATGTAAACGCTAATAACGACCTTCTTTTATTTGGTCCCTTTGGTCGATTTTGTTATGCCATTTAAAGTGTTTCATTACATCAATTTGATAAGTGCAGAAAAATACCGGTTGATCCTGCCAGAAATCCACTGAGCCAATAACTTCCTGTGCTCTCTGCCTGTGCTGCACTCTTTGCAGTTACATTGTTATCAGCTATTTCTGAGGATTATAGAACTCCTCCCCTCTGTGGAAGAGGAGGAAAAGGGAATGTGTTTTGTAGTCCTGTGCTAGGGTGACGATGCTGCTTCTCCATAGATACTAGGGATGCACTGGTGCCGTTTTTTCCCTATCGAGTACCGATTTTTTTTTTTTTATGATACCGGAAGTCCCATTAAGGAAGTATGGAGAAGCAGCATTGACTCACCACCCGGCTTCCTGATTAGCTGGGAAGTCGTCTTCATGCTCCCTCGTCACCACCGCTTGGCTTCCTGGTTGGCCAACTTCCCGACCAATCAGGAAGCCAGGGGGCAAGTCATTACACGCTGGCTGGCTTCCTGATTTGCCGGAAAGCCGACTCCATGCTCCCTCGTCACTTGGTGACGAGGGAGCATGGAGCCTGCTTCCTGACCTATCAGGAAGCCGGACAGCGAGTCATTAGTCATGACACGCCCCCCGGGTTCCTGATTGGCTGGGAAGCCAGCTCCATGCTCCCTGGTGAAGAGGGAGCATTGAGCTGGTATCCCAACCAATGAAGAAGCCGGACGGCGTGTAATGACTCACCGCCTGGCTTCCTGATACTGGAAGTTCTGGCAACATTGTCTGGCAATAGGGTCTCTTTAAGGCTTTGAGGGTCAGTTGCCATGCAAATATCTCTGAACTGTTGTTCTTTGTGAAAACATGCCAAAACGAATGTTCTTTAATTGTGTTTTTAAGGATTTTCGAATGTTTTACTTAATGTAATATCACATTATGGCTACTAGATGGCGATGAGGAACCTAGAAAATAAATACTTTTTTCCTAAAGGAAGTTCCTTCCCCTCAGCCAACAATCATCATCAGACCTGCCCTCTGGATCTGGCGATTGAGGGTCAATATTCCAATTCTTAGTAAGAATTAATTGATGGACAAGGTTTATTGGCTCATTTACGGATGTGCTTGAGGAACTCTCCTTGGTGGCTGGAGGCAACCAACCAAAGGCAAAACCTCATAGGTTGCTGCTGCGAAATAAGAAGATAGACAACCTATATTAGACAACTTTGTACAAAGGCAGAATGTATGATGTTACAATACCTGTTGAGGTCCCGGTGGATGATGGGGTAGGTCAGGTTGTGGAGGTACTCCATGCCTTTGGCGACATCCACAGCAATAATCAGCTTTGACTGCAGGTCGAGATTTCTGAAATACACATTTTATTCTAAATATATTTGACATACATTGATATCACTTGTGTATTCTACAAAAGCTTTAAAAGAGAACTATGGTGTAACCTTTTTATCCCATAGTTCTCTTAAGGGTCACGGGAGGACATATACTAGCGTCCTCCCGTGACCCAAAGCTCAGTATATCACGAGCTACAGCTCGCTGTATACTAAGACCGCTGCAGCCGGGACGGTCCCCGACATCACTGTTGAGATCCACCCAGCTGCGTGAGTGACAGCGGGCTCTGCCTATTTAAAGGCAGATCCAGCTGTACCTGCCCCTCCCCCGTCCGTTCCTCCAGTCAGCGCTGGAGGATCGGAGAGGGGAGGGGGTTAATCCCTGCGGGGAGCGGTGACTGACAGTCACCATTCTCTGCAGGGAGATGATCAAGAAGTGAGCGAGCGACGGTATGTGTTCGCTCACTTCTCTTCTAGTCATGTGACAAACTTTTGGATTTTCCCATCACTTTTAGTCCTAGTGACAATGGTCATCAGAACAGAGAACGTTAATCTCCCCAGTGGGAACAAAAGACAGCATTAAAAAAAGGGTTCTAACTACCATATTCAAGATGACCTATAATATATAGCATGCAACTATGAGATTATTAATCTGTCTTTTTCTTATGTTTTTATCCACTGGAATATATGAATGCCCAACAAATTCTCCTTTATATGTAGAAATAAAAATCAATACTTTTATTTGTGTGTGGATGATGAGTTTACATATATCATAAATAACCCCATCTTCTTCTACTGCTTGAACCATATGATCCTTTATGGAAGGGCTATGGATATGCTAACAATGAACTATTCCTTCTGAATCCTTAAACAATCTAAATAGTTGTTTTAAACGCTCACAATTACAAAAAAATAGGGTTAGATACATTTTAAGCTCCAATAACAAGATGGATCAGAGGGGAGCACAAATGCTTGTCTGACTAATACAGGTAACAGTGGCCATCTTGTGGTTTCTGATCTTAGGTACATTACGGTTTAGGATGAGTTAAAGGATTAAGTGTAAGGTTTAGAAAAAAAATAATTCTTTAAGGTTGGATTAAGCATTAACTTTAGACATTATAAAGGCAATTAAATATTAAGGATTTATTTTAGTGGTTAACATTAAAGTTTTAGGAGTCGGGAAGGTTAAAGCAAACCTCCACTCTGGCAACCTTATCCTTCAGTCAACAGTTCAGTTATGAAAGATAGAGCATTGGCAGTAGTCATCCACAACTGTCTGTTAGAACATCTGCATATTTTTTTTACAAATTTACAAGCACAATCTTTTTTTTTTGTATGCAAGCCGAAGTCTTTTTCATCCGAAACTCAAACAAATTATATTTTTCTGTACATAAATTACCTTTTTTGCTCATGAAGAAGAGAAAAGAGCGAGCCTCCTGAGACATACTGAGTCACGATAGCGAACTGGCTGGGGTCATCCAGGCAGGCGCCAACAAAGTGGATGACACAAGGGTGGTTGAGCCGACAGAGTATGGAGACCTCCCGGCAGAACATGTCCACATCGGATTTGGAACAGAAAGTGTTGGCTCTGTATCTGACAAGACAAAAATATTATAATATTGTTGGTTTAATGAAGAACAAAACAATATATAGAGGAGAAATCCATATTGTAATTAGAAAAAAATCTTAAATATACCAAAAACATTTAGACTGAGATACGAGGTATTGTTTTATGAACCTCCTCCTGTTTCCACATCCCCTCTATATTGATCATCTTCTCCACCTCTAGCATCCCCTTTGTATTGCGCCTCTTCTCCACCTCCAGCAACCCCCTTGTGTTGCTCCCCCTCTCCACCTTCAGCACCCCCTGTATTGCTCATCTTTTCCACCTCCAGCACCCCCTTCCTGTACTGCTCCTCTTCTCCACCTCCAGCATCCTTCCTGTACTGCTCCTCTTTTTCACCTCCAACACCCCCTCCTCTTGTGCTGCTCCTCTTCTTAACTTCCCACATTCTCCTCTTTTCCAGCTGCAACAATCTCTTCCAGAACCATCCCTCTTCTCCACCTCCAGCATCCCCCTGTGTTGCTCCTCTTCTACACCTTCAGCCATCCCTCTGTATTGCTCCTCTTCTTCAGCTTCAACATTCACCATGCATTGCTGCCCTTCTTCACCTCCATCATCCCCCTGTATTGTTCTTCTCCTGTACCTCCAACATTCCACCTGTGGTGCTCCTTTTCTACCCCTCCAGCATCTGCCCCATATAACATCTTTTGACCCCTAAAGTGCCCCTTGTAATATGTCTGCCAGGGGGAATGTGCCATTCCAACAACAAGCCATTGAGACTGGAAGATTTGCTTGTCAACTTGTGCAGGAACAATGGGAAACATTAAAACTACATTGAAATGTCAGGACCTGTAGGACTGAACACAATTCCAGTGTGTCAACTACAGTAAATAACACAAGTGGCAGAATTGGGGCATTTTTCTTATCCAGTCACATGTTCTAACAGAATATAAATTCTACCCATAGCAACCTAACAGAATTCATCTGTCAGTGATTCAACTGAAATCTGACCACAGTGTGCTTCATTCTAGGGTGTTGGGTCACTGAGCCCAGTTCCACTGTAGTATAAATCAACACAGTTACACATTACACAGTATATTTTATGTATATATGTATATATATTTATTTATTTTTTGTTTACTTTGTCATCAAAAGCAAAAATGAAACAAATGAGCATTATTTTACCTTTTCACAGCCACAATTTTATTACGGCATCTTCCTTTATACACTTTCCCAAATGACCCTGCGAAATATCAAAGAAAGGGTCACAGCTCTGATTATAAATAATTAACAGTACTTCACAGGCTGCAACTCACGACTAATCTCACACCTGATCCAATTATTTCATGAAATTCAATTTCGGACATCTGGAGGTGAAAGTGTGAGGGCAGGCTGGCACGCAGCAGCAGTACGTCTGCTTTTTCTAAAAAAAGAAGGAAAAAAAAAGAACCAAAAAGTTTGATATTTTAAATGAAAACAATAATCAATCCTGTGTTTTATTATTCTGTATATCTGTTGGGCCCTTGTAAAACCTTGAACAACTTGTCCTGTGTATATTATTTAGGATGTAAGTAGCAAACAACATGAAGGTTCTGGTTCAGGACAAATCTTTCAGAAGTTGCGATGTATACCTGGCCACCAGATGATACATGCGTCTGGTCCTATGTGGCGGCCTAGCCATGTTACTTTAGTTTTAAAGGAGAACTATGGGGTTAAGGCTTTTCCCCATAGTTCTCCTTAGGGTAACGGGAGGACACAAACTAGCGTCCTCCCGTCACCCTGAACTCAGTATAGCTCGCGGTATACTGAAACGCCACAGTACACCGCAAGCTACTGCTCGCGGTATACTGAGACGCCACAGTACACCGCAAGCTACTGCTCGCGCTATACTGAGACGCCGCAGCTGAAGCGGATCCTGACAATTATGTCTGGATCCGCCCAGCTGCGTGAGTGACAGCTGGCTCTGCCTTTCTAGAGGGAGAGCCAGCTGTACCCGCCTCCTCCCCGTCCGATCCGCCAGTCAGCGCTGGCGGATCGGAGCGGGGAGGGGGGATTCCTGCCCCTCCCCTGTCACGGCAGAGAGCTGTGAGAGGATCGAGAGGTGAGTGAACGCCGGTATGTGTTCGCTCACGTCCCAATCTACTGAGCCGACCTGTGACAGTCTCATTGTCACAGGTCGGCTAGAACTATGAGGTGAGTGAAAAGCACTCACCTCATAGTTCTCCTTTAATAAATGTTCTTTTGGCACTGTGATTCATGGTGGCAGGGCTGTCTCTATGGTATTCACCACCGGAGGCGATATAGTTCTGTGGGGGTGGCGTTGGGTATTGACATTGAACACTTGTCATGCAAGGGGGGGAGCAGTTGTACAGGACGCTGGACTGGGCTGTCAGTGGCTCTGACATCACTGGTTGCCGGGAGCTCGGCGGAACACAAGCCAGAACGCCCCACTCAGCTCTTGGCAACTGGTGACATCAGTGAGCTGGGCAGGATGCCAGACAGAGCATCACAGGTTGCTAAGAGCAGTGAGTAAAGCCAAAGTTCAGTCAAAGTTGAGACAAAAGTGTTTTTTTGTTTTTTTTGGCAGGACTAGATGAGCAGTAACAGTAGTCAGGAAAAGTGTGGCCACAGATAAGCAATGGATTGACATCAGTTGGGCAGATACAGTACTAGAGGTACAAGACAAAAAGCAGCGAGATAGAAATCCAATAGTTGATGTCAGGGAGTCAGTCAACCAAGTATTGGAACATAATAACAAGACAAAAGTGGACATTATGGTAAAGTCAAGGCAGGCCAAGCAAAGTTGGCCAAGAAGACTGATGGTGGAAAGTTCTGAATGTACTCTAAAAGAAGAGAGACTTGAGGGTAACCTTTCAAAAATACTTTCATTCATCTATCTGGATGAGTAAATGTTTTTACTCTGGAGGGCACTCAGAGGGCTTTTGAAACAGCCCCAGCTGCCCCCTTTCATTCCCATGTGTGCAAAGTCCTGGATTCCAGATGTCCCTTTCCAATGTATGACTGAATCTGACTATCAGCCTCACAGACACTTGGAAAATCCATTCCCACGTTTTATAAAAACAGGATTACAAAGCTCTGGCATGTGAGGGCACCTCATTAATAGATCGTATTCTGTAACCTTCTGTAACCAAATCCTCTTCCTTCTAAATTCTAAACATGAAGCTGCATTCCGTGTGAAATATGGATATGAGTAGACGTCTTCCAGTCTGGAACTTTGCCCACATGAAATCCCCCAACATGTTTTCCAGCTATTTACCTTGCAACGCATCTGTCACTGTTACAGATCACTCCTAATGACAATCTGCTTGGAATGAGCCAATGTAATATTTATGTCCGTGGCATATTAACGACAGTGGAGTATGAGAAGCATTAATTAGATGTATAGTTAGGAAAGAGTCTGCCTGAACAGGGTGTGACGACATGCTCATCAGTTTATGGGTTATGTATGTATTGTTGCTGGGTTATGTTTAATTATGTTATACTGGGTAACCTGTTTAAAAAAAGACTGTCAGCACCACCGCCCCTGTTAGCTCTCTTTGTACTCCCAAGGAGCTCAGGACAATGACATTCTCCTGCATCTGGCCAGACTCCGGCTATGGCTGTCTGGAGCTCTTTAGCAGCTGGGCCCCTGCGGGGTTGTGCAGTTAGAATGTCTGGGGAGGGCAGGGTGTATGTGATGGGATTATAATCTTATCTGATCGCTTTGTGTACAAAAGGTTCCACAGTTGCTCAATAAATCAGAGTTTGTCTCACCCTACACTTGGTTTCGGCTAGTGACTGGGTGGACTGAGAGCTAAAGATCATCAGGGTGCAGCATCTCCTCAGCAAGGAAGAATACAGAGGCGGACATACTCATCCTGAGTACCGGAGTCCATCACAGAAGGGAACCAAAGGAAGATAGGTTTCATCAGGGTGTAGAGGGGTCAACAGGATGGGAGGGCCATGTGAAGTTAGTGGGAGAGCCATAGAAAAGGATGGTCCATCTGGGGGGTAGAGGTGAACCAGAAGAAGATAAGGGCTGTCACATGAGATAGAGAGGGAGCCAGATGAAGAGAGGGACCATCTGGAGGTAGATGGGGCACCACAGAAACAGAGGGGCCATCTGGGGATAGAAAGAGAGCAAAAGATGGGACATCAGGTTAGGATGGAGGAAGAGGGAAAGCAAAGATGGAGGATATAGCAAAGAGGACCTGTCTTACAGCAGCAGCAGCCATTTCCTTGCTTGTTACCATCTCACGTGACCAGAGTCGACTCTACGGCCTCATCCAGAAGGATGAGTCCTTTCAGTATATTTCCACACAAAGGCCAGACTCAGATGCAGCATGCTTTTAGGTACTCTCAATGCTCATGAGGTGTTTACCATGTAGTAAGCAATCCATTCAAATTGACTTGTAAATACAGGAATAAAAAAAACTACACGGCAGAAGCAATAGCAGCTGTAGAGAATACTTCCCAAACAGCCTAATTAAAATAATGTAGTATGCACCGACATGCAGCGACAATGACAAGGCACAAAGGGCTTCTTTTGCACAGGGCCCACATGAGATCGGTGTCTGTTGCTGAAGATGACACGGGTATAGATGAAAGGGTCTTTGGCTCAAGAACAAACGCAATAACGGTTATATAAGCAAGCACTGAAGGCATATCTAATAATCCGGTTCAGAGACACAAATACACAATCACATTTGACATTTGAGTGCACAGTACCTTTAGTCATGCTCTTAATCTTCCCAAGAGGGGACGGGACAGACACATAGGAACCGTCTGAAATACACAAAGTACCATTAACCAGTGAAGAATAAAATGACACCATAGTAGTAATGCAAGAATGTTTAAAGTGCATGGAAAGTCCTAATCTATTTTTCACTATGCTTGGCATCACATCTCACTGTACACACTTTTCTTAAGCAAATCTGTTTTTGTGAATCTGTTACAAAGGTGCTTGCCTGGAGGTCCTGGCAGTAATAACACTGTGTAGCAGACTGACAACACCAAGCCAGTGCTTTTCAATTTGCAGCAACAGTATTAGCCTGCTGTGGGAGCTCCTTTAGTTGGCCATTGGGTTGCCTATCAGGTCTATCAGATAGGCAGCTCACCTAACAACTGAATGAGCTTGCATGCCAGGCTGACAACACCACTGCTAGGCAGTCTCTTAGCGTTGTCATCAGCCTGGCATGCAAAACCATTCTGTTGGTATTTGAGCTGCCTATCTGACAGACCCAGTGGGCAGCCCAATGGGCAATTAAAAGAACTCACACAGCAGGCTGACAATGCTGCTGCTAATGAGAGGCAATAGCTTAGTGTTGTCAGCCTACAAAACGAAATGCTGTCACTGGCAGGATCTCCAGGTATGAAAATGTTGTAACAGATTTGGAAAAAAAGGATTTGACTGACAACACTATGCTACTGCCTCTCAATTAGCATCAGCGTTGTCAGCCTGTATGTGAGCTCCTTTAGTTGGCTATTGGGCTGCCTATCAGGTCTATCAGATAGGCAGTCCAACTACCAACTGAATGGGCTTACATGTCAGCCTGACAATGCTAAGCCACTACCTTGCAACTAGAAGCGGTGTTGCTAGCCTGGCATGCAAGCTCAAGTAGTTGGTAGTTGGACTGCCTATTTAATAGATCTGACAGGCAGCCCAATGGCCAACTAAGATCCCGTTTATACCAGTGCGTATTGTGATTGCGCATGAAATGTGCACAAACGTGCATGCTGCGACGCGCTTTCATGATACATGCACAAACGCAGACCGCATTTGTGTTGGCATTACAAGATAATGGCACCCCAAATACGGCTGAGAAAATGTGTTTTTTCACCTTGGTTTCATGGTATGCATGTTGCCCAAACTGTGACATGCACTTCTTTTCCATGGTTGGTGCGCATCCAGGGACCCAATAGAGATCAATGGGGACACATACCAAACGTGTACGTGCTTAGTGCTGTCAGCCTGCACACAAGGTGTTACAGATTATAAATGCCTTCCAGGGCTGGGCCCTCCTTGCCATCTTGTCTTGAATTGAATTGTGATTGTAATGTCTTCCTTATATTGTAAAGCACTGCGCAAACTGTTGGCGCTATATAAATCCTGTATACTACTAATAATAATTATAATAATAATTATTGGCAGGATTTCCAAGTAAGAAACATTGTAACCAGGGCCGGTGCTGCCACTAAGCAAACTAGGCAGCTGCCTAGGGCGCACTGCTGTCTAGGGCACAGCCTCAACCACTCGCCCCCCGTTGACGCCCCACATCTATTTCAAATTGCAAAAGTCAATAGCAGACTGGCTATTGCACCCGACCACTGAGCAGAGGAGCAGGACTGAGAGACAACTTTCTCTCCCAGGTCAGCTCCTGTGCTCAGTGGGTGGGGTTTCAATAGCCAGTCTGCTATTGGTTATTTCAAATTAAATTACATCCACCTGTCGCCTGCAGAAGCTAACTGGCAGGAGAATGGGGCCACGCGGGGGGTTATTGGGGTTGCACGGTGGAAGGGTGGCTTGGGGGTGCAAGAAGCGGATCTTGCCTAGGGCGCAAAATAGGCAATGGCCCTGATTGTAACAGAATCCTAAGCAATACAGTGAGATGTGATGCCTAACATGGTGAAACATTTTGGCTTTACATACACTTTAAACATCCTTGCATTACTACTATCATAGGATCTCCAGGTAAAAACTTGAGTCAAGAAAATAATTTGCTTGGAGAAATGTATACAATGAGGCATGATGAGAAAATACTGAAAAATAGATGTTGGGTTTCACATACATTCCAGACTAAATGCTTTTAAGTTTTGGAGAAGGTGTGGAAGGGTTCCCCATTGGGAACCATGCAGGAAGTGGGAGAAACTGGCCCAGAGAGCAATAATGACAATGTTAACCCTTTTTGATATTTTTATTCCTTGTACCCCATTTGGAAAGCTTTCCCTTCACCAGAAGAGGAACAGAAGACTTCTGCAATAGGGGCACCAAAGCAAAAAAGAAACCTGACCAATGTTCTAACCCTTTGCTGCTGTAACAAGAAGAGGTTTTGGCTGGAGTTCTGCTTTAACAAAAAATGTTTTAATCTTAATGTTCCAATACTTTAATTTGATGATGTCAACAGCAGCATTTTGTACTGTGCAAGCCATAAACTCCAAACTTTCTGCATTAACTTCATTATGTAAGTCTTTACGGCAGTATATATTCACCCACTTCCCTGCTGGGTCAGTTTATCTCAAGTACCTTTTTTCTTCTCTTATGTGAAGCGCCTTTAGAAAGAAATTATCAGCAATCTTACACTCAAATGAAAGAAATATTCACATTTGCTGGATCTTATTTTGGAATGTTTCTTATTTCTTTTACATACTTGAATAGTAGCTAGTTATTTCCAACAGTGATCTATGCATTATGACAGGCAGGGCTCTGTTTAGCATTATGCCACCCGTGGACCTATGACTGGGGCAGGAGGGTTAGAGGGGGTGGCACCAAGCCTCAGCAATTACCAATTGTAATAAATTATTCCTTTTTCTTTTAATTTTGTTTCCAAATCCACATTTTTTTCATATTTTCTTTACCATTGAGCAGTTGTGGCTAAATTCAGCAAAACAACCATAAGAGGAAGGTAGCATGCTACTTGCCAGTTGCTAAAAACCATATCCTCCATTCATAATTGTCACATACAGTATATACATATAGGTTGAATAAAGACATAAGTCCAACAAGTCCAACCTATTGCTGATGTATCTATACTCTATATTCTCATTGGGTCAAGTGAGGGGTGGCAGGCACCCTTTCCAGCCGGAGAGCCCCATGTTGCTAAGAGCTAATAGCAACCTGTGACTTGCAATGTTCCCCCCAATCTCACTGACATCACTGGTTGCCAGAAGCTGAGAGTGGGATGCTCTGGCCTGGTCCTGCCCAAATCCTGGCTATCAAGAACGTCCACCACCACCCCCTGCCACCCATTGCCACCCAATCCCCAGAATGTGCACCAAGTAACTAATGCTCTCATTTCCTATTCCATCTTCACTACAGGAAGTGAAGGAAAATCTCCTCAATGAGACAAAGATGGCAAAGCATAAACTGACATGGTTTTTAACCCTACTTTGGGTATACATTACGGTTGTCACCTTTTCTTCAAGCGAAACCCAAACACTCTAGCGATGCGCGGACATTTTTGGGGGAGAATGAGTTGTGGCTTATTCCTATGTAAATAGCCCCCCCCAATTTAATATGTAAATATCACAGTTGAGACTATTTTCAGTGGGGTGCCAGTAGCCCCTATCTTAATTTTGGTTGCCCCTTTCTGCCTGACATCTTGTATCCGGGTTTCTGCTGCCATGAAAATCGGACACAGCATTCAAAACCTGGACTGTCCAGGTGAATCCTGGACAGGTGGCAACCCTAGTATACATGCACTTTAATTCTAGGCCTGGCCAGTATTCCACAGCTGAGAGTCGGCCCACCAGCAGCTAGTGACGTCACCATGGCTAGAAAATGCCACCGACCTGCAAAATGGCTGCCGAGCGAGACAGATTACGTCAGCTGGAGGGCAGTGGGCTGTCCATGCCTGATGTTCAGCATTATAACACAACATATGGATGTTAAATACCTCCACCGGGCTGAGAGTATTCATTACACGGAGATTCATCCTGAGGCCGCTTATAATGTTTCAGCAGCGTTACAATTCCGTCGTGTCCTGAAAAACAAAGGCAAGCGGATGGTCTGTGAGATCCTCACACGCCATTACAACCCTGGTGGGCAGCAACTGTCTGTGACAACTAATGAGTCTTCACTAATGTGCAGCCACCAGGAATTATACTGCAGCGGCCTCTCTGGGGGCGCTCAATATCCCGGGTATGACCCTGTGCAATATTGTTCTCGGCACAATGCAGTAACTGCATTAAAACCAACATAACAATAGAAATACAATAAAACACAATGTTACTTTTTATTAAAAATGCTCTACTTGCCTCTGTATATTTTATAATGCAATAAATACTTACTGAAAGCATAGGCAGGGTGGTCATAATGAGAGGCTAACTCCACTAAAAGTGTATATATCCCGTGCACTGTGTCATCTTCAGCATTGGTATAAGCCCTGCCCCGTTCAGCTCTATGAACTAAAGAACATCTCCACCTATGCTATGGAGAAGAGAAGATTGGGGGATGGTCTGTAGTACTAGAAAGGATTGTCACCAGCACACCAAAAGTTTTGAAGCAAAAAGTCCTTTATTGACAAATCGCCATCCAATACAAGCGCTTTCGGGGTCTCAGCAGTACCCCTTCATCAGGCTTCTGAGCCTGATGAAGAGGTACTGCTGAGAACCCCAAAAGCGCTTGTATTGGATGGCGATTTGTCAATAAAGGACTTTTTGCTTCAAAACTTTTGGTGTGCTGGTGACAATCCTTTCTAGAACTGCATTGTTCACGGGGCCGTCCGTGGTCACTACAAGCACCCACCTGCTTGGCAGGTTTACTACTATTCCGGTAAGGAGTGCAGCTGGTTATTGACTACATGTATTACTTGGTCTGTAGTACTAACACATTTCCTGCTCTAGGGTTACAACGGTGTTCCATCATAGTTACAGTACAGTGAATAAGCGTTGTCACCCTAGAACAGGAAGTGTGTTAATGGCAGGATCGCCGGGTGAAAATAAAAGAAGAAAAGCCTGAAAAAAAAAGAAACTCATGCAGTCACCACATTGAGCCCCCATTCACCTATGGGTGTATCGGGAATGCACATCACTGCAGCCTTTGTTCAGGACGCGTCCCCATTGATTATAACGGGTGCCAAATGGGCACTGAACGTAGGAAAATTTTGCAAAAGAAAGTGTGTTTGCTCAGCCATGTTTGGGGTGCCATTACTAATAATAGCACTGCAAGCACGTTCCGCGTTTGGTGTGCGTTTTATGAAGGCGCATCCAAGAGCACACTTTTGTGCACATTTGACGCACATTCAAGATATGGCCATATGTGAACGGGGACTTAAGGATTGGTAAGATGTTACTTCCTTATATATGGAAAGTGTGTCTATAGAACACAACCTACTTCAGTGTCCCTTCTCCTTCATTGGCCTCTTCACTTACCAATGGACCAGCATTATCTCACTGCTGGATCACTACCCAGCACGCAACCACATGATATAGGAAGTCACAAAGCGGCTAATAAAGTTACAATGTGACAGGATTGGGTGAATCAGTGGCAGTTACAAAATGTTTACTTGTATTTATTAAGGTTGTATACTTAGCTGTTCCACTTTAAAGTGCATTTCTATTTTTGCTGCTAAATCGAAATAACATCTATTTTGAATTATTATTATTATATAGTATTATTATTATTATTATATTTGTATTATTATTATATATTATTATTATTAAGGGTTTTTTTGTGCTGCTTTCTTTTATTCTTGTATTATTAATAATGTTCTCTCTTGTCCATAACTGACTGACACATAAACAATCTCATTTATATTAGGTTTTATTTTTTATATAGTCTGATATTCCGCTCAGCCCCTGGCAGCTAAACCGTATTTCATTTCATCTCTGGTCACCAAATTTAATCACATCGCCATCTCTTGTCCAATCTCATCACGCTTTTTTTAAAGTAACTTTTAAACAATTGTGCTGCTAAAAAAACTTCTATTATCCATATGATTTGAGAGCCCAAAGCTGTTCCACGCGGTGATCTTTTCAATGTGAGAACAATAATATGAGATAAAGAATATTAGACTCTGGGGCTGTCACCTGCCTAGCTAGGTTTTGGCTTTCGCTGTCTACAGGGAAAACCACTTGAATTTTAAGAGAACCATCGTTATAACAGAAAATTAACCACTAAACATATAAGGGTCAATGCATCAATAATTTACAGAGCCATTCACCCCGGGAATCTCTGTGAGCATTCCTTCTGTGTGTATAAAGGTAAAAACTAATGCTCTTAGTGTGTTTTTTTAGATCAATTGTAATACCACAATAGGGCCACTAGATGGAGCTGCAGAGCACAGGCAAGAAGTACTTTTTTCTTATGCTCCTCAGCTCCATCTAGTGGCCATAAGGATGTATTTTCCAAATATTACATTTGATCCAAAAAGGAAATATACAAAGATCATTAATTTTTGCCTCCATTCGCACAGAAAAAAAACATTCATAGGGATTCCCAGGGTGAATGGCTCGTTTTTTTCCTCCATTCGCACAGAATGAACATTCAGAGAGGTTTCCAGGGCGAATGGCTTGTTTTTTTTTTTTCACCTCTATTCACACAGAACAAAGGTTCACAGAGATTTCCAGGGCCAATGGCTTGTTTTTGCCTCCATTCGCACAGAACACAGAGATCGGCAGGTCTCTCAGGGATTACTTTGAAATGGTAGAGCTACCAGCCCAACATATATCACCTAAACTAACTTGGTAGGAAAATGCCCCCGGGCCAGTCGTTACATGTATGTAATAAGGTGTATGTCAAGTCCAAAACCTTCTTTCTAGTTTTGAATAGTTAGGGAAGAAGAAGCAACCATGTCAGCAGGGGCGTAACTAGAAATCAGAGGGCCCCATAGCAAAATTTTGTATGGGGCCCTGTGATTTCTAGTTACACCCCTTGAAGATCCCACATAGCTCACCTTAGGGTGACCCTGCAGAGCCCACCATAGACTCTCTATGGTGGGCTCTACAGGGTCACCCTCAGGTGGGCTGGTCACACTCCTTACCTGTCCGCCTCTTCTTCCTCCGTCTTCCCTCCTCCGTCGCTGGGCCCGCTCCGTCCTCCTTCTGTGATGCTGACCCCCGGGCCCCGCCTCCTCCTCCCCGACACGTCTAGCCTCCTCCACCACCGCTGCTGACTCTCATTGACTCAGCAGCGGCTATGGAGAAGAACGCAGCGCTGCACAGATCACGGTGATCTGAACAGCAGCGCGTTCGAACCCATAGCAACCTAGGCGGCCCGCACGGCATCAGGGGGGTGTCCTGGCCGGGCCCCCTGTGCCCGGGCCCCATAGCGGCTGCCTGGGTCCTTATGGCTATTGTTACGCCACTGCATGTCAGGTTTTTGCTGCTATGCTAGAGAGATTTACCCTCACTTCCTGTCCTGCTGACACCAGACAGGAAATAAGAGGAAATCTGCAACAGGTACACAGGCAGAAAGAAAAATCTGAAAGGGGTTCCAGACTTCCCTTGCTCTACTAAAGCAAAGCATTTGTATTCCTGTCTGTGTTGCTGGTGGAGAGTACCCCTCATTTCCTGTCTGGTTAAACGTTCCTAACACCAGGGGCGTCCCGAGGCCGGGTGACACCCGGGCGGAGATCGGGTGACACCACGCAGTGACGTCATCGTGCATGTGCGGTCATCTAATTGATGCCTACCGGTGGCCATCTTGGTGATGGACGCTGGCAGAGGAAGGAGGGGACGTTCACCCGGCAGGATGAGGTGTGCCCTCGGGTCCCCTCCTCTCCCCAGACACTGTCGAGCTCTCGGTCCATGACCGAGTGCCCGACTTTTTAGAGGGGGTGACACCAAAATGACTATCATTTTGGTGTCACCCCTCCAATAGGGTCACCCGGGTGCGGGCCGCATGCTCCGCAGCCCCCTTGTGATGCCACTGCCTACCACAACAGGAAGTGAAGGTACATTTCTCTAAAAGAGCCCCAGATAGCAGTAAGAACCAGACAGGGGTTTTAATCCTTGCCCACTCTATCCAAAACTATAAAAAAAAAGTGTTTGGCTGAATATAGACTGTAAGTAATGTTTAATTATAGAAAATTCCTTTGATATCGTACCTTTCTCATACGCCCACATCAGACAAGTCTGCTCGTCCTTCTCCCCGCTGGATCTGCTGGGATCGCAGGCGACCAGGTTCATGTCAGCCCCATTGTCCAATAAGAACTGCACCAGGCGCATGTGTCCATGGTAACAGGCGCTGTGCAACCCTGCAATAAGGACAGACGGAAGGTTGCTTAGTTGGCTAAAGCACTGCGTATCATAAACAACTAAACATCATTTAACACTGTTTTCACATTTTTATCCCAGTGCTTCTGTTCGCCTCTAGACATTTTCAGCCACTTCCTCTTCCGGGGCAGATCGGTTCTCCTGCACATACCATCTGCGATGCTGATCTGCCCTGGAACAGCTGAGAAAGCGTTGAATTTCTTCACCCTTTGCCGGTCACATATTCCACCGCCGAAAAAGTGGGCGTGGGTACGTTAAAATGTGTGACCACGTGACCGGTCACACATTCCAACCCAGTCACAATCTTTGATAGAACAGTGGCCCAGAACAATAATATGCAGCCAATGCAAACAAACACAGCAAGATAATCCACTTCACTCCCCTCCTCCCTTCTCCAAGCTAGTAGATGGATGGCTGCTGTAGACTGCTCTGTCTCTTGTGCTGGACAGGAAGTTCAGGGAAGCTGAGCTGAGAAAGTTGGAGCTGTTCAGAAATATGTTGACTTCAAGTGGCTGGGCAAAAATGTTAAAAAAAATACTTTACCGGGCATTGTACATTTGTTTGCTCTGGATTCATGATTGAAAAAAGTTTGAGATTTAAATACTACTTTAAGGCCGTCATTGCGTCCTTCCCCATAATCCTCTGCTACCGGAGAGATGGCACTGACGCCAGCATAGCATGGGCCGCTCAACCCTGATTGCCCCCCCAGCCCCAGCCACCTGCCGCCGAACATAATAACACTGCGCCCGGCGTTCACACCGCCAGGAGTGATAGCCTTCCCGAGGAAATACGTTATACACAAAATTACCGTGTGCTGAAAGGACAAGATGATTTGATTTTATTACCGCCAACAAGCCGGTCGTTATTCTGCCAGCCGGGAAGAATGATAACCTCCCAACAAAAATGAATATGTAAGAAAGAGAGGGAAGAATAATTGTGTAAGCTCTGGGAGTGTGTAAAGGACAGGCTGCTAGATCATTTGCAAGACAATAAAGTTTCCTTCATCTAAATTAATTAACTTGGGTGGGACAAGACACAAATTAAACAGGAATCATCTTTGTTAATATAAACTCTCTTTTATGGTTGTCTTAAAGGGGAATATCGGATTGTACAGTGTAACTCTGAGAGGATGAAATAAGTATCAATGTTACATTCCTAATATAGACGCTGGCAAGCAAAGTAAAGCGAACCTTCCGGCAAATAATACACTTTGCGCCATTCTCATCCTCCTCCCTCTGCAATGTAAAAAGACAAACTTTATATAAATTATTTGTTTTTATTTACATTCTTTTTTTTTTCTTATTTTCTATATTCAACCCGCCCCCTGTACTGATTTTCCAATGATGCATCAGCCTCCTCCTGTGGCCTCCTGGGATATCGATACACTCAGGAGGCACTGACGTCCACATAAGAGGATGCATCTAGTGCAGTGGTTCTCAACCTTTCTATGGCCAGGACCCCTTGGTAACATTTGCCAAGTTGTGGTGACCCACTACTGTAAACTTTAGGGATGAACCAAAACTAGTATCTGTGTGGGCTCTCAGGTGGCTAGTGGGACTCTCTGTTGGCGTACAGTGCGGGCTCTGTGGTGATCAAGCACTCACCTCCCCTTACTCCTGCCTGTTCCCCTCTCTCTGATCCTCTCCTGGCCGCTGCAGCGCTATCTAGGAGTACTGACACTGCTGCGCTAGGAGGAGGCTGAGGAGCCTCTTACCTAGAGCAGCACAAGGCATGTGGGGACCCCTTCAACTGTGGGTCGCGACCCACTTTTGGGTCTCGACCCACAGGTTGAGAACCACTGATCTAGTGCCTTGTCATCAGGAGGTCAGTTGCAAGAACCAGGAAGAGATAGCCAACTATCAAAGACCAAGAAAACCAAGATTGCAGACATGCAATAGAAGAGCAGTGGAGGAGAAAAAGACAACGCTGGATTTGCTGGACTTGAGTAAGCCTCCTCCTGTGGCCTCCTGGGATACCAACGTCACATATCTCAGGAGGCTTCCACATAGCCTAGATGTCATTCCACATGTCATCAGGGGGTCAGTCACAAGCACTGGGAAAAGACGTTCAGTTCCCAATGACCAACAAAACAAAGATGGTGGACGTGCAATGGAAGAGTGACAAGGGAGAATAAGACAATGCAGGATTTGCAGGATTTGCAGGACTTGTGTCAGGCTTCTCCCGCGGCCTCCTGGGATACCAACATCACATATCTCAGGAGGCTTCCACATAGCACAAGAGGATGCATTTAGCACCATGTCATCAGGGGGTCAGTCACAAGAACTAGGAAGAGACATCCAGTTTCCAATGACTAACCATAACAGAAAAGGACAACACAGGATTTGCTGGACTTATGTCAGCCTGCTTCTGTGGCCTCCTGGGATACAGATATTACATATCTCAGGAGGCACTGACTCCACATAAGAGGATGCATCTAGTGCCTTGTCATCAGGAGGTCAGTTGCAAGGATCAGGAAGAGAAAGCCAGTTTTCAAAGACCAAGAAAACAAAGATTGCGGACACGCAAAAGCAGAGAGGGAGAAAAACACAACGCTGGATTTGCTGGACTTGGGTAAGCCTCCTCCCGCGGCCTCCTGGGATAGCAATGTCACATATCTCATTAGGCTTCTACATATCCCAGATGTCATTCAACATGTCATCAGGGGTCAGTCACAAGCACTGGTGAGAGATGTCCAGTTCCCAATGTCCAACAAAACAAAGATTGCGGACGTGCAATGGAAGAATGGCAGGGGAAAAAAGGACAATGCAGGATTTGCAGGACTTTTGTCAGCCTACTCCCGCGGCCTCCTGGGATACCAACATCACATATCTCAGGAGGCTTCCACATAGCACAAGAGGATGCATTGGAGGTGCTCATTGGAGGGGAGCTTGTCTTACCTGTATGCCCGTCTCTACCCTGGTGGTTGATGTTGAGGACGTTTTGATCAAGAAGAAACTTTATGAGCTCCAGATTCTTCCCATAGGTGCAGGCACTGGTAAAATAACAGAAAGACCATCAACTTGTTACAAAGATGAAGTTATACTTTAAGTTGCAACAAAACTTGTAAAAATCAGCGGCGTCACAACGGAGGGTGCGCGGGGGGTGCGGCCTGCACCCGAGTGACACCATTGGAGGGGTGCCACCAAAATGACTGACAGTCATTTTGGTGTCACCCCCTTTGAAAAGTCGGGCACTTGGTCATGGACCCTCACCATGGGCCTCTGGGTTGTACTTGCCCCCTGGGCTAAAAGTTGCCAGTCAGCCCCTGCCGCCGGCAGATATCAAAAAGATGACCGCGCATGCACGTTGATGTCATCCCGCACTTGCGTGTTGATGTCACGCACATGTGCGATGACGTCACGTCGGGGTGTCACCCGGCCTCGGGACGCCCCTGGTCAAAATATATATTTAGAGAAACATACAGGAGAGCCATTGGAACCTGAACAGATATATACATGGGCAGCACAGTAGGTCAATGGTTAGCATTCCTGCCTTTCAGAACTGGGGTCTTCAATACAAATTCCAACCAGGACACTATAGGCATGGAGCATGCATGTTCTCTCTTGTCCTATAGAGGGTGGGTCATATAGCTCCTGTCTAGAATGGCCCTAGTATGTGAGATTGGGACCGTAGAGTGTAAGCTCCTTGAGGGACTGATGTGAATGTACTATATGTAAATTGCTGTGTGGATTGTTGGCACTATGCAATGATATGAATATATTTTTCCGGATTTGGTATGCACGCAGCTTTCTGTAAAATACAGCGTATATCTATCACAAGAAATGTGATACTTTTTGTCCTTGGACCAAAGTATATTAAGAACATATTAGGAATCCCAAAATAGAAAATGTATTAACTCTGACTTGAAAGTGCTCTATTGGGAGCGAGGGGCCCGGTACAACAGGTATAAACTATACGCACTGTGCCCTTGTGTCACCCTTGTGTAATCCCTAACAATGAACTTCTCTTATTTCACATGTTATTGAACCTGTTTTGTAATATCTGTTTAATAACAGTGATTATCTGTTGATCCTGCCAGAAATCTTGTGAGCTGATAACGTCCTGGGTTCACTGCCTGAGCTACACTCTCATAAGTTTCATTGTTGCTGGCTATTTCTGAGGACTAGACATGTGCACTGGCAAAAAATTTGTTTAGTTTCTTTTTCGTTTTGATTCGGATTTTGTGTTATTTCGTTTTTCGGGATTCGGGTGTGAAAGTCAATTCGGATTCGGAATTCGGATTCGGACGAAATTGATTAGCGGTAATTCGTTCGAACTTTCGTTTTCGTTTCGTTCATTCGTTGCAGCAAAGTGACATTTGAGGGGGAAAAAGAACCTTATGCAGAGTCTCTGGAGAGAGACTGTTTCTCATATAGAGGCTGGTCCATGGGAAGGACAGGACCAGGCCTAGGAATATGTAGGAGCTGTAGAGATTCCCCAGTTTCCCCTGGAGGGGAAAACCACCGAGACAGGACTGCCTAGGATGGGATTCCGGAGGATACTGGAAGTGCTGTAGACTGACAATATTTGTCAATATTTGTCTATTGGCCTTTGGCCAACACAAGTCGTGGACTCTCTATACCTGTCAACAACGAACTGTGAAGTAATGTGCTGTCATCCCACCTGGGGATGGCCGAAAACCTTGTATTATCTTTTGCAACGACCAATAACAAGTAAAGCTAAGAAAAGACTATCTGTGTGGACTGGTTCTTCCTCCTCCAACCTCTGAGATGGAGGGGTTCTACCAAGAGTATGATGTTGGACTGTATCGTGGCTGTAACCACCCGGAGGCGGGTATGTGTGCAAACGGGCTATGCCTGACATAGGGTGCCCTTGATGGTGGCCTTTCTCCCTAAGGGGGAGGAAGTGCTGAAGTCCGCATAGGCGGTGGATATCATGAGGGCCCGGTGTGCGCAGTATCACAAGTGTTGGTAGCACGACGCCAGAGCCGAGGCCCCTGAGAGAAGGGGTGCCTGGTGTCGTATTGCTATACATGGGGTTACACATAGCCATCCTAAAGGGAACACACACGTGAGTCACCCCGATGAACCCCGCCTACACTCTTCTAATGGACTTTCCACCAAGGCTGATTATCCCTTATAAAGCCAACTGAAATTTTAGTGCAATCAGTTTCTGGAAGATAATATTTCATTAAATGTATCCCCATTGTGAGTGATCAGGGCAGGGCTGGGCCATGGGGCAGGGGGTAATTTTTCCCCCTGGCAAGTACAAAAAATATAGTGTGGGCCCCAAGTGGAGCTAATTCCCCATTCAGACCTCAGGCGACGTTGGACCTGCAATCGTTGACAGTTGCCGGGCTTTATACGCTGTAGCTATCTGCTCCCTGTCCTAAACTGTGATCACAGCAGAGGCAAGTCTTTCAGTATGTGACTGCATACAGAAAGCAGCTGGTAGAATGCAGAGCTGTGAAATGCGTTGTGCTCATTTGTTAAAGGAAGCTGAATAATGAGGATTACTTGTGATGTTATTTTATTTGGTATTTTAATTAGGCGAGTCTATATCATTTTCACAGAGAAGCAATTGTCTTGTTCAGTTCATAAAGAACTTCCTCCTTAACAATTTATCTCTTACAATCTACTTTATAACATATCTATATAAAAAGGTGTGTCACAATAAAGCATATCCTCTGAGAAGATGGCCACTTTTCTCCATGCCAATCAAACACTGCCACATAGTGTGTGGTGGGCTTTCTTTAAGCCGCAGGAAACAGGTCCTTACAATTAAGAGATATTTGTTTGGTATGTTTCCCAGACCAAAGTTTCTCAGTCCTTACCACTGAATGATTATTTTGTTGAGGGTATGGTCAGTATGAGGAGGATTGTCTATCGTGCAGATTGTCTTTCCCTTATCAAGTTTGTTTTTATCAAACATTGCTTTTCCTGGTATCCATGTTTAGTGCTGCCTGCAGCAAACGTCAGGTTGGTGGTCCAACGTCCAATTAACTGATAAACAGTTGAGATGGATTGCACTGCTTGCTGGTGTTGCAAGGACATCACAGATTGATTGGTTGGATGGTGTTCTTGCCACACAGCTTGGTTGGCTGGATGGTATCCTTGCTATACAGCTTGATTGGCTGGATGGTATCCTTGCTATACAGCTTGAATGGGTGAAGGGTGTTCTTGCTACACAGCTTGCTTGGTTGAATGGTGTCCTTGCTTTACAGCTTGCTTGGTTGAATGGTGTCCTAGCTATACATAGTTACATAGTTACATAGTATTTGAGGTTGAAAAAAGACATTAGTCCATCAAGTCCAACCTATAGGATCTTGTTCCTAGGAGTACTACTTGTACCCCTGTATATTACGGTCCCTTAAGAAATCGTCCAAAAGTTTCTTGAACAATTCCACATTCTTTGCTGAAATCACTGCCTGTGGCAGTGAGTTCCAGACCTTGACCGCTCTAACTGTGAAGAACCCCCTTTGCCCCTTATGCTGGAACTTCTTTTCCACCAATTTTAGGTGATGGCCTCTAGTTTTTGTAATGGCCACACCCCTAGGAGATGAGTAATGAGGGGTGTGGCACCCATTGCCCAGGTCCAGGTCGCCCAATATAAATTCAATTTAATATGTAAAAAATGCAAGCAGAAGGACAGTTACCTATGGTAAGCCGTTTCACTGAAAATATTTTCCTTGGTCAGACTTTCTGTGCTGGACAGCTGAATTAACTCCTTCACCACTTCAAACTTCCCATTGTAACAAGCACTGATGGGGGAGAGAGAGAAAGAGAATGAGAGAGAGAAGGAAGAAGGATTGAAAGCAGAAAAGAAAGACGGAGGGAAGGAAGAATAGAAGAAAAGGAAAGGAAAGCAAAGGAAAGGAAAAGAAAGATGGAAGGAAGGAGGTTAGGAAGGAAGAAGATGAAGGGAAGCAAGGAAAAAAGAAAGGAAGATGAAGGAAAACAGGGAAGATCGGGAAGATCTTGAGTTTGGTAGTTAGATTAACGCACTCACAGGTGTAGGGGGGTGTCACCATATATATTCACAACATGAGGCTGGACATCAGCAGTATTCTGTAGAAGATATTTGACAATTTCATGGTGACCAAACCGGGAACAGAAGTGGAGTGGGACATGATCCTCGTTATCTTGAGCATTGACTGGAAGAGAAAATCCATGTATAAGTAAAGTGCAACATCCAGTGATGCAGATTAGCATATGAGACATGGACCATGTCACCCAGAATCAACACTCACCGTCTGCTTTGGTGCCCTCTTCCAGCAGGAGTTTTGTGATCGTTAAGTAGCCTTTGGCAGAGGCCAGATGCAGAGGTCTGTCCCCCACCTCTCCACACATGTTAACATCCGCTCCAAATTTCAGCAGCAAGCGAGTGACCTAAGGTAGAGGAAAAAGGGATCAGTCTGAATAAAAGCAGACCTGTGCTCACAAATACTGTATGGCCCAAAATATAAAGCTTCTTTGCAAGAACCACTGATTAGAATGTTAAGCCAGACATCCAAAATGTATTTATTTATTACAGACATTTATATAGTGCCAACGATATATGCATTTTGATCAAAGTAGTTTGTTGCAGCTTAACAGTCCAGGCTTTTTCCCCTTTATTTTAACATGGTGATCCTGCCAGTAACACACTTCCTTCCAAGGGCACTTCATTTTTGGAAAGATCAACAGGTATTTACAGGGGCGGACCCACCACCATTGCAGCCACAACATCTGCACCAGGTCCTGAGGCTGGGGGAGATCCGGAGCACCCGCCCCCTATTGAAGGAGGCATGGTCGCTTTAAATTTCTAAATTGAAAAGGCGGCCGTAAGGTCCTAGGCTTGCTGGGGACCTCGTGAGAGCCTTCTGGGGAACCACACAGCGCTGCTTACAGCGCTAGCCCACAAATCTTCCCCTCCTGAGATGCTCAACACTCCTCCTGAGACCCTCCACACCCCTTCTGAGATCCTCCGCACCCCTCCTGAGAGTGGCTTTAGATTTAGCAAATAAATTGTATCATTCAAACTCCAAATCTGCATCAAACAATGGTTACAAATAGTACAATACTTAACTACTATTTGTTTTTATACAATAAATGGTTTTGGTGATAATATTCTAGGTCCATGCGCTCTCTCTCTCTAGTGTTTCTTTACCGTCCCGTTATTGGCTTCCAACATACTCTAATCTTTGGACGAGCAGCAAGACCAATGCCACTGTTACACGCTTGAAAGCACTGACTTTTTGGATCTTAATTTTCATATTGGTTCAATTTTTGGCCACCAATCTACACTGTGTGGCCAGATTATTATGACCACCCCATCAGTACTTCGTTGGGCCACCTTTTGCCTTCAATACTGTGGCGCTTCTTCTTGGCATTGACTCCACGAGATGTTGAAAGGTGATGCGAGGAATCTGACACTGCACTGTTGCCCTTCTGTTGTCTTGTACCAGTCTTGCCACTCTCTGTTCTGCCCTAACATTGACTAGTCGCTGACGGCCACAATTCGCACGTTCAGACCCAGATTTTCGGCTGACAGTCCAGTCTTTAAACACTTTAACAACAGCTGCTCTTGAACATTTAACAAATTCTGCTGTTTTGCTGATACTCGCTCCATGGCTCCGAGCACCAACAATCATCCCACGTTCAAAGGCTGTTAAATCGCGTTGTTTACCCATCACTTCTACTGTCGTGGTAAACAACCTGCTTCCCTATTTATAATGGTCTGGCCCTCTAGCAACTTCAGCGCCAAATTATAGCTAATTTGCCTACAAACGTCAGGTGGTCATAATAATCTGGCCACTCAGTGTATATGGCGGATAATTGTTTTATTTCCACATGAGCAAGAGAAGCAACCATACTTCTAATTGGCAGACGGGCGGGGAGAAGGCGGGGGAAGAGGCAAAGCGGGAGGGGGGGTCAAGTTGGCGCACCATGGGCCTCTGGGTTGTACTTGCCCCCTGGGCTAAAAGTTGCCAGTCAGCCCCTGGACCCCATAAAGCATATGCACTTGTTCCACACAACAAGGCTATTTCTCAGAAATGACACTTAGATTTTGTGACCAGTTTGGATATAATGATATCACATAATCTGACTTCATTGTTGATACCTCACCTGCTCGTGACCGTTGTACGCTGCGATGTGTAGCGGGGTGAAGAACACGGCGTCCTGAACATTGACATAGGCTCCATGTTGCAGTAAAATGTCCACAGCCTGATGGGAGAATAAAGACATGACGTGTGACACAGACTCGGTGACAGGGACACAATGACGGGAACACATTGGCAGTCAGGCTAGGTGTGTAATGGACAATGGATGAATAGGATTGATAGGAGTTGATTAAAAGGAAATGTGTTTGTCCTTGGGCAAAACTAAATGATCAGACGCGATACGCTGTGATCGCTGTGCGAAACGAGCCAATAATGGGGGGCGAGGGGAGAAAACTGAAAAGTAATTTAACAGTGACCTACTATTTTCACACACTGCTATAAGGAATGGAGACACCATTTGTGTTCTTTACTGAGTCTTAAAACAGCATGAAAGTTCAATAATTGACTTTTAATTCTGCTCCCCCAGGCTACAGTCAGCAGCCATCTTTCATTTTTATGCAGCCAGATTAAGTCTCTTTGTGAATGGAAGATATAGACATTACATTGTGTATGAGCCTGAAGGCAGGGGCATAACTACAGATCATGGGGCGCTATAACTAAATTTTAATACCCCCCCGCCACCGGCTATTTCCCTACTGTCATTGATCTTACCATAAATTATGTCTAATGCAAGGACGGGTAGCAGAAGAGCTGTCAGCATGCTGGGCACCAGGGCCGGATTTACTCTCTCTGCTGCCCCAAAGCCAGGTTCCTCAATGCACCCGCCTCCCCGCTACCCCCCCCCTCCCCAATGGCAACCAGATGGCGGGGGCGGCAGGGTTAGTTTTATTTGTTATTACTTTTTTAACACTTTTTTTTTACTTTTATTTATTTTTGTACTTTTTTATTTTTTATAATTTGTTACACTTATTATTTCTTACTTATTTCTTTGTTTATATATTTTTTACTTTTTAACTATCTTTTTATTTTTAATTTTAATTATCCATTCTTATTTTTTACTTGTGACATACACAGATGAAATACATATATAGGAGCAATTTTACCTGCCAAAGGATTTTTATTTCAGTACCTCCAGTCCTGAGATTTACACCACTCTGCTACACAGCACAGACCTGTCTGCCAGGGCTGGAGATCTCCACGATCGACTCCTCCGTCACTGGGCCCCCCCTCCTCGATCGCCGGGTCCCGCCCCCTCAATCACCAGGTCCCGCCCCTCGATCGCCGGGCCCCGCGCCCTTGATCACTGCCGATGACGGGCCCAGCCACCTCCTGCGAAGCTGCTGGTTGTCACCAACTCAGCAGCGGCTGTGAGAAGGGACGGAGCGTTCCTCCTCACAGGCGCCAGTGACAGCCAGCAGCCTGGCTGTCCGAGCAAGATGCCATAGCAACCCAGGCGGCCCGCATGGCATCAAGGAGATGTCCTGGCCGGGCCCCGCCTTGCCTCGGGCCCCATAGCGGCCGCCTGATTGTTACGCCACTGCCTGTGACTGGACAGGGGAAAGAAGAAACAGCAGACTGAGGAGTTTATCTTTCTGTCTGTGCTCTCTCCTCCTATCTACATGTTATTGCTCCTTTTGCTGCTCCTGTCTCTCCCGGCCTATGCTCTGCTGTAGAGGGCATTGTAAGAGGCTGATACAAAGTAAAATTTGCATACATTAAACAATACATTTAAAGGAGGGGTAAGTGTTTTTCCCCATAGTTCTTTTAAGGGTCACGGGAGGACATATACTGGCGTCCTCCTGTGACCGAAAGCTCAGTATACTGCGAGCTACAGCTCGAGGTATACTGAGACCACCGCAGCCGGGACGGACGGAAGCAGTGACTGACAGTCATCGCTCTCTGCAGGGAGATGATCGAGAAGTGAGCGAGCGAGCGACGGTATGTGTTCGCTCACTTCCCGATCTATTGAGCCGACGTGTGACAGTTTTATTGTCACACGTCGGCTCAAACTATGAGGATGAATGATTTTCACTCACCTCATAGTTCTCCTTTAATGATAAATGATTGCACACAGATCTGTGTTATTATGTGTATTTTATATCTGCCTGGAGTTCAGCTTTAATACCGCATTCAACTGAATTTGAAAACTTTATTAAACATATAAAGCATCAGCGATCAACTTGGTCGCCGTGCAGCGCCAAGCTCTGACTCGCTTTGCCTTCTATGCAGGCGGCTTACTAGAGTTCTGTTTCGCCAGATAAGCTCACAGAATTCCCAAAGTGCCGCCGTCAGACCGCCACTGAAACAGATGCAGTAAATTATCACCGAGGAAAACATTATGACTTTTAATTCCGCCATCCAGCATTTGCTTTCTTTCCCCCTGCGATTTGGTTCTTCAGCTAGAAAGATAGCGAGTTAATCCACATTTAAAGGTGTATGTTGCATGGTGTTGTTTTGTTGTGAGTTCATTAAAGGAATGCATCTTTGAAGGGTAACTTTACTTCTAAAACACATTAGATACTTTCATATATCCGGGGACTCCCAGCAATATTGGTGATATAACCTCTGAGCTCCGCTTTTTCTTTTTCTGTACTGTGAGAGCCGTCATCACAGGCACAAACTAGCCTCTGCAGTGTTTACCATTAGCTTGTCTGCGTCTGCACTTTTCCTGTCAGACCTGTAGATGAGGACTGAGAACCAGAAAGACATCTACTCCACATACATGATTGGTTGAACTCGATGGACTTGTGTCTTTTTTCAACTTGACTAGCTATGTAACTATAGCTGTAAAAAATAAGTCAAGGCAACTAGACTTGCTGTATTTTTCTTGAAGACGTTTCACTGGTCATCCGACCAGATTCTCAATTCAGAATGACTTGTACAAAAATTCTCTGGGAACATATATAGGGAATGTCGCTCCAATCCACAGAATCTGTTCACAACCAGGTGTTGATTGCATTTGCATAATTGGAGCTAGGAGGTGTTAAAACAGCATTGTATGTGGCAGACAATAGATGCCCCCCCTCCCCTTCTATTCAAGCTTCGCTTCTCCATTTTTACATAAATGGCCTTTCAGACCTCTTTTAAACCAGTGAAACCCTTCGCCCGCCTTCCTGATTGCCTGTGGAGCCGAAGTTCTAACGAAAGAACACCGGCTTCAATTGCTGAGGCTGTCTGGCTTCCTGACCTACCAGGATGCCAGGCAGCCAGTCATGAGGTGCCGTCCGGCTACCTGATTGGCTAGGAAGTTAGCGTCACTTGTTGCTAGGTAGCGTGGCTTCCTGACCAATCAAGAAGCTGGGATGCAAATCATGACATGCCGCCCAGGCTTCCTAATTGGTTAGGAAGCCAGGCTGCTTACTAACTAGTGAAGCTGGCTTCCCAGCCAATCAGTAAGCCGGGGGGCACGTCATGGCCTGCCTCCCGGTTTCCTGATTGGCTTCACTTGTTCCTAGGCAGCTTGGCTTCTTGACCAATCAGGAAGCCGGGAGGCGGGTCATAACCCGCTGCCCGGATTCCTGATTGGAAAGGAAGCCGGCTCCATGCTCCCTCAGCACTGCCGGTCAGAGGGAGATCTCCTTCTGACCGGAAGTTCTAGTTGCGGAGGTAAGTATCGGAGCATTTGGGCGAGAACAAGGACTCGCCCGAATACTTTGTATCAGCGCTGATACCGATACTAGTATCAGTATCGGTGCATCCCTAATATTTATACTTTTTACATACACATTTCTGTCACCTACTATGTTACTCTGTTTATCCGTTTCCTTCTTTTAGCTCCCTTTCCTTCCTGGTATCCACTTCTACTTTTTTTTTTTATCGCAACACCGAAACAAAACCAGAAAAAAGAATTACCTTGATGAGGAGTCCTTGAGGAATCGATGTTTAAATGTTGTGCCAATCACACAGAAGCGACACAACTAAGATGCTGAAATATATTGAAGTGTAGTGAAGCTTTTTAGAGGAGAATGGGAAAAGCAATGACCTCCACATTTGCTTTTAAATAGAAGTCTATATCAATTTCTATGGGAGGCAAAACATAGCGGGTCCAGGTCATGCCGCGGCTCCTGTTTATTTCCGCGTGATTTAATACCGCCGCCTGAAATTCCGTATATCTCACAAAAGCAGGTTGCATACTGACAAATTAGATGCCTCTCATTCTTTTTTCTTTATGGGGAAGTACGTGACCCTCTCACCCAGCTTCAAGACTCTCCAAAACGCGATTTTATTTTGAAGGTAGCACACCTACAGTCGGTATTGTTAGGCATCAATCAGCACTCACAGATACAGCCGAAGCGTGAAAATCATATCTATCAACAATTACAATGAGAGTTTTAGCTCAAACAGTTTCAAGTTGAAGTTTGATCTGCTTAAATTTTGATTTCCCTGGTCCCCCTTTCCCCCTCATTAACATTCATTTTCATTACCTACTCTCTTCTATCACCAGGTTTCTGAGCTTCTCTAGGCAATGCAAGCAGATCATAGCTGGCGGGAGGGGCTGGCAGGGTTGCTGCACCTCAGTACTTCCCCCAAGAGCCCTCAGCCCTGATGCAAGCAGTGGGCTGGCTCTTGGGAGGAGTTATGCAAATGTGAAAACGGTATGATGGGTGGATGTTGGTCTGCAGGAGCGGGCATTCCTAAGCAGACTGAATTTGCAGTTGGACCGCCCTAGATAACACTCACATATGATGCTGAGACTCCAAGATTAAAAGTACAGGAATGCAATGAATGACCAAAACCTACCTGTCATTGGTGTCAGTGGATGCACTAATAAACCCCAGCATTGGTGTCCGCGGCCGCAGTAATAATATCATGCACTGCTGTGAGTAGCAGTAATAGTAACCCTCAGTATTGATGTCAGTGGCCACAATCAAAACCTCCATCACTGGTGTCAGTGGGTACAGTAATAACCCCCAGCATTGGTGTCAGTGGATGCACAAATAACCCCCAGCATTGGTGTCAGTGGTGGTAATAGTTACCCTCAGCATTTGTGCCAGTGGACTCAATCAAAACCTACCCGTCATTAGTGTCAGTGGATGCAGTAATAATATCATGCACTGCTATGAGCGGCAGCAATAGTAAACCTTAGTATTGGTGTCAGTGGTCACAATCAAAACCTCCATCACTGGTGTCAGTGGGTACGGTAAAAACCTCCAGAATTGCTGTCAGTGGATGCAATAATAACTCCCAGCATTGGAGTCAGGGGCTACTATAATAAACCCCCACCATCTGAGTCAGCGAATGCAATAATAACCCCTAGCTTTGGTGTCAGTGGATGCAATAATAATCCCCAGCATTGGTGTCAGTGGATGCAATAATAACCCCCAGCATTGATGTCAGTGGATGCAATGATTATCCCCAGCACTGGTGTCAGTGGACACAGTAATAACACCTAGCATTGGTGTCAATGGATGCAATAATAACCCCCAACATTGTTGTTAGTGGCCACAATAATAACCCGTAGCATTGGTGTCAGTGACCACAATAGGGAAGGGGCTTTGTATATTTGCAGAGTAGCTTTAAATCTTGATCAAGTCTCTCTGTAACAGCCCATGCAATCACCTCGTGGTTTCCTGCGATGGTTGCGATGTGAAGTGCTGTCAGAGCGCCGTAGCCCACCTGCTGGATGTCCGCCCCACCGTGCAGCATTGCTGTCAGCAGCTCAGCGTTGTCCTGACAAAGGAAATATAAGTTACATTCACTTTTTTTCTGGTGAGAGGCGACAAGCAAGACCAGAAGAAACATCAATATGTATTATATTCTGTACAGCAACAGCAAACCAAATATCTGCACAGACCCAGACACACACATACACAGAGCGGGACCTGCTTGTTACACTGACAGCCGAGTCCTACAGACTACAGAACCACTCTCCCGGTGTAATCAGCCAACTGGGCTGTCAATCTGACAGCTGGTCCAGCTCTGTGTATTGGGAGAGCTGATAAGATGAAGCCTGCAAACAATGTTTCCAGAATTCATTAGTAAAATGTATTGTGACAATATTATTACAATATATCGTTTTTAGCGTCTATGCGCAAATCAAAGTATTGGCCTTTGGTGAGTACATAGGTTCAGTCATCTGCACATGAAGCCAAAAGCACTGGGTGCCGGTGGTGCAGGTTGGAGGGTGTGTGCTGGCAGTACGGTGCTGGTCCGGCGTTGGGGAAGGGGTGTGGGTGCTGGCAGTTCAGGAACAGGGGGGCAGCGCTGTGTGATGGGAGTGCAGGTCCGTAGGGGTCGGTGCTGGATGATGGCAGTGCAGGTCCAGGGGGTCGGTGCTGGATGATGGCAGTGCAGGTTCGGGGGGTGAGTGCCCAAGCAGCACCTTTGTCTGCCCAGCTCACTGATGTCACTGGTTGCCAGGAGCTGGGTGGGACACCAACCAGAGCGTCACATGTTGTTCAAAAATGTCTTAGCAACCTGAGACACTCTAGCTGGAAAGAGAATGGCAGGTGCCACGTGACCCAATGAGATGCTGCCTGTGGCAACAACCTAAGGCTGCCTCATTATGGGGACAGCTCTGGGTTTAACTACACTGCAAAACCATAGTCCCGAATACTTGAGCCTTGCTGTTCCTTTATCTCAATGCAAGTCTACCAATCGAGTTTGACTTTATGAAAATGATACACTCTAATGCAACTGAGATTTTATTTCAGCAGTTATGACCAGCGATCACCTATCAGGTATTAGTATCTCCAGTCTGGTTCCCATCCACTAGTCAGCTCTGGAGGTCGGCATTGGAGATCACCTCCTACCCCAGAGAACACGGAAGTCCTTCGGCAGTAGATCATACCTTATAGGCCGCTATGTGTAGTGCAGTGAAGCAATTTTTAGTCAGCCTGGATGGTCGTAAACCTTTCAGCATCAACGTTCGAATATGAGACTTAGTACCTGCAAAGGAAAACATGGCTGAATGATGTAACATGACGTATCTCAGTTACAATGTATTTCTCCTGTGTGCATTGTGTCCTGCCAAATATATATATTGTGGTGTTTAGCTTCCAATGGTAGCGCATTAAGGACGCATCCACTCGCTGCAATCTTCATTCAAGGGCTTCCTTGCCCACTTTTATTAAATGAAAGTTAACCAAACATAACAATTACCCTCGCAGGGGTTCTTTAGCATCTCATGGCAGCACATGCCCATCCAGCCTCCTGGCTTTGCATTTGCAGCACCGCTGCTCCAGCCTCAGCCCACTGTCTGTTCCTCCAGACAGCCTCAGTCATGTGCTAACCTGCACACTGGGGGTTCTTACCAATCCGCAGCACCCTGCTGCACTGGACTCCACTCTGACTCCTGGGTGGAGCTTTCCTGTCTCCCAGGTGGAGTCTTGAACCCTTCCCAACAACTTTAATTTAAAGGGTGTGCACACCTGTGCCATCAGCATGCGTTGGCTTCAACCTTTGTTGGTGTTTTGTTGCTGACTGTGTCCCATTTCGAGAGATTTCCCCCTTGCTTCCTGTTTCAGTGACAACTTTACCACTGGGATAGGAAATGAGTGAAAATCAGTTTTAAAACTGTCAAAAAGAAAGGAAGGAAGTAGAAAGATTTCCCCTCACTTCCTGTTCTGTCTGATCCTGATTAAAAAAAAGAAAGGATGCAAAGCAAATTCCCATCACTTCCTGTTCTTCCTGACACTTGTCAAAAAGAAAGGAAGCAGAGAGATTTCCCCTCACTTCATGTTCTCTCTGATCCCCACAAAAAAGGCAGGAAGCAGAACAAATTCCCATCATGTCCTGCTCTGCTTGACACCTGTCAAAAAAAAAAAAAGAAAGTGGAGAAATTTCTCCTCACTTCCTGTTCTGTCTGATGCTGATCAAAAAAGAAAGGAAGCAAAGCGAATTCCCACCACTTCCTGTTCTGTCTGACACTTGTCAAAAAGAAAGAAAGTGGAGAGATTTCCCCTCACTCCCTGTTCTCTCTGGTCTCCATAAAAAAGGCAGGAAGCAGAACAAATTACCATCACTTCCTGTTCTGCTTGACACCTGTCAAACAGAAAGAAAGTGGAGAAATGTTGCCTCACGTCCTGTTCTGTCTAATCCTGATCACAAAGACAGGAAATGGAGGGAATTCCCATCACTTCCTGTTTGGCTTGAAACCTGTCAAATAGAAAGGAAGTGGAGAGAATTCTCCTCACTTCCTGTTGTGTCTCACACCCAATGAACAGGCAGGAAGTGAAGGAAGCCACGCCAGTATGGGAATTAAGACTTGACAGAGATCCTAACCCGTCCATAGCCAACCTAAATCAAGAAAATAACGATTTGGCTGGAATTGGGCTTTAAGTGTGTCGTCAGTCCTTGTCCACAACAGCCAATGACATTCAAGCTGTCATATAGCAGTTAGAAAGAGAAAGGAGGGATGTGATTGGCCGCAAACCCTTTGGCTTTGCGATCCTTATGGTAACCGGGGCCAATAATAGACTATTTTGTGATGGAAGGTTGAAGTCTGAACAGCGATATATCCCCCTCTGCTCATTTGAATAAAAAGATTGCTCTGCTTATTGTACCATTAAATGTTTTTCATATTGTATTTATTTTTAAATAGAAGTAGTATTATTTTTTTATATGGAGGAGCCGTACTTACCGCCGCAGATGCAGCACGAGTGAAGGAGAGATAGGCCATTCTCTGTTCGATAGTTTAAATTGACTTTGCCGAAGGCGTCGTCTGAGCTGCAAAATAGATTTTACAGCTGATCACACAGGCTTTATCGCTAGCGCCATTTTATTTAGTTATGTGAATTTTAATCAGACGCAGAGAGAAAGCAAAGTGTTGATGGATTCAACCTGATGTACACTGATTGACGGCATAATGGTGAAGCGGAATTAAACTTAAAAGGAAAAAAAAAACCTTCATTTTATCATTTTTTTTAATCATTGTTTCCCTGCAAGTTCTACAATCAGTTTAAAGTGGATCTCAACCTGAACTGGATGTGTATTGTTGATAAAACACTGTGCATTGTAAACTACAGTATTGCCATGTTTTTATTTCTCTCTATAATAATGTTTTCTTCCATTTTATTGTATCTCCTCTGGCCGCCTTCAGGTACTCCCTGTCTACATGCAATGGCTCCTGTGTCATTACTCTGGAACTGCTTTCTGATATGTCCGTATGGCCACTTGTAGTATCCACCAGCATACCTCCCAACTCTCTATCATGAGAAAGATGGACACCTTCCAGCACAATGTATTTAGACAATAGATACACCTCTGCCATGCCCCCCATTATATACAGTATAGTCAATGGACACACCCCTGCCATGCCCCAGTTATATTTAGGCAATGTACTACCCCATGCCAGGACCCCGGTTATATATAGGTAATGGACACACCCCTGTCATGCCCTCAGTTATATATAGGCAATGAATACACCCCTGCCATGCCCCCAGTTATATTTAGGCAATAGACACACCCCTTTCCATGCTCCCAGTTATATATAGGCAATGGACAGACCCTTGCCACATCCCCAGTTATACATAGTCAATGTACACACCCCTGCCATGCCCCCAGTTATATATAGGCAATGAATACACCGCTGACATGCCCCCAGTTATATATAGGCAATGGACACACCCCTGCCATGCCCCCAGTAATATATAGTCATTGGACACACCACTGCCATGCCCCCAGTTATATATAGGCAATAGTAGTCACGAGGCGGCCCAACGAAGTACTGATGGGTGGTCATAATAATCTGGCCACTCAGTGTATATAGTCAATGGACACACCTCTGCCATGCCCCCCTGTTATATATAGGCAATGGACACACCTAACTGTGGCAGTCAGCGCTCACCTCTCTCCCTCTCCGCTCCAGCTGTGCTATGTCTCTCGGCATCCTCACATCCAATTCAGGTCAATGGACATCAGTAGTCCTTAGACCCCTGGAGGCCAGGGGAAAAGAGTCTGCCTGGACTGAGGATCAGGTAAGTATACCTGCTTTATTTGAACCCCCTGTACAAAACCAGCAGTTAACACTTGCAGTGCAGGATTTGCCGGAGTTCTTCTTTAAATCTCTGGTTCTATAACAGTTTTATTGAGTTCTGACCTCTCAGTACTGCTCTCTACCTGGACAATGCAAACAATTAATCATAATAATCAGACCTAGGGTATATAAGTTTCTATTGCATTGTAACATTTATCCAGACTCCAGCAGGAAGTTCCATACGATCAGTAAACTGCTCCACGTCTAAACTTTCTTGCGGAGAAGTCCTTTAAAAAATGAACCCGGAGTCCCACCTGACAACGAGCGCTTTTTGGTGAATAGAATAGGACAAAGTTGGGAGATGTAATCAGTGACAGAAGAAAACAGCCCCAATACGCGGACCTTTCCACTGGTAAGATTTATTTTGTGTTTGTTCTGCCTTTATCTCCGGCATAGAATATAGAAGTTCTAGACTGAAAAGAATTACCTACACCAGGAAAAAACCTCAGGAGACCTGACATTATCAGAGCAGAGCACAAGTGACTACTGTATCCAGCAACCTTTTCAGTATTCACCTCTACCTTCCAATTCATCTTCAGATGAAGCCAGCATATTGTCTCTGCATACTTACTACGATCACGCTTCTCCTCGGTGTTATGCTGGTGACACAAAGCAGTCTACGGTACAGCTAAGCTCCAATATGAGTTCATCTAAAGCCTATCCCAAAGCAGATATAACAAATGTAGGGCAAACCTCCTCCTAGACAGTTGTCATGGGCAAAAGTACCCCCATTGGAAGATTTCCCCTTTGTTTCTGTTCTGGTGACAACTCAAAAATTTGCAAGAACCTTAATTTTCATTCCGGTTCCCAAGTTTTATTTTGTATCAGCCTCTTAAAATCCCCTGCACAACAGAAGAGAGGGGCAGCAGTAGGGACTAATCTGTGGCGCACCATTCACACTTGCGTAGCAAGAGAGCGTGCACAAAACTGCGCAATCTTGCCTAGGCATTTAGATATGTGAGATCAGGTGAGATCAGTCAGTCTGATTTTCCGGTCACATGATGGGAATTCACAGAGACTCAAACTCACACACACACAGAGGTTGGACCTGTGTCTTTTCAACGTCATCAACTATGTAACTATGCAAGCTAACCCCGGGATTAGTTAAAGAGGACCTTTACGCTCAAAAATCTAATTCTACCAATGCATCCCTCTATGTATGATGATTAATAATTAGCATCTGCAGTATCGCCTACACCCCCGCACACAAAGTCCGGCCAGGTGAAGTCAGGGGGTGGCAGTAACGCCTCCAGCCCCCTCATACGAAGCCCAGAAACAATTACCTTTTCTCAAAACTGCTCTGAATACCCCCCAATGCTGGTCACATGAGCAATGCCTAGGCATTACATGTGAGGTCAGGCAAGATCAGTCAGTCTCATCCTATGGTCACATGATGGGAATTCACAGAGACTCAAACCCACACACACATATAGGTTGGACCTGTGTCTTTTTGAACATTGTCAACTAGGTAACTATGAAAGCTAATCCTGGGGTTAGCTAATGTCAAGAGCCCTCATAGTTCAGCTCTAGCTTTCTTCCTGGGACGGATAAGTAAACAGTAAAAGACGATCTTAAACACCTACTTCTCCTTAAAACTACTCTGAATACCTTCCTATGCTGATTACATGGCCTAATGCCTAGGCATTTGGATATGTGAGATCAGTCAGTCTGATTTCTAGTCACATGATGGGAAATCATAGAGACTCGAAGTTACACACACACACATAAGTTGGACCTGTGTCTTTTCAACCCTATAGGCTATGTAACTATGCAAGCTGACCCCGGGATTAGTTAATGGCGGGAGTGCTCATAGCTCAGGTTTAGCTGTCTTCCTTGGATGGATAAGCACTGAGTAATAGAAGATGTTAAACACCTACTTTTCCTTAAAACTGCTCTGAATAGCCTTCTATGCTGGTCGCATGACTAATGCCTAGGCATTACATGTGAGGTCAAGCGAGATCAGTCAGCCTCATCTTCTGGTCACATGATGGGAGTTCAAAGAGACTCAAACTCACATATAGGTTGGACCTTTGTCTTTTCAACGTCATCAACTATGTAACTATGCTAGCTAATTCCGTGATTAGTTAATAGCGGGAGCGCTCATAGTTTGTCTTTAGTTGTCCTCCTTGGATGACACGTAATTAGTAATAGAAGAGCTCAAAACTGCTCTGGACACCCTCCAATGCTGGCCGGATGGCCATATACCTAGACATTAGGGTTAGGGTTAGTGGTCACATGACCACTAAGAGAAGCCAGGAGAAGTGTTTCCTCCAGGAGAAGTAAGTATTCCAGCCTTTCTATGATGCTTTTAATTATTTATCCTTTTTGTTATCATCTCAGCACTGGTCCACATTAAAGGAAGCTTCCGCCCCTCCATACAGCCCTGGTACGGGTCAGCCCAATGGAGAAAAAAAAAAGGACAAACCCTTTAAACTGAACAGTCGATAACAAGTTCAATCTATTAAAAATTCCAATCTCCTTCCTTTCCAGAGTTTGAATTCTTTTCAATAAATGGATTAAACATAATTTAATTTTACGACAGTAAAACAAGTTGCCGCATCCATGAAGCATACCGGTGAATACTCCCATTGAATCTTTAATAAATTCCGCGCGCTATTTATTGGCTTGCCAAGAAGAATTGTTTAAATAATGATAAGCCACAATCTGCATCAGCACTAATGGAAATAATATCTCACTGACATAATTACAGCCTAATTAACCGTGACATTCCACAAATCAGTTTTTGCATATTGCCCTGTTCTTGTAAATTTTGTACATTGGAATAGAAATACGAGTAATAAATAATCGATTTCCAGCGTTATAAAGCCTGGCTTCCATTTGAAGTTTATTTTTCCATTTGTTTCCCCATCTAAAGGGTTGTAAAAATCAACTGCAAGGCTTAATAGGGGCTTCTGTCACACACGAAGCAAGATCAGAGTGTTGTAGGGCAAATTGAAATCATGTAGAAATCGATGTTGACAGTTGTACTGGCTCCTCTCCTGGACTGAACTTGGTTTGTCTGATTTCACTGCACACGCTGAGCTTCTCCCAATGAGCATTAGAAGCTGAAGCAAGCCTAATTTCCTGGCTGAAGGACATCCAGCACCATCCAGTTCATCTTGCCCTTTCCTTTCCAGGCTTAAAGGAGAACTATGGGGTAAGTGTTTTTCCCCATAGTTCTCCTAAGGGTCACGGCAGAACACAAACTAGCGTTCTCCCATGACCCAAACCTCAGTATACCACGAGCTACAATACTGTCTGATCCACCCAGCTGCGTGATTGACAGCTGGCTCTGCCTATCTAGAGTCAGAGCCAGTTGTGCCCGCCCCCTCCCCCGTCCTTCCGCCAGTCAGAACTGGCGGATCGGACAGGGGAGGGGGAATCCCTGCATCCCGTGAGTGACAGTCACAGCTCTCTGCAGGGATAGATCGAGAAGTGAGCGAGCGCCGGTATGTGTTCGCTCACTTCCCGATCTACTGAGCCTACCTGTGACATTTCCATTGTCACAGGTCGGCTCAGATTATGAGGCTGAGTGAAAATCACTTGCCTCATAATTCTCCTTTAATGTCCCTTCCCTTCTCTCCCCCATGACTACCACTCTTTTAATTTACTAGAATGCACTTCAATGAATTGAGATGATTGGGATGGCCAGGGGCATCCCCTTAATGAGACAGCCTGAGGCACTAGCATCTCCTTGACGCGTTTCAAGGGCAAGCCCCCTTCCTCAGAATCAAGATGATTCTGAGGAAGGTGGCTTGCCCCAGAAATGCGTCAATCTTGGCTGACTGCGGTCGGTGGACGGTGATGTGACCGGAGACTACCGTGTTACATAGTCGGGGGGATACCATGTTGGGTTAACAGACAGTGTGGCCTCTCGTTTGTTGTTAAAGCCTGATGAAAACGTTTGTTTGTGAGTACTTATATCCCTTGTTTTATTTATTGTAATAAACTATTTTACACACGGAGGTGGCGCTCTGTTCCCTTTTGTTTTCTATGTTTGTGGTGGAAGCCCAAGAGCCTTGGATGAGCAGCCCCTCAAGTCTGTGTAAAAAACTGTGATAAACTTCTGAAAACTTTGAGCGTGCAACAGCAAGTGGATTGTTCAGCTGGCAGCCATTAGCGCCAAGAGCTAAAGAAAACTTTTTGTCTGTATTTAATATTACCTGTAATGTGAATCTATTATAAATATTTCTTGTGCCTTGCACATGCAAAATGTTACATTACAAAAAATGTTAAAGACAATCTACAGAAGTTCACACCTAATCTAAAAAAATCATGAAACATGAAGGTGTCACAGATAAGACTCATTCTCTTTTACATGTAAATTGCAACTTGAGCTATTGAGCTCTGTACACAGCAAGACAAAGCAGATAACAAAGAAACCTTTAAAATGAATGAAAAAAAGCCAAACTCTCCAATTGCTGGCAGCATATAAATATCCAAAATGTTTACACGCAATATTTTATTTTCATGTATTTTTCATTTCATGGAACATTCATGTAATAAACATAACAGAAAGCAGGAGTGGAATCCACAATATTTGAACAATTTTAGAGGAAATTAAAAACGACAGTCCTTGGCTTGTAAAGTGCGTGCTGCTTTTCAAAAACCCGAGCGAGGCAGCAGAATCTGCCGTCTTATTCCGGTCCTCTGGAATGCGCCGTGTCAAGGATGGTACATACACTGCGTATTAACCTCTCTATTACTCCACAACCTTGGCAAGAGAAGAGGAATTGTTTCCTAAATCCCCCAACCAATTAATCTGCTTCTGCGTGTCTGTGATATACTGCACAACATTACAATCTACATGCACCTGTCTCAGGGGATTGGAAGCCTACAGCGTGAGCAGATGTAGCTAAAAGGAGAAAGCGCGGATACTAGAACCGCGGAATCTAGAACAGAACAATGGATAAGGAATACAATCAATGAAATAAGGAGAAGAGCTCATTTCATTACACAGCACTGTGATATATGTATATATCGATCAATCATCTATCTGTATAAAAAATAAATAAATGTAAAAAATAAAAAATGAAATAAAATGAAAAAATTAATAAAAAATACAACTTTCTCTCTCTCTCTCTCTCTCTCTCTCTCTCTATATATATATATATATATATACATATACTGTAGATATATAGATCTATATATATATATATCTATATAGATACTGTATATATAGATCTATATATCTATACAGTATATATAGATCTATATATAGTCAGTCCAGGTATCTCTAAATTGAATAGCGACATTTTAGAGGGCGCTACACTATATATATATACATACACCTATATACAGTATATATGTTTATATATTGGAAATTAGAATGAATTGATTGTGAATTCAGAGGGATTAATTTCTTCTAAGTATATCTTTATCACCTACATAAGACATCTGGAAATATGTTATATATAGAAATTTGTGATATGGATGTGTTTAACACCAACACATCCATAACAGCATCTTGTTTTTTATTTTTACATTTAAATAGAAAGAATCTTTCAACCACTTGAGCTGCCGGCCTTTTTTTCCCTAAATCTCCCTGAATCCCAAAGGTTTTTTTTTTTTTGCAATGTCTCAGTTCCTTACATGCTATCTTTTAGATTTGGTAGTCTACCCCAGCACTTCTTAAAGTCACAGCACTCTTTAAAAGGATACAAAATCTTCAGGCACCCTCAGTCTAAAATGTAAAAAATGGTGATGGAAAACCATAAAAAAAGACAAGCGGCCTCTCTAAAATTCATACCAGACCATTATCCCCTTACTTTCGCATCAGAGTACACCCCCAACTCACACTTGGATTGCCTACCCCTCCTTCACATCAGAAACTCCTTTCACATCAGAGTGCTCCCTTCACATCAAAATCCCTGCTTCAAATTAGAGTCCCCCTTCACATCAGAAGCACCCTTTTTCACATCTCTTAGAATAAAGTCCCTCCTTTCACATCAGAGCCCCCCTTCACATAAGAAGCCCCCCATTTAACATCAGACCATACTTCTTTCATATAAGAGTCCCCCTCTTTTACATCAGAGTCCCCTTTACATCAGAAGCTCCCCTTTCAACATCAGAGCATCCTTCTTTCATATCAGAGTCCCTCCTTCACATCAGGAGCCCCCCCCCCCCTACATCAAAGTCCCTCTATTTCACATCAGAGCCTCCTTCTTTCATATCATAGCCCCCTTCTTTCACATAAGAGCCCCCCTACACATCAGGAGCCATCTTTGACATCAGAAGTTCCCTTCACATCAGGAGCCATCTTTGACATCAGCAATCCCCTTCACATCAGGAGCCCTCTTTGACATCAGCAGTCTCCTTCACATCAGGGTCCTACTATCACACCAGGAGCCACAGCTGCAGCAGCATGGTAGAGGACAGGAGGCAGAGCAGACCTGGATAGAAGTGAACTTCCATCCTTTTCTAGACTAGTCCCACCCTCCCCAAATAAGAGTCATTAATTTTGGCCGCCAGCACCATAGAAAGGCTGGTCATTGGACAGAGGGATGGCTTACAACTACAATTCATGTTGTTAGGCAAACAAACTGAAACTATTTCAGAGAAGTACACAATGGACGTTTTCTAGCTAACAAAAGATAATAGCTGGAACCTTGTGGTGTCTGTTCCTACACAGAAGTCATACATATAAAAGTTTAAATTGGCAGCCAGGTTCAGGTTAAGCCCTTTTCTATTACAAAAACTATAACAATTAGACAAATGTCCTGACCCTCCCGGGAAGTGAAACTGTTGGCAATTCCATTTAAAGAGGAAGTGGAAGGAGCTACTCCAGAGAAAACCTCACACAGAAGAGTTTAAAATATACTCAAAGTAGAGCTGAAGTCAAATTTTTTTGTAGGGGGTTATAACTCCTGACAGATTTTTTTTCTAGCCATTTGTGTCCTATTAGGGAGAATTCCCTCCCTTGCCGATAGCCACAGCAGGAAGTGAGAGACTATTATCCCCATTGGAAGATTTCCCATTTCTGTTCTGGTGACAAACCAAAAGTTGAGGTTTTCTTTAACTTTCAGGGATAACGGTCACCAAAACAAATAGAGAGGGTAACTCTCCCTAACGGGGGCAGGTGTTTTTATCCCTCTCCACCCTATCCCAAAAGAAATGGCTTCAGTTGCACTTTAAGTAATTTAAAAGTAAAGCAGAAGTATTAGAATAATGTATGACACACTATATTAACATATACTAAAAATAATAATATATAATAATGAACATAATTAGATATACCTGGCAGACAGTTTAGATAGTTGGGACTTACCTGAACACCAATTTAAGTTCAGCTTGCTCGACTTCTTTAAGCTGAAGGTCGTCTTCCAGCCTCTCCACAATAACGGCGTAGGACTCGCCAACTTTTTTCTTCCACTCATCTATAACAAAATAAAGAAGAATTAACGATGTGACAAGAGAAAATAATGGCCGTCATAACTTGCTGTTGCTTTGCCATATTTTTTGGCACACGGATTGGAGACTTCCTCTTTGTGTAAGTGGAAATAGCGAGTGCTACGGCGGATCTTAAAGGAATTGTAACCGGGGTGTTTTTTTTTTTTTTCACTGAGGCATTTTGTGATGCTTGTAATTTGGCCTAAACATCGCACAGCAAACTGGATGGAAGCAAATGCGAGAAAGAGTCAAAGTAATAATGCAAACAGGCTCATTAAAGGAAATCTCAAGGGTAGAAGGATGCAAGCCAAGATGTATAAATAGTATTGTAGCAGCAGGGAAGGAGAGAGTAGACATTATCATGTCCTCGGCTCTGACCCCAGAATGTTTGACCAATGTCCCAGTGGAAACATTACCATGTGTTTATTACACTGCCAGCCTCTCGTGTATTTTATTGTATGAGGTGTTGTGGCTGGAGTCCAATGATGTATTTAAAGGGGAAAATGTGATACTGGTAATGGTGGTGGAAATTTAAAGGGAAACCTTAATTCTTTTTATGTTAATATTTTTAAATTGATATTTTATATATGTGTATAATATTTTATATATATACTGGCGGGTTATGGATAGTACACCTACATCGGGGAGGGGAAGGACCGCTCGTCCAAAGGTAAGTATAGTGGGGGGAAGAGGGGGCCAGATTGGAGGGGGTAATCCCAGGTAAGTATATGGGTGGAGTATATGGGTGGAGGGCTTGAGATGAGGCCAGATTGGAGGAGGTCATTCCATTTTCCCAAATTTGCCCTTGGAAAGTGGAATTAGTAATCCCGAATTACCCTTTACCGTACTTTATTTTCAATTTAATAGCTTCATATAATTTGTATCTTCTATATCTGCCTGGAGTTAGGCTTTTATTGGCTGCTGTTGATTGCTGCACATCCTCATCCTCTTATGTGACTCCTAGTTCAGTTTAAAGGCCCCATAAAAAACCGCAATACATTGTAACAATTGTATAGAGTATAAAATCTCTGACGTTACCTGTACATGTCTGGGTGGGTCTGGACTTGTAGTTCCCCATGTGTGTTACTTCTTTTTCTTCTCCCCTTCAGCCGTAGAATTCCTGGTAACACTATTCCTTCTGCAAGAACAATGTCCCGCCTGCTGAAAGGGCTATGCTAGCCCCACCGGCTAAAAATAAACGTCTCTGTCAATGGAATGTCACACAACAATGACACGGAGCGACTTCTGTGCGCAGGCAACGCTGGAGGTAATCACATTGTCAGAGACTTCTAATCTCTTCATTGCCTGTTATTAAAATCCCAAAATGAAAACTGTAAGTTTTTTTTTACATCTTCACATGCTTCGTTCAAGTTCCAGGTGCTATAATAACCTTATTTATTACAGGTATTTATATAGTGCCAACAATTTACGCAGCACTTTATATACTCCACATTCACATCAGTCCCTGCCCACAAGGAGCTTACAATCTAAGGTCCCTATTGCACATCCGTACATACATACACACAGGGCCAATTATTTAGACCAGAGCCCATTAACTATACACTCAGCACCAGGAGGAGGTAGGGGGGGCAGGAGGAACCAGTGTGTGGATCTCAGCAAACCACTTGTGACTTTTTCAGATACTTTGCGCTTTTGCCCATTTACCAAGTTCTGCAGTGTATGGTCCTGAATCGGGGACACAAGATGTCACTGCTTGCTATCTCTCCTCACTCATCCTCTTGGCTGTCTCTACTCACTGACCTTGCTGGCTGTCTCTACTCACTCTCTCCTGGCTGTCTCTCCGCGCTCTTTCTCCTGGCTGTCTCTCCTCGCTTTCTCTCCTTGCTCTCTCCTGGCTCTCTCTCTTATCTCTCTCTCCTGCCTGTCTCTCCTGGCTGTCTCTCACTCTCTCCTCACTCATCCTCCTGTCTGTCTCTCTTCTCTCTCTCCTGCATGTCTCTCCTCGCTGTCTCTCACTCTCTCTCCTCGCTTTCTCTCCTGGCTGTCTCTCCTCACTCTCACCTGGCTGTCTCTTCTCCCTCTCTCTCCTGGCTCTCTCTCTTCGCTCTCTCCTGGCTGTCTCTCCTCGCTCTCTCTCCTGGCTGTCTCTCCTCGCTCTCTCACCTGGCTGTCTCTCCTCACTTTCTCTCCATGCTGACTCCCCTCCCTCTCCTGGCTATTTCTCTTGGCTGTCTCTCCTTGCTCTCTCTCCTGGCTGTCTTTCCTCATTCTCTCCCCTGGCTGTCTCTCCTCATTCTCTCTCTCTCTCTCTCTCTCCTGGCTGTCTCTCTTCGCTCTCTCCTGGCTGTCTCTCCTCTCACTCTCTCCTGGCTGTGTCTCTTTGCTCTCTCTCCTGGCTGCCTTTCTTCGCTCTCTCGCCTCCCACTCTCTCCTGGCTGTCTCTCCTCTCTCTTCTGACTGTCTCTCCTTTCCTGGTTGTCTCTCCTTGCTCTCTCTCCTCGCTTTCTCCTGTATATTCTACAAAACAAATTGTCACATGGCGCTAGGGTGTTTGGGTTTCACTTGAAGAAAAGGTGACAACCCTTAGCGGAGCATATGACAAGCCTACAGGTATAATAGACAACCCCTTTAAGAAAAATACAAAATGAGACTCTGAACAGCAATGGAAAGATGAAATTTATTTCGGCAATAAATAGGAGAAGGATGTCAGAGCGGATGGCGAGGAATACAGCTTTTCATCAGCCATCGCAATTAATCTATATATCATTCAGGGTGATTCTTTTAGTAAAAGCAGCATGCTGCACATTTTTCGGAGTACCGTAGATCAGACGCCTGGAAGTCTGTTATTGTATCATTGGGATATTAATAATATTTATTTGCTTGTCGGCTTTAGAAGCCACGAATGCATCTCAATCCCACTTGATGATATTTTAGTGTCTGTCCCATGTTCTATTGACATACACTTTGAGGACAGACGTAGATCACAATCCTCGACTGGCTTTATTCATTATATTCATCCAGATAGAGCCAACAAATGTCATTTTAGGAAATAGAGCCAATTATTAGTCAATCTTCTATCCTGACCCGAGATTTAAAGCACAGCTCCAGCCTCCAGTTGTAACGGCTCCTCTTCTGGACTGGCTTCCTCTGATTTCACTGCACACTGTGAGCTTTTCACTATGTGCATTAGAAGCTGCAGTGAGTGAGGTAAAGCCCGCCTGATTTCCTGGCTGGAGAACGTCCAGCAGCATCTATAACTTTCCTCCACAACTTGACTGTCCTTGGCCTGTCCCTTTCATTCATTTCTTTCAGTCATGCAGACTCTATATCACATGGGGGTCTTACCATAGCTTCCTGGTCCTGGAAACTATGTACAGCACCCTGAGCTCATCAGAGTAAAAGCTCTGACTCTACTGGGGCTGTTAACATTACATCCAAGATGTCAGCACGCAGCAGCAGTCTCCATGCTTTTGGATGTCTACACATGGGACCAGGGCCATAACTACAGATCATGGGGCCCCATAGCAAAAATGTAATGCTTGGCCCTGGTGACCTCTCAGCTGTGAACAACAATGCCAAGATCCCAAAGACTCCTCTTGTACATCTGAAGTCGTCTCTACACTGTAGACTTTACCACCAATACTTATCTTCCCATGTTCTATGACAACCTCAACAATCTAATGGGGTCCCATAACAGCCACCTGGGCTGCTATGGCTATAGTTGCACCACTGCATGGGAGGCTTTTACAGGTAAATTACATGTATAAAACTAGGGATGCACCGATACCGATACTAGTATCGGTGCCGGGTATTTGGGCGAGTACTCATACTCGCCCAAATGCTCCGATACCGAGCCCGATACTGAGCTTCTGGTTCAGGAAGCTGGGCAGCGAGTCATTACACGCTGCTTGGCTTCCTGATTGGCCGGGAAGCCGGCTCCATGCTCCTTCGTCACTGACAAGGGAGCACGGGGACGGCTTCCCGGCCAACAGGAAGCTGGGCAGTGTGTAATGACTCGCTGCCCGGCTTCCTGGTTGGTCAGGAAGCTGGCCATTCAAGAAGCCGGGTGCCGTGTAATGAGGCGGCACCTTGCTTTCTGATTGGCCAGGAAGCTAGCTTCATGCTCCCTCGTCACCTCACGATGAGGGAGCATGGAGCCGGCTTCCCTGCCAATCAGGAAACCGGGGCGCCGTGTCATTACATGGCGCCCAGCTTTCTGATTGGCCCGAAAGCTGACTAGTGACACCTAGTGAGAAGCATGGAGACGGCTTCCCTGCTAATCGGGAAGCCGGGTGGCGAGTCTTCACATGCCATCTGGTTTATCGGCTAATCAGGAAGCCTGGTGGCGAGTCATTACACGCCGCACGGCTTCCTTAATAGGACTTCAGGTATCGGTATTCGGTATCGGCGACTACCGGGAAACAATATCGGTACTCGTACTCGATACCAGTATAGGTGCATCCCTATATAAAACACATTACATGCTCATATAATCTTTTGGAAAGGTTTTTGTTGGTACCCCTTCTCCAGGGACAGGGTCTCTTTAAAGGATTGTTAACAGATGCCAGGCTATGTACTGATCCGATAAGGTCTCTGTAACGCACTCGCCGTTCCTGCCATTAACTTGATTAAAAAAAATTAATTACCTGCCGCCTGGCTATTACAATTATCAGTGCTCTCTTTCCTCACACCACTAATCTGCACAAACACCTTTCTAATGAATGCCTGGATGCCATTCCCAGGGTAATCCATCACCCGATATTAGACTGACATGACAGCTCACACAATTCTGCACCAATTAGAACTTTTTTTTAAACAAAATCCATTACAGGGAAAAAAAAAAAAAAGTCCCTCCTGGCACAGTCCTTCCGAGACGTTGGATTCATCCCGGAGACATTCTGCGCTTTTGAGAAAACACAGGAAATTGGCGATGTAAGGAAGATTTATCACCTGGAAGATGGACCCAGGTAGACATTTAAAGCTCAACTCCGGGGAAATTTCCAAAGTACTCTTGTTGCAAAACCCCTCCAGACTGCAAGGGTTAAATGCTCGGGTACAGCGGTTTATACTTAACTGATCATTATTGTCTAGGGTACCATTAAAAAGCAGTTACTCCTTGCTCCCCATGGCCAGCGTCGTTCTCCTCTACCCTCCGGTGCTCTGATTTGCGGGTGTTAACATATATTTTTTCATGTTATGTACATGCATGCTAGGAAATGTGTCAGTATAACACTCCCAGGTATTGATTACCTCACACAGGGATCACATTACTCCTCTTGACAATGCCTTTATTAGCTTTTATCTCCAGAAGGACAGCACTATCTTTGCTCAGGCATCTTCCGATCACCATCTGCTTCCTGGACACAGATGCAGATCTATAGACATTGTCATATGAAACCTACTGTGTATGAAGTAACCTTTAAGTTCCAAACTGTGAGTAAATGTTATGTCACATGGATCAGCTCTCTCCCCGTGTAAAGAGAGATGAGCCTGGGCTTGATGCAAACCAAGTTTGTCCATGCCTGCTCAACACTGGGACCTTCACCCCCATCTCCTGACCTAATCAGTGGCGGCAGGGGCATTCCCTGCCCCTTTGTAACATATAGCTGTAGGGCGGGAAATGTGCCTCTCTGCTCCTGGAGGAGGGGGTGGTGGTTCCAAGGTTGAGCGGGATTGGGGAGCACAGAGTTACTACATGTAACCTGCTATACAGTGGTTACAAGCTGAATGATCTCTGGAGGAGGAAGGCTGAGAAAATTCTTCCTCTTTCCTGCCGCAAACTGATCATTCTTCCAGACAGCACCTCCCAGCCCAAGCTCAGTGATGTGCATAGAACTCAAAAGCTGATTTTTAAAGCCCAAATTTAGCCAAACCTTCTTTACTTTGATATAGCATGTTGCATTTGGCAAGTTGCAGTCAGTGGGAGTGTTTTTGATACCGAAGGGGATTTTGCATTGTAATACTGCTCCACAACCACGTGCCTAGCGCTTGATGCACAGTTGTGGCATGGTATTCCAATGTAAAGTCCTCCTTTGTATTAAACCCCCCCTCCCCCCCCAAAAGAAGACAGCCATTTCAGAGACGTCACTATTACCGTTTAATGCATGCAAACTGCCGCTCAACCGAGCTCTGAAAAGCTATCCACCACGGATCACATTCCAGGCAGAATGAGGCCTAAATTACTGCATTACTTGTGTTGTAATTAGGGATGCACCCATACCGGTATTTCGGTATAGAGTATGAGTACAGATAAAAAAAAATTGTTACTCGCCGATACCGAATACAAAATATCGGAAGTCCCATTCAGGAAGCCAGGCGGCGTGTAAAGACTCACCACCCGGCTTCCCGATTAGCAGGGAAGCCGTCCCCATGCTTCTGGTCACTAGGTGAGGAGAAAGCATGGAGCCGGCTTTCTGGCCAATCAGAAAGCTGGGCACTGAGTCATTACATGGTGTCCGGTTTCCTGATTGGCCAGTTTCCTGAATAACCAGGAAGCAGAGCAGCGAGTCATTACACGCTGCCCGGCTTCCCGATTGGCCGGGAAGCCGGCTCCATGCTCTCTCGTCACAAGTAATTAGGAAGCATGGAGCCGGCTTCACGGCCAATCAGGAAGCCGGGCAGTATGTAATGATGCGCTGCCCGGCTTCTTGATACCGGAAGTATCGGGCTAGGCATCGGAGCATTTGGGCGAGTACGATTATTAGCCCGAATACTCGGCACCGATACTAGTATCCGTGCATCCCTAGTTGCAATAATGTACTGCATATAGTTATGAAACATTTTTCACCTGTAAACAAAAGTGGAAACTTCATTTAGGAAGTATCAAAGAGGTATTTATTATAAGAAGAATTAAAGAGGATCAAAAAATAAATATCCAAATAATCATTGTTTAGACAATCATATAACAAGATTACAAATATTCAAAAGAAAGATTGAGTCGATTCAGTAAGCAAAAAAGTAACAGTGTGGCAGCCAATCATCTTGCTCAAACTAAAGAAAGGCAGCCTCCCATTGGTTGCTGTGTGTTACTGCACTTTCTATCCCATCAAACACCCTAAAATAAGCCCAGTTGTTCACAGTTAGAAGCCATTACACGATTTCCGTTTGCTCCAATAAAGAAGTCAAATATAAAAAAAAAAAAACAGAAGTTGGAAACATAAATAAGCAACGCGTTATTATTATTAAATTATCTTTGGATATTTTCCAGTTTATGCTGTAGAGGTTCACATCAAGCAGCGAGTTAATTAACTCAACAATCACATTATGAAAATAATCTGATTCATTATCGCAGCGAGAAATATCCTTGTATGTTTCCTATTTTGAGACATAATAGTAATTAATGAGAATTATCATTAAATCCTACCTGCCGTTCCCTTCTCTACAGTCCTCTGTTACAAAGAATGGTTTGCCGGCAGTATTGTGGGATGCCGTGGCTGGACTGGCTTTAAGATTGATTATCTATGCCTTGACGAGTCGATAATGGGAAAACACAATAATAAAAAGAAAAACCTCCTTTTGTGCAGATTTCCCTCTTTTTATCAGGTATTTTTTTACAAAATATAAATAAAGAACAGTTGGTCCCTCATGTTTGCCTAATATGCAGAGCCGCTCTTTAAGAATGCAGACTACCAAACCAGAAATGGTGGAGACGTCTACATGCCGCCTGAGGTAAACAGCACCCCCGTCCGGCTTTTTGGTGGACATTTAAAGCTGAACTCCAGGAAGATATAAAAAGACACCAGTTAATGCAGCGCCGCAATCCTTAACACATTGAGAAGTCTCATCACCATTCATATATTTTCTTGATCTTGTCTCCCAGGGGACAAAGTTCTGCATTCCATTTTGATTGATGTAGTGGATTCAGAGATATTGTGGTTGACAGCGTACCCCCCTCCCCTCAACTGTTGTCCGAACATGCTGCTCTCTCTTGTGGTCGACAGCGCACCCCCCTCCCCTTAATTGTTGTCTGAACATGCTTCTCTCTCATGGTCGACAGCGTACCCCCTTCCCCTCAATTGTTGTCCGAACATGCTGCTTTCTCTTGTGGTTGACAGCGCACCCCCCTCCCCTCAATTGTTGTCCGAATTCTAGGACAGCACCCTTTAAAAGTATACAAAATCTTGAGGCACCCCAGTGTAAAATGTAAAAAACAAAGTGTGGTTCCCAACAAAATCTATAACAGACCTTTATTCTAGATAGACAAAGAACAACTCTTCACACCGGAGTCCCCCTTTCACATTTCAAGCCCTCCTTCCCTTTAGAGTCCCCCTTTCACATCAGAGTTCCACCCTCACTCCAGGAGCCATATGTGTACTTCAGGAGAAGGCTTCACATCACATCAGAGCCCTGTCTTTTAATATTCCCCACAGTGCAGCTAAAGCAGTATGGCAGGGGCACGGGATGGAGGTGGACTTCTGTCCTCTTCCGAATGCTCAAACAAGGTCCTGGATGTAACCCGACCTGGATTAGCGGCATTCATTTCCATGGTGCTGGTGGCTGGCTGGCTCACTTTCTCATGCACCCTCCTTGAGAAAGGCTGCTCTAGAAGATGAATATTTAATTAGCACTAAGGGATGGTGCCTTTCTCAAACACCATGTGCTTGCCAGAGACCAACACTGTCACAGTGCAAGCAGAAGGAGGGAGGCAGAGAGAAGGCGGAAGTTGCTTTAAAATGAGTGCAGGTTCACTAAAAAGCGGACCTTAAAGTCTATCTAAACACAAGAACAGAAAAATTATAATATATTGCAGCTCATCAGTCCTTAGATGTTGTGGATGCATTTGTTTTCTTTAATTTTCACCTGGCGATCCTGCCATTAACATACTTCCTTGACTGACGTGTTTTTGACTGACTGGAGATCAGATTCCCACTCCATATCTTCCTCCAATGCCAATACCCATCAAGCAAGGAACAGCCATGGAGAGACCCCTAGATGGTCCATCCAGAGAGGGGGCAAAACTGTAGCAGAAAGTGAGCATCGGCTGGCCTGTTACATAGGGAGCATTCCCCCGATAAAAAGTATATTTGAACAAATCCTCCAATAAAGAGTTAACTCAACATTTCTCAGCATTCTAATACTCGGCAACCCCATGTAGAAGCAGATGGATTCTAAGTACCCGCTGATATGATAGTGGTTATCTCAATACCCCCTCTAGTGTATATATTAATTATCTCTATAGAGTTTTCTATGCCACCTCCCATGGCTTGCACTGGGTAAAATGTATCTGCTTCAGTTTTAATGCTTTGGTTTTTTTTTCTAATTTCGTGAAACCATCATTTGAAGATAACGTAAATAATCCCTTGTCCATGTAACAGGGGTCGTAAACCACTAAAGTAAAACACATCTCCAGGTAAACCACTAAATGCCCAGATGAAATGAATAGATGAGAGATGTTTGACATGCCAAGATTTGCATTTCTGTACATCCAGTCCTGAGATTTACGCAGCCCTGTGTTCCCAGCCTGGGAACTGGACAGTGAAAGAAGAAGCAGCACACTGATGAGCTCATCTCTCCTATCCGCATTTTCCTTGTTAGGAGATGAACACTGTAGAACAATTGACTGGCTCCTTGTGCGGCTTCTCCCTCTCTGAGCTCTGCTGTACAGGGACTGCAAAAGGCTTTTTATAAATATATATATATATATATTATACATACACACACACACTTTATATACAAATACATATAATGCATGAATAAATACAGAGCTGAATTAATCTGTTTCTTTTATATGTATCTGGAGCTCAGCTAACTGCGTCGATTGATTGCTGGTATAAGTACCTGAATTTGTTTTCACATTACCTTAACTATATAACTAAAAGGGAAAATATTCAGAACCGTTTCTTGTGTTATGATGATGTTATACATGGGGCTTGTCCTGCTATCTTGGTAATTTTATATGTAGCCCTTGGTTATATCTGATGTTTCTACTGTACAGGACGCCAGGTATGGGTCCTAGATGGACGGTATATCCCTCCCTTGTTTAGGTGGTGGTCCTGTTAAGGTCACCTTGTATTCAGGATTCTCGCCAAGCAGGGTGAGGGTTTCCGGTCGGACTTGTAAGGGAAACTGCTAGGCAGTCTTCCCAGAGTTGTTAAATATACATGGGTCCCGGAATCCGGAGGCTCAGAGAGATTTTTAGGTGGGACAGAGCCTCCATCCCTGACTACAGCCAGTTCTGGAAATGAAAGGGTTAACCCACCAGCTAGAGGATGTGTTAAAAGGAACAGGAAGACAGTCAGTCTGTGAGGAGTGTTTGGAGCAGGCTGTGTGTGTTAAGCTGTGGAATACCGTCTACCGAGACACTGCTGGGGCACCTGTGTCCATACTGGAACCCTCTGTGAGCAGGCTGGGGCTCTAACCCTGAGCTGGGGCTTGGTATACAGGCGCTGAGCCGAATCTTGTGTTTGCTGTCAATAAGCCCTGTTGATTTTGTCATTCTGCTGGATATAAGCCATTTTTGTTTGATTGTTTGAGGAAAAGAATAAAAGTTTATTTGCTGATACGGCTGGCTACGGGTCATATCCGCCCTGAATATTACATTACCTTTCTTCTAAATATATGCAATACAAATTTTAAAATGCCGGGGGTGGGGGACTATGGGAAAGGGGTTTAAGTGCAATTGAGCTTTACGATGGGTAGCAGCAGAGCCTGGAACTGAAGCAGGGATATCTCACCGCTGCAGTCCTCAAGAAGCCAATGTGTGATCCATGGCACCAATCTCAGTTTTGGATGGACTGACCCTTTAAAAATGTTGCCGCTATAGCCTGGGGCCGATCACAAGCTGCTGAACAAACTATACTCTGCCTTGTCTTTCAGCGCAGATCTCCTTATAAAGTAGATTTCTAAAGTTCAACATCTCTTCAACATTTTTGCATTCCAGCATCTCTTCAATCGACAGCCTCTTAGCATCTCCCAGACGCACTCGCGACTGGCTGTGCGCGGCTGCCAACATCGCCAGAGACGCTTCGACAGACTCTCTCAAAGTTGCACAAGTCGGGAAGAGACGGGCGCTCCACAAACTCTTTCGGCTGCTGGAAAAAAGCTTCTCTGAAACTCCAATGCCCCAGAGCTCCAAGCACTGCAGCAGACTCTCGCCGAATATCTGAAGCGAGTTCAGATCCGACAACGAAGCCGCGCTCCTTTTCAAGTCGTCCTCAATCCCAAACAGGATTGTCGCATGCATCAGCCGCCCATCAATCACCAGACTTAATGAACTCACAAAAGATTTGTCGGGTATCGTTGATCTAATACTTATGCATGAACCGCTGATGATACAGCATTCCCCTACGGAGACACCGGGCCCCAGCCTGGAATATTCAATCACCGTGTGAGGTGAAACACGGCATTGAGCGTCTAATATGCTTTGAATGACACAAGCCTTTATATTCTTATTTTTATCTTGATCTGGAATGATGCTGAAAACGTCGGCCTGTAATCCTAGTTCTGCCCGGAGCCGGGCGTCAGAAGTGAAATGATGTAAGTATTCCTGCAAGGTCCCGATGTGATAGAATTTTGAATTGTTTAAAACGACGACGGTGAAGCCTGTTGCCCTCAGTAGGAAGTAGATTTTCTTCCGCACATCAGTCAGCTGTGATTCTATTTTCGAGACGTTGGCGGTGTTCTCTGTGTAGTCTAGCGTGGCGTCGGGCCCCAAAGCCTGCAGAAAGTCCCCGTATGCATCTATCTCGCACGTCACGCTGCCTAACTCTTGAAAGAAACCGAGGAGAAGTTTTGCAGTCGTGTAATCCATATAAAACAGGCTATCCGTATGAACTATTTCAGGACAAGGGTTATTTTTATCCTGGCTTTGCAAAGGGCTTGTTTTACTCAGGTCGATGGTTACGGCACCCGTTTGGCGCATTTTCTCAACGGAGGGCTTATGGAGGTAGGATTTGCAGGATCTGATCTGCAGCTCGCTACATTCTAAATCGGAATTTTCTAACACAAACACCCCATGGGTGGTGCCTATGGCTAACGTGGATGGGTGGGCTAGAGCAGTGATGCCAGGCCTATCGAACGTAACTGGCATCTCTTGGCTGGAATAGAGTTCTATGTCATCGGCGCAAGTCACCAGGACACCTGGCTTCATGTTGGCGGGGAAGTCGATATAAATAGCCAGCTTCAAATCAATCATTTGATAAACAGGGTCACCGAACGGTAGGGCTGTGAAGATCTTCCCCAAGGCGCTGGCATGGGGCAACCGCTGGCTGTAGCCACCTAAGAAGAAAACAAATAAAAAATATGGTGAAAAGTATAATGTAGATTAGGTGTTGGTATAATATTAATTTCCAATAAACAAAAAATCTCTCTCTGAAATCAAGTAGGTGTGGCTCTCTGTAGAAAATAACACAGTCCCTTTAAGAGACCCTCCCACCAGGGCATTTATTTAAACAAAAATACTTCCATAACCATACATATGCAGTAAACATATATTAGGCATACTAATTATTTCTTAAAACAAGATAATGGCAGGAACGGCGAGACCATATCGGATCAGTACATTGCTGGGCATCTGTGTACAATCCCTTAAAGAGACCCTGTTACCAGACCATTTATTTAAACAAAAATATTCCCATAAGATTACATATGCAGTAAACATACTGTATATTAGACATGCTAGGTATTGCCAGGAATAGCGTTCATGTTACAGAGACCATATTGAGATCAGTACATTGCCTGGCATCTGTTGAAAATCCCTTAAAGAGACCCTGTCGCCGGTCCAGCCAATTCAAGAAAAACCTTTCCAAAACATAATATGAGCAATTAACGTACGTTAGGCATATTACTGATGAAAGCCTCTCTTTTATAGACATCCAAAATCCCAAAAAATGCTGCCGGGTGCCGCCATCTTGTATGTGATGTCAGCAGCCCCAGCAGACTCAGGGCTGTCATTCACTAACACTCTATAGTATTCCCCTTTCACTCCTTCCCTGACAGCTACATAAAAGGGTACATAGGGAAGTGAGGGGATGAGTGAAGATGCCGGGCTAGCGCAGACAGTAATTAGCACTCCCAGAAGAGGAGAGCAATATGATGTGCAAGGATGGAGGGAGCTGTGCCAGGGAATCGACTTGTCAAATGTTCTAGCAAGTTCAGAAACATATTGTTATTGAATATAATAAATGGCCATAAGCATTTAAAGACTTTTTTTCTCAGCTTTTACTCACGTTATTTTTAAGTTTGTGACAGGGTCTCTTTAAAGATAACAGGAAGAGACAGGAAATGATTGAAAATCAGCCCAACTTGAACATAGACAGTAAAAAAAAAAATGTGACAGAAGTCCTAACCTTTCCCTACTCAAAACATTCCCTATCCAAATCACTGCAGGACTTTGTTCCTGGCAAAGTGGTCAGTATAGATGTAAAGTGTTAAGTGTACAAGTGACCCTCTTGGAGAACTGCCCCTTAGCACTGGTGGACAGTGTAGGCAGGAGATAAATCTGCCCCTCATTGCTCAGGATCTCCTATCAACTCCAGGATGAACCACGGAACCCTAATTGAGACAGATTGCCATAGACCAGGGGCGGTCAACTTTCCTGATATAGGGAGCCTCCAGTGCAGCCCCTGACATCACCAAATGGCCGCACGTAAATGCCGTCAGAGACTGCAGACATCCAACAGGAGATGGTCACAGACTGCAAAGCATGGTTTCCTACGGTTGTTGGAGACTGGGGACATGTTTCAGGAGACAGCCATAGCCTGGAGACACGTTACATGAGATATCTATAGATAACTGATATTACAGCCCCTTTACAAATCAATACTTCCACTTTTGTGCTACCTATAGCCCTTTACAAATATCTGTACCGCATTTGATATTTCTCGCCAAGATCCATTATTAAAAGATCAGAAGAATAAAAAAACATAAAAGTAGAAGACAAAAGCAATGGACAGCAAAGATAAAAATAAGTGTGAAAGATATATATGAAGCTCTTTCAGTGCCAGTCTAAAATATATTTTCCTTCACTGGCCTAAGTAAGCACCTAGGTGAGGGAAACATGGACTAATGTCCTTAGGGGCCCTGAGGACCACCAATTAAGTGCAAAAGGGCTGCATGCGCCTACTCGGGCTGCAGGTTAGGCACCAGAGCCACTGGCAGTTATCAGACAGTGGTACCAGCCGCACCGGGCAAACGCCGAGATAAACATTAGATCCACTCTGCGGGGAGGGGATTGGGGACCTAGTTCTTATTTATTGGTCCTGTAGAATGCTCCAAGACTTTTCGTCCGGGTATGCTCCCTCACCCAGAAATTAATGAGGTTTGATCTTCGCGATAGCCCGGCTGCTTGTCTTCTCCATGTTTCAAGTTTGTCTAGAATTAGATATAGAGGGTGGATTGTGCTTTACCTGCTCAATGAGGCTAAACTTTGAATTCCTGCCCTCTGGAAGCAATCTGTTCCTCCCTCTATGACCTTGTGGTTTCCAAAATTAAAGAAACCGAATGTATTGGAAGACCTTACAGCTTCTCTCTACAATCGGGAATAGAGATTTCACCGTACGTGGTTCAACTGGCATGATTATATTTTTTCTCATGATTATGACCTGGGACTTTCGGGAGCGGAGGTGGTGGCTCTACCGGCGCTGGGAGATGCAGGGGAGGTTGATCTTGCTGCTTTCCCCTAGCGCTCTTTCCTTTCCTTTTTATTACCTTTATTCTCTTTTGGTTTTTCTTCTATACTTTTTCTATGTGCTTGGGATTTCTGGTTCCGAATTGTATTTTCTGCTCCTCGTGGCTCAGAACCGAATCTCTGCTTACTATTACCTTTTACGTAGTGTGTTCTCCCTCGTCTTCTCCGTGTTTTGTTTTCTTTCCTTTCTTGTTTCTTGTTTCGGAGGCAATTTTTGGTATAGTTGTATTAGATAAAATGTTTTTCTCATACGATGGGGATCCAGTCGATAGGAGTAAGTGGGGGGAATTTATCATAGCAATTGCGAGTGTTTGAACTTGCACGGAATATATTTCCACCAGATTTATGATGCTAATGTAATGTTCTTCATAAAATGAGGATTAATAGATTCCAGGAAAGAAGACTTGTAACTCCAGGGAAAAAGCTTAACTGTCGCTTCTTAAAGAAGTGGTCATGGGGACTTCTTAAGTTGCGATTTGTTAGGTGATGCTCCAGTTTCAGACAACCCCAGAACAAGTGCAAATGAAAACAGGTGCAAAAAAAACGTGCAGTTGAAAAAGTAGCGCAAGCTCTGGTCAAAACAGGCGCACGTGTTAAAAGACAGATTTGCACATAAAAAAATAAATAAATGGTCTAAGAGGCTAAAACTGTCGCAATTGCTTTGATAAATTCCCCCTATGTGTTTTGACTGGGTGGTTATGAAACAAAACACCTGTCTTTTTGTATACTTTATGCTTACCGTTGCTTGTGCCTTCTGTTACTCTAGTGTGTGAGATTATAAATAAAGAATACAAAAAAAATTATAAGAATCAGATCCACTTACAAGTAAAGTGTGAGCTTAAACGCCACATTTACTTGTTCCATCGCGGTGCACCATTAAATTTTAAAAAAGGAGGCACTTGTTAGAGGCCTGAGCCACGCACCAACAGACCAGCAAAAAAGTTCCTGACAGACAAGGATGTCCAGATAATTGAAAATCAATGTGAAACCCATTCAATTTACAACAGATCGATTATGTTTAATTAGTTAAAACAAGATCCTTGAAGATAAGGTATTGACCTCAAAAAGTATCCAGTGCTGGGTAATTATTTCTTGACCTACTTAATAAGGAAATTATCAGTGAAAAGATACAAATCAGGAAATACACAAAAAACATACCAGCATGGATTAGCATGACTGTAAAAGCATCCAAATCACTGGGGTACAGCTGATGCAGGCAGTGCAGGGCGTACAATGTAGATCCTCCATTCCCTGCAGGGAAAACATTACAGAAAATCGGTCACGCTGCTTAAACTTTAATAACGTACGCTAGAAATGAAAAGTAGGAAGCAAAAGGCATCTGCAGGTACCCGTAATTATGCACATGCCCTTCTAAGCACTCCCCGCAGCTCTGGGTGCCCACGCTGGGGCATTGAGTCTAGCTTGGCCTTAGAGCTTTGTGTGGTAGCACAGTCCTGACCTCTGAGACTCTCACTGGTTTGTGGGATAGCCCGCTTGTTTTTGATGCCAGAGTGATGGCAACAGCAATTTTATGGCACAAACTTCTTTTTTTCTACAGGAATAACTCTTATTGCATATGTTATATACTCACCACATTAATCAATGGAAATCAATATATACCCCCCAAAGAGTAACAGTCCTTCACAGATCGATCGATAGATCTTTGTGGAAATCTGGCCATCACTCTTACACTATATGGTCAAAAGAATGTTGACACCCATTCAAATGAGTTTAGGTATCTCCAGTGAAGGGTAATGTAAACACTACAGCATACAAAGAAATGTTAGACAATTGTGAGCTTCCAACCTTATGACAACAGTTTGGGGAAGGCCCTTTCTGTTCCAGCATAACTGTAGCCCTGTGCACCAATCCAGCACCATAAAGTCATGGTTTGAAGAGTTTGATGTGGAGGAACTGGAATGGTTTGCATAGAGCCCTTATCTTAACCCTACTGAACACCTTTGGGATAAACTGGAATGCTAATTGTGAGCCAGGCCTTCTCCGCCAACATCAGGACCTGACCTCACAAATTCTCTTCTGGATGAATGGGCCAAAAATCCACCAGACACGCTCCAAAATCTTCCTAGAGGTTATGGGAGGTTATTATAGCCACCAAAGGGAAGCCAATGCCATATTACAAGTTATAGTTTTGGAATGTAATGGAAAGAGGAAGGAAGAATGGAAGAAATGAGGAAAGGAAGGAAAGAAGAAAATGAAAAGGTAAAGAAAAAGGAAAGAGAAAAGAAAAGAAAAATGGAAGGAAGGAGAAAGAAAAGAAAAGGAGAGGAAAGGAAAGGAAATAAGAAAAGAAGAGAAAAAGAAAAAAGGAAAAAAAGGAATGAAGGTAGAAAAAAAGAAATCTAAGAAAAGAAAGGGATAAAGACAGGAAAGGAAAATAGAAAAAAGAAGAGAAAAAGGAAAAAAAAAGAAAAAGGGGAAAAAAAGAAGGAAAAAAGAAAAGGAAAGAAAAAAAAAGGAAAGGAAAATGGAAAAGAAACAAAACAAATTAAAAGGAATTTTAAAAAAATGGAAAGGAAAGAAAAGAAAGAAGGTAAAAGGAAAGGAGAAAAGAAAAGGAAAAAAGAAAAAAAAAGGAAAGGAGAAAGGAAAGAAAGGAAAACAAGGAAGGTAAAAAACAAAAGATAAGAAAGAGAAAAGAAAAGAGATAAGAAAAGGAAAGACAGCTAATATACAGAAAGAAGAAACATAGTTAGATACATACAGTTGGAAAAGAGATTGATGGATAGGCTGGCACCTGAATATAGACAAGCATACATTATTTCTAACATACACATATTTTATTCTTTCTCTTCCAGACCATTCTATATACAGAGTAGCCTCCAATCCGGTGAAAAAGACACATTTGATCAGTAAAGAGGGTAATGGTTCGATAAAGGCTATAAAACACACACAGTACTCGTGTGGCAGTGACAGGCTAAGCGCCTTTTTATTTTTCTTTGTGGGGTACGTCAGGGAAGAACACACACGGCACCTGACGTGTTGATGCAGCTAGGAAACCCGGTGACAGTTCATTAAGTGACAGTATACAGAGCAGTGATTTGGGAAGTGGAATGTCGTGGAGGGAAGATTAGAGGGGACGCCGGTTTGTTTCTCTAACTAACAATAAGGCTTGGGGACGGTGGGGTATTTATAGGCTCGGATCACACGCTAATTGGCGAGCTGGGTGCAGGGCGGCAGACACAAAGCCCCACAGATGGAATCTCGGCTCTTGTGCATGCTGCGTTCGGGCTTAAGACTTCCAATTATAAAACCAGCTGAAGAGCTCACCTATTTTGGGTCCCGGCGGATCAGAGAAAACGTGATAACGAACTCCGAGAGGAAGCTCTTTTCTGGTTAGTTTATCAGCAATCTGCTGCTGATAGGCTCTCTCTTGTTGTTTGTCGGCCGCTGTAATGACAATCACATCCCAGAATTCCCCAGGCTTCGCTTCTCTACCTGTAGACATTAGACAACAGAAATGTTATTCGCAATGGATGGCAGGGCCACAGTGCGGTTTTAGATAACGGGAAAATAGAAGAGGTTTATAAAGTGATCCTTTATATCATTTTTAAATGAGAGGTACAAAATATATTTAAGAAATTAACGTTAATACACGGAACATCTATTTAGGTAGCGGTGCATGCTGGGCTTTCTACAATGAAAGCCTAGAACTTACCTTTCCCTTGTTATCCCACCTCAACCTAACCACTGAACTATCACATTCTCAAACAATTCATGCCCTCGCAGCTACCTCCTCATGTATCACTGGCCCCTCCCTTTTAGATTGTAAGCCTTCACGGGCAGGACCCTCCTTACCATCTTGTCTTGAATTGTATTGTAATGTCTTCCTTATATTGTAAAGCGCTGCACAAACTGTCCCCCCGTCCCCCCCTGCTGATATTCACCTTACCAGCTTTTCCTCGCCATTTCATCACAGTGTCAGACTAGGGGAGCAGTGACATCACTCCCTCGGTCATGTGGCAATGCTCGGGCCTAGTAATTGGCTACTGACACATGGGAGGAGGTAACATGCTCCCCCATATCCAAAAGCACCGGGTACTGAAGCAGGCTGAAACAAAGGATGGAGTGCCGGGGGAGCACTGGTATCAGGCATTGGGAAAAAGGAGGGGTTGCAAAGGCACCATCACTATGTCGTGAATAGTGACAGGGTCTCTTTAAAGAGACACTGTCACCAGCCTACTCGTTTTAACAACAATCTTCCCATAAGATTATTTATGAATTAAACATATTTTATGCATTTCCTACCTGTAGAAGTCTCTCCTGTCTACACATCCAAAAGCCCTGAGGCTGCTGCTGGGTATTGCCATCCTGTATGTGATGTCGGCAGCCCCAGCAGACTCAAAGCTGTCACTCAAGTGGCTTTCAATAGCAGGGGTAGGCAAACTCCAGGTCTCCAGCTATGAAACTGCATCGACGCTTTGCATTGCACTTGGTGATGTAAGGCTTGGGGGCAGCTGCTCGGCCATGGAAAACCCATTCCATGAAGCTCTCTACGCACTGTTGTTGTGCCAATCTGAACGCCACACGAAGTTTGGAGGTCTGTAGCTATTGACTCTGCAGACAGTTGGTGACTTCTGAGCACTGTGCGCTTCAGCATACGCTGACCCCGCTTTGTCATTTTACGTGGTATACCACTTCGTGGCCGAGTTGCTGTTGTTCCCAGTTGCTTCCACTTTGTTATAATACCACTAATAGTTGACCGGGGAACATTTAGTAGCAATGAAATGTCCCGGATGGACTTATTGCACAGGTGACAACCTATCACGGTACTACACTTGAATTCACTGAGCTCCGGAGAGCGACCCATTCTTTCACAAATGTTTGTAGAAGCTTCTACATGCCGAGGTGCGTGATTTTATACGCCTGTGGCCATGGAGGTGATTGGAACACCTGAATCCAATGATTTGGAGGGGTGTCCCAATACTTTTGGCAATATAGTGTACCCCCCCAGTTTCTTCAGGACTGAAAGACCAGTTCCTGCAGCTCTTCTCCCCTTCGCTTTGTTAGTCTGAGGGCCACAATCATCATCACATCTAGTGCAGATTTCACAGACATGCATTAGATATGAGGATACCAAGCAGCCCATGGGGGGTGGGGTTGAGCACCCTTGCAGTGCAGGGTAGCCCCACTGCAAGGTTCCTTTTTTGGTTTGCCCAGAGATGGTCTTACAGTCTGGAGCTTTTTCCTTTCTTTGTAACACTAGAAATGTCACTTTCTGGACAAAACTCAGAGGACAGCAACAGTAAAAAAAAAAAAAAAATCACTGTCCCTCTATCATTTGCCTTCGATGTCACTCCAAGTGGCCGTTCAGCTTCCATTTCCAGCACAAGCAGCAAAATTTGCCGGCGGAGCAAATTCTGACGACGCAGCCCGAATCCCCCTGGGGACCCGCAAGCCACTTTGTAAGATAGAGACAGCGGCCGGGAGCAGGTTAATTAAAATCCAAGAGTGGCCTAATTTTCGCCCCCATCTTCCTCCACTGTATGCAAACTTGTCAGGCAATCTTCAGACTGGGCGGCACACACACAAAAAAAAAGAAATTTAATTGACTAAAGCAGCTGTCATTGAATATTTCAATGCCCTGAAATGAAACTTAATTACGACCTATTCTTTGCAATGTTCCTGGTGCGGTGTACATGCGATCGTAATTGCTGAAGGATGGGGACGTGTCAGGTACTCATTTGTTATGCGCCGTGTACGTCTATTACTTGGAAGTGCCAGTCAGGTGGGATAGGTCTTTAACCCCTTACTACCCAATGCGTCGCTGCTAAAAGACATTAAGCAGCGACGTTGCGCCATTTGGCTCTGTCATTGGACAGCTCTGCTCACGGGGAACTGGGCAGCAGCCAATCAGTATTGCTGTGACGTTTATAAATTACGTTTTTATTACTTATAGGTTGGTTTAGGGTTAGTGTTGAAGGGGGTCGTTCATGATAGGAATAGGGGAGCTGCCATTGCCTACATATTAAAGAAGAACTCTGAAATACACTCACCCCCGTAGTTAGAGCCGACGGGTGATACTGCAGCTGTCACACGTCGGCTCTATTGCTTGAGAACTGAGCGATCACATACCGCTGATCACTCAACTCACAGTCTTCCCCCTGCAGGGATTCCTCCCTCCCCTCTCCATTCCACCAGCACTTATTGGAGGGACAGGCAAGGGAGGGGGCGGGCAGAGCAGGCACTGGCTCTAGGGAGGCAGAGCCAGCTGTCAATCAGATGGTGGGGTGGATCCTGACAATATTGTCGGGATCTTTCCAAGCTGCAGCGCTGCTCTGCGCTGTCAGCATACAGCGGGCAATAGCTGAGTTTTGGGTCACAGGAGTACATTAGTAAATGTCCTCTTCTGACCCAAAAAAAAAGGTTTGGCCATAGTTCTCCCTTAAAACCAAACTCAAGGATTTGAGTTATTCAGAAAAAAAGCATGCACACCTTAATTCCAAGTGTTTTGTAGCTGGTCATGTGACCAGCGGGCTCCTCTTCTTGTCTGGCGTACATGGTGGGAGGACATCGTGAGACCTAGTGCCACTCTTCTGCCTGACTGAATGACGCCCGCTGTCATAAAACTCACTTCCTATGGGCCTAGGCCATGGGGGTTCGCCATTACTCCGGCTAGTGATGGGCTCGGGCGTGTTCGCAAGCGCCTCGTGCCGAGCCCGCCGGGAAGCTGTCAGCGTGCAGGGCCAATCACAGGCACTGAGACATTTCCCGATCTCTGCAGCTGCGGACCGGGAACATGTCTCAGTACCTGTGATTGGCCCTGCGCGCTGACGGCTTCCTGGCTGGCTCGGCACGAGGCGCTTGCGGACACGCCCGAGCCCATCACTACTAAGGACCTGCCTGATTTGATTCTTACTGAACCAGTTGTTTAGGATTGTCCACATATTACCTGCTAGATTGTACAGAGATTGTCCAATCAGATTGGAAGGTGTTGTCACCAGATTTAAGCTTACTTTTGGATATTCTGGACCAGCTCATGGAAGACACTTCGCCCCAGCAAATCTAAACAGACATAGATACGCAGGACACTGTATACGCCATACACTGCACATGTCGTCCCCTTCCTGTATACTGCATGCGCTGTACATGTTACCCCCCAATTTTTTTTTCTGCTGCCCTGCATATTCTGTATATACTGTGCATGCCCACCTATCCCCCCTTTGTATACTCTATGCCAGAGTTAGGTAAAGCTCTGCTCCAGCTTTTGTGGAACTACAAGTCCCATGAGGCATTGCAAGACTACAACAGCCACAGGCATGACTCCTAAAGGCAGATGCATGATGGGATTTGTGGTTCCACCACAGCTGAAGGACCAGAGTTTGTCTACCCCTGCCCTATACACTGTACATGTGCCTCCATCTTGTTCATATACTCTATACACTATACATGTCCCCTCACTGCCATGTCTGTGTTCTCTATACACTGTATATGTACTCCCTTCCCCCCCTGTCTGTACACTCTGTGTCCTCCATCTGTACCTCTCAGGGAGCTGTACTGGGCCAGCCTGCGGTGGGACTCCCTCTGTAACCTGTCAGCAGCTGCCTGGTCACTCATCTTCACTCCTGTCTGCCACTGCAGCTCTGACAACACACAGCCTGCTGACGTCACTACTTCCTGCCCGCCCCCGAGCGGCCATCTTTGTCAAGGGAAAAATGCCCACTGTCGGTAGCGTAGAGTACAGGAGGCGTATGACGTTTGCAACGAGGGGCGTGATTTCTTTGCCACTAGACTTATGACAGATCATACCTTGTAGTGCAGTTCATGGCTGATTGAAGTTCAGTCACTTAGAGCAGTGACAGCACTGCAATAAGTGTATAAGCTGACACAAATAATATAGAAGCATTGCACATGTAATAATATAGACTAATATGAAATAATATAGAAGCATTGTGCAAGAGCACAGCTGCCAACATTTCCACATGAGTGTAATGGCAGCACAGCTTAGGACTTGTTCACACAATTGTGGTTCGGTAACGCATGCATTACTGCGACACATAGTTACATGCATTGGTGTGATGCAGAGCCATACATTCTGAATTGCACCTTTCCCATGCACTTGCATTGCTGCACACTATGGTGTGTTCCTATGCACTGCCTAAAATGCTGCATGCAAGTTTTTTCCCCTTCATTGAGGTGCATTAGCCAGCACATTGAAATGAATGTGCTGCTTAAATGCAGCGAACATTAATGCACGTGTGTTTAACATACTGTAGTGGGCAGGGCTAGTGTGAACCTACCCTGAAGGGCCCATTTAGCCCACTGTGCTTCAGTACGCATGCTATATGTGATGCTGTGTTGCAGCGTCATTTATTTGGAATGGCACCGCAATGCAAGAAAGCAATGCACATGTGGCAGTGTGGTGCATTCAGGGCCATACCTATAATGAAGCAGCCTGGGGTGGTTGCTCAAGCTACATCTCTTAGGTCACGTAGGGGGTGGGGGTGGCAGGTGTGCCTGCTGCCCTCTTTGCCGCCAGTGCGTCCCAGGTTGCTAACAGCTAGAAACCTGTGATACTCTGGCCAGCGTCCTGTCCAGTTCCTGGCAACCAGTGACATCACTGGTTGCTAGGAGCTGAGTGGGAGGCCGGCCAGAACGCCCTGCTCGGCTCCTAGCAACCAGTGATGTCAATAATCCGGGTGGGATGGTGGACGGAGGCAATGAGCACCACCAGCAACATGGACCCCCATCCTCCCCAGTAACGTGCATGCCAGCCTCAGGCAACGAAAAGTGTAGGGAAACCCCTGGGTGCATTACAGAATTTGGTTTCAAATCACAAGGCATGTTAGCACGAATAGGAAATGGTTCAACCTGTAATTTTTTTTGCCATCTTCCTTTCCTTCCTTCACGTCGTAGCACATACATGTGAATCAGGGGTAGACAACATGTATATATTATTTGGGGTTCCCTGAGGCCTGACTTATTTCAAGGGTTCCTCCATATTAAACAGGTTGAGAAAGGCTGGCTTAGTTATATAACAGAATCTTTCTTTCCTCTGTATGTGGAAAGGAGTAAATTGTAGCAGTTTGTGTCAAGGGACATATGGTTAGATAAACAGCAGGTTTTCGGGATTGGGGGATAGAGAAAGGGAAGATTCACAGTTAGGTTTCACACATGAAACAAACATTCTGCGGCGACGTGCCATGCACACCACTTGCGCGTAAACAGGTGTCGGGGAAGATTCTGAAAATTCACAAGAGTATTCAAGAAAAATCGCACAGCAGATGTTAAATATGAAGTGTAAATAAAGAAAAAGGAAAGAAATAAAACCAACAAACACAGCTTTGTGCACAAACAATGGGAGAACTTGTACGGACCACCACAAAAGGGAACCAATTTGTCTATTTTTGGCCGGAAGGCTTGGGCACCTAGACATTGCATTAGCCTAAAAGTTTGATTCGCCATTGGGCAGTGGAGGCGATCTTCATAAATAAAGAGGGCCTCAAATGTGGCCCCCCTGTCCAAAGGATCATAGAATGGCATCTGTAAGTTCATGTTCTCAAAAAATTAGACATTTTTCCAAACAGCACCCCCACTAGACATGTAAGCTGCAGGAAAATTCGGTCCGGATATTTTGTTATTTCGGGATTTGGGATTCGGATCTGAAATTCAATTTGGTTTTGGTTTCAGACAAAATACGAATTTTCGTTAGTTTCGGATGAGTTTACGAATATTCGTTGTGAATACCACAGAAAACCATATACAGATAATAATACTAAAGCTGAGGCTCCCAGACCCAAATGGCATTCAGGATCCAAATTTCCGAATTGCATTCGGGAGCTCCCGAATGCAATTCAGAAATTCGGATCACATACAGTATGTTACTAAAGTTGAGGCTCCCAGACCCGAATGACATTTAGGAGCTCCCGAATGCAATTCAGAAATTCGGATCCTGAATGTCATTCGGGTCTAGGAGCCTCAGCTTTAGTATTCATATCTATATAGACTGTATATGGCTTCCAGGTTGCCATAACGAAAATTTGTGTTCGGACCCATTCGGATGCATTAAACTGAAAAACACATGTGATTGGCCAGAAAAGTCACATGTTCGATTCAGTTTCGTTTTTGAACGAAATTTGGACAGGATCTGAAATTTGGAATTCAGATTCAAGCACATTCAGATGCATTGGGATTCGGAAATTCGGATGTATCCGAATGTCCGAATTTTGTTTGAGAACGAAACAAATGGCACATGTCTAATGATGTGCAAAATCCATTTTATTGATAGTTGTCATTCAAACGACAAGCGCTTTTAGGGCCGTGCAGGGTCCCCTTCATCAGGTTCAGAAATGCGCTTGTCCTTTGAATGGCAACTATCAATAAAATGGATTTGCACTAGGGATGCACCGATACTGATACGAGTATCGCTATCGGTGCTGATACCGAGTATTTGGGCAAGTAGTCATACTCGTCCAAATGCTCCGATACTTACCCCCCATACCGGAACTTCCGGGTGGAGGGAGTTCTCCCTCTGTCCAGTAGTGCAGAGGGAGCAAGGAGCCAACTTCCTGTCCAATTAGGAAGCCGGGTGGTGGGTTATGACCCGATTCCTGGCTTCTTGATTGGCTAGGAAGCCGGCTTCACTTTTTTCTAGGCAGCCTGGCTATCTAACCAATCAGGAAGCCGGGCAGCACGTAATGAACCACCTCCCAGCCTCCTGATTGGTCAAAAAGCCAGGCTGCGTAGGAACAAGTAATGCCAGCTTCCTAGCCAATCAAGAAGCCAGGAGGCAGGTCATGACGTACCGCCTGGTTTCCTGATTGGTTAGGAGGCCAGGCAGCCTACCAACAACTGAAGTATGCTTCCTAGCCAATCAGGAAGCCGAGCGGCATGTCATGACCCACCTCCCAGCTTCCTGATTGGCTAGGAAGCCCGCTTTACTTTTTGGAAAGTTGTGATTGCCTCCATTGTTATTTAATTACAAAATATATGCATAGTGTATACTTTACCCAAAAATTGCCACGAGGTGCTACAGTGTTCGGGTTTGGCTTGAAGAAAAGGTGGCGACCCTAGCTCCTATAGCTAGAGAGCTGGCCACCTTTGGCCTACACAATCATTTTAACTGCACTATAGAAGCAACAAGTCATTCCAGAGACATGGTAGATAAAGTTTACCATACAAAGAAAATAACAAATAAAAACAAACTAAAACTAAAACAAATAAATAATAAAAACAAACTAAAGTAAACGTTAACAATTTTTTAAAAATAGCTCTTATTCTCTCATATCATCACCTTGGTAAGTATAGCAAAACTGAGATAGTAGAGTATAAATAACGCTTGACTCCATGACTATATTCCACTTATCTCACCATTTGCCTTGCTATAAAGCAGATGGATTTGTTGGAGCAAAAAAAAAAAAAATGAAGAGAAGATTTTACAATTTAACAAGCTCTGAAGTGAGAACGTTCTCTTTAACTGTTTGTGTTCTGGTAGAGCAGGGTGAGCTGGGGTGAGGTGTGTTCAGTCAATCTGGCGGTGTCACTTTAAGACTGATGGTTTCCATAGCAGCAGAGTGTAACACACATCATGGATCCGCACAGCCCAGGGAGAGACTAGCAGGCTGTACGAGAGCTGAGTGCCACAGGTAATTGTAGCCAACACTTGGAAAGTGTCACATGGGATATAAAATATATCCGCTAAGCTTTTCTATAATATAATGGGGGCTCAGCGCAGGAAGATCTGTTTCCTCTTCCTAGCAAAGTCTAAGATAATTATTGCAAAGCAGCACTGATTTACTGCAATCTCTCCTCCTGTCTCTCTTTTCTCTTTCTTTTCTTGTTTTTCCTGTTTTTCTTCCCTCATCCTCCCCTCGCCCTAACCAAACTCCTATTTATCCCTCTCTCCTCCTCAAATTATTTATTTTTTTCTTCCTCTTTTCTTCTCTGAATTGTAGTCTCATTCCCAATCCTTTCCTTCCTCCCTCCCCCTCTCTCTTCCTTACTTTATTTCTTCAATCGTTTCATCCTACCTTCCCTTCTCTCTTCCTTCCTCTTTTACTTTCATCCTTCCTTCCTTCCTTCCTTCCTTCCTTCCTTCCTTCCTTCCTTCCTTCTCCTCTTCCTTCTTTTTATCCTCCCTTCCATCCTTTTCTTCATCCTTCCTTCTTCCTTTTTTCCTTTAATCCTTCCTTTGTTCCTCTCTTCCGTTCTTCTTTCATTTGTTCCTCCTTTCCTTCCTTTTCTTCTTTTTTCTTTTCTTCCTTCCTTCCTTGCTCTTTCTCTTCCCTTCCTTCGTTCCTCCCTTCCTCCTTTTTTTCTTTCTTTCTATTATTTCTTTCTTTCTTCCTTCTTTTAATCCTTCCTTTCTCCTCTCTTCCTTCCTTTTCTTCTTCCTTATTTTCATTTCTTTCTTTCTTTCCTGATCTCTTCCTTCCTTCCTTTCCTCCTTCCTTCCTCGTCTCTCTCTTGTGTCTCATAATGTATTCCTCTCTTCCTCTTTCCTGCTCCACCTTTATTATCTTTCCTGATCTTCCCCTCTTCTTCCTCCCTCTCTTCCTTTTTCCCTTTAGTCTCAGGCGTTCTATGATTGGATGAGGTGTGGTGTTGTCTCAATCCACCCGTCATCCAATCAGAGATTGCCTTGTAGTCATTGATAAAAATACTATGCATTCTTTAAACAGCCCCTCTGACGAGCGAGCGCCCCTATCCCCCCCCCCTCCCCCGTGTTTCAGAGCAGTGGGGAAGTCACATGGCACAGCGGAAGTATGGGACTTGGAAGATCACTGTAAAGCTCTCCAGTAGCTCCGGCTACTACAATGCTTTGCAGGATCCCCGTGGCCCTTCCAAGTATAAAAATATGTATACTTTTCCTTCTATACGTACTTCTATGTATACTTAGATTGTGCCAAGCTGAGTCAGTGTAAGTATACATACAACTTTACACGTGGAGTTCAGCTTTGAGCTTCAGAACGGTTAATTTATAAATCTCTATTTCAGCGGATGTTAAACATATTACTGTGTAATGTATAAATACTCTTTTATATTTTCATACATTATCTCAAATTCTTTTTTATTTAGTGCGCTGTTAATCTGTAACACTTAGATCACATGATGCCGCACCGCTGGGTTCATTTACAATACAAATTTCCTTCCCGCCTGTGTTATTGTGTCTCACAAAAGTATTCCGAGTAAAATTCATATCACCATCGGAGATTGGCACCGGCATTCTTTATGCCCCGATTGAATATTTGGGTGACAATACAACGCTTTATACAAATTGCGAACAGTCATGGAATATAATTCACAAAGCTAACACACCAGGACAATGATGTTTATTTAGACATGTGACTGTAATTTTCCAATCTCACGTCACATTTTTTGTAATAAAATCAAACAAACTGTATCCAAACCCAAAAACAAATATGTCATATATTGCAATGAACTTAGTAATCTTTAGATGTGGCGGCAGCATTCATTTTCTTTTTCAGGCTTAGTACATTTTTAACGAGTACAAAACTCCTGTCGATCCTGCCAGAAATCCGGTGTACTTGTCACGTGCTTTGGGCTCAAATGAAAGCGAAAACAATCTTACCTTTCTTCTATAGTCTACCACCCCCATCGTGTAATGGAGATGGAGAGGGAGACATGTTATGAAGTCCAACATGGGTGACAAACGTGGCTCCCTCCATAGATGCAGTGGAGGGGTGAGTATAGCCACCCAGGGGCAGGAATTGTGTTATTTGCAGAATCACCGAGTAAAAAAAAAGGGAAAAACATTGAAAATGAAAACCAAATGCAGCCACCACATCTAAGGACTGGTAGGGTGCAATTTCACATTTTTGTTCTTGGGTTTAGATTAGACATGTGCATTCGGACGAACCTGCGAATCAACGAAAATTCAGTTGATTCGGCGGTTCGTCCGAATCCGAAATAACACATTTTCTTTATATGCCCGAATATACTAAAACGATATTCCGGCATATAGAAATTTGTTATCAGAACGTGCAGGGGTGCATGCCCGCTGCCATCTTTGAGGCGGGGTGCATAACGTCACAGAACGGGCGGCGGACAGATTGGCCGACATGGTGTTCTGTTCATGGTGTGAGATTCCCCTCATTAACAATTTTGGAATCTGGTTTACAACTGATAATTAAATCTGCCATCACAGTACAAGCAGGGTTCATTATCTTACCATTAGACATGTTAATGCTCAAAATGTTTTTCATTCGTCTTGGATCGATTCAAATTTTGGGGGGAATTTTGGATCCGAAATTCGATTTGGTCCATTATTTGGAATTAAAAAATTTTATTTTCGGTTTGGATCTATCCACATTTTTTGGGGGGGATCAGATAGGATGGGTTCTCTAATTAACAAATTAACGTATTTTTTGGGAGGATTTTGGTCATCTTAGTCCGTACTGGTCCTCTTAGTCTGTACTGGTCCTCTTAGTTCGTTCTGGACCTCTTAATGCGTACTGGTCATTTTTAGTCCGTACTGATCATCTTAGTCCATACTAGTTATCTACAAAACGCTCAAACATGAAAATCCCATTGTTTTCTATGGGTATGGTTCACACCTTGCCGTATTTCAGCCCGTCTGAACGCGCTACAAAACGGCCTACGCCTGAAAAAGTACATGAGCTTCTTTGCAGCATTTTTGTTGCACGTTTCCATTGGGATACTGCCAAGTAGCCCTCGGAAACGCACGTTTGTCGCGCGTTTTTTTTACCGCGAATCGCGGTAAAAACGTGCATCACGAAACACACGACAAACGCGCATATTCGATACGCCTAGGTGTGAACAGAGCCTCAGTCTGTATTGGTCATCTTAGTCCGTACTGGTCATTTCAGTCCCTACTGGTCATTTTAGTCCGTATTGGTCCTCTTAGTCTGTACTGGTCATTTTAGTCCATACTGGTCCTCTTAGTCTGTACTGGTCCTCTTATTCTGTACTGGTCCTCTTAGTTCATACTGGTCATCTTAGTCTGTACTGGTCCTCTTAGTCTGTACTAGTCATCTTAGTTCATACTGGTCATCTTAGTCTGTACTGGTCCTCTTAGTCTGTACTGGTCCTCTTAGTCTGTACTAGTCATCTTAGTCCGTACTGTTCATCTTAGTTTGTACTGATCATCTGTTTCCGCACTGGTTATTAGAATTGTATATTTAGGAATTCAGATGAAATTCAGAAAAACTCATTTGGATTAATTTGAATTAGGATGCATTAAAATCCGGAAATTCGAATGTATCTGAATTTAAAGAAATTTGTCTGAATTTCGATTTGAAACGAAACAAAACTTACAAGTCTAGTTAACATTAACCTGCCCAGCCCTCCCTTGCATTCCAGAGCAAAACCTAATGCAGAGGACAACCTTTCTTTCAGAACAGACCGTGTTTTCTCCAAGCAGCATGTTGATTTTTTTGTAAGTGATGCTATATGAAGGAGAACATGTAACAAATATACAATAGATGATATCCCAATTTGTCTGCAAATGTGGAATTACTCTTGAAGGATCGTGATGTGTGAATTGAGCCAATTGTGATGAAGCCGAGCTACACCGCTCAATAATGAATGTTGTGACTGTTGCAAGTTTACTAAACACCGTCCCCTGACCCAAAAGTCATGGAACATAATTGAAACAATATTTCTGTTTTAGTGCGCTCATATCCTGATGGGAACTTTGTTTTGCATGTTGAATGAAAGTATCTGGAGATTAAAGTACATATATTTTTCACGAATCAAAGAGAGCCGGGAAACAGCAGTTTATTAATAACTTAATAAAGTAATATGTTTCTCGTGAATCTTTTGAAAGAACCGGTCATAGCTGGGCTTATGTAGGAATCTGTATATTTGGTCTTCAAAGCTGAACTCCGGCCTTCCCTTCCGTCTTGCATTTTTGTACCGCCACCTCTCCAGGACTGAAATTGCTTCCTCTGATATCACTGCACACTGTGAGCTTCTCCTAATGTGCATTACAAGCTGCAGCAAGTCAGATAGCGCCCGCCTCATTTCCTGGCTGGAGAGTACCCAGCACCAGCATTACCTTGCTCTTATCTCCCCAACCTCCTCCTTTGTCCCTGGCCAGCCCCTCTTATTTGTTGAATTTTAGTTCTTTCACCTATGGAGGTAGGTTCAGCATCCCCCGTGGCCATTACTTAGTCTATATGCAAATGCAGCCTGCCTAAGAAGCTTTTCCTTTAACTTCTTTCCATGTGATAATCCAACTGTTAGGCCTCTTTCACACCAGACACAGTGCGTTCTGGCCCGATTCTGGCCGGAACTCACTGCATCGCATTGCGGCCGGCTCACTATGTTGTGGGGCAGGAGGGTGCATGGGGGTCCATTGAAGTGAATGGCGCCGTAGCCACATCCTCCGGCCACACTGCGATCGGCCGCACGGGAAACGCAAGGCACATCAATGCCTGTGGTCCGGTCCGAACAAAATGCTACAAGCACTATTTTGTTCGGACCGGACCAGACTTCAGGCATTGATGTGCCTTGCATTCCCGTGCGGACGCAATGCAGTGAGTTCGGCTAGAATCGGGCCGGAATGCACTGTGTCTGTTGTGAATGAGGCCTTAATACTGTAAGGGCTTGTTATCCTTCTTTTTATGTGCATTTTATAATATGGCTGTTGTTTAGCTCATACCAACAGAAGAAAAGCTCACCAGCACACCAGATTCCTCTGGGATAGTTTATTAAAACTTGTACCACATCACTAGTGTCCTGCTCAAGGTTCTCCCCTTCTGAAGCATTTCACCTAATCACAGACTTAGTTGGCCTCCCCCACTGACACATTTTACCTATTCACAGGCTTAGTTGTAGTGATCTCTACGACTAAGACAGTGATTGGGTAAAACGCGTCAAAGGGTCGACCTTGGCTGGACACCAGTGGTGGGTACAAGTTGCAATAAACTGTGGAATCTGGTGTGCAGCCAGCTTTTCCTGTTTGTATGGGCTCATACTGGAGCAAAGATGTGCTCCCAGTGGCAAGCACCCGGCTCATTACTTTCCTGAGCTGTGGGGGATCAGTGCTTCTTTTGTGTGTTTTCTGATGGCTGTTCTTGGAACTAATAATGTTGTGCACATATTTGTTTTTAGGGCACCATTCAAAAGATGGAAGAAAATTATCTGATAAATGCCTCTGAAGGTGTTCTGCTGGAACATGGACTGTCCGTTACCAACTGTCGGGGTAAAAAGCTGGAGGAACTCGTCGTTTTACACTTAGGCAAGCTGCTCTTGAAGGGGGTGAATCTTCTACAGCATTGTACGTCTCTGAAGTTCTGCACCTTGGCTGATAACTACATTACAGACATCAGCGCTCTCCAATCATGTGTACATCTTGTTAAGTTGGACTTGCATGGAAATCAGGTAAATAAGCATACGTATTCTCAGCTGAACTCAAAAGCACAACATTGTTAACATAACCCCCTTCCCTGTATGATAAAGGGACAGGGTAAAGCTTTAAAATGAGCTGAGTGGGACCCAACAGACCCGGCAGAGATGATGGCAGCGCCAAAGGGTAGAGCAGCGAGGTACAGCTTTAAAATTCGCTTTGTGGGACCCAAAAGAGGTGGGAGGAAAATATTGTGATGCCAAAGGATAGAGCAGCAAGGGTCTGACCAGTCCCATGTTAATGAGGAGCAGTCTCGTGTTAATGAGGAGCTGTAGGCCAAAACAGTCCTGTACACAGGTCAGTGTTGTAAATCAGCAAAGAGCCGTGTGATATTGCGGTCTATGTTTCTGCTGGCCGGATTTACCCTGAGTTCCTGTGAGAGTTCCTGTTCTTAACAGCTCCAACTCTCTTAGCTTGGCTTCCCTGAACTTCCTGTCTAATACATGTTCTCAAGGGGCAGAGCAGTCTCTAGCTGCCATCCATCTACTAGCTTGGAGAAGGAAAGATGGAGAAGCAAGGGGCAGGGGAATGGATTGCCTTGCTGTGCCTGTGTGTTTGTGGATAGCATTAGAGGATCCCCTGCACACCATACAGCGCTTGAACCAAACGAAATATCCGTTGGTGCTCGAATTGACGTTACGGATGGCGCCTTGTAGCACTCCAAGTAAAGATAGTAATGTGCAAAAAGGATAGCACTTTTATTGATCCGTCACATGCGTCAAGAAGCCAATGTTTCGGGGCTGCACAGGGTCCCTTCATCGATTATGATGTGGCCCTGATGAAGGGACTCTGCGCGGCCCCGAAACGTTGGCTTCTCAACGCATGTGACATATCAATAAAAGTGCTATCCTTTTTGCACTTGTGCACAAGTGAGTGCTGGTGACTACTATCTTAATTTGTGTGTTTGTGGAGACAGACAGCTTTCTAGCACACACAAGGGTGGCAACATAGGACGTTGTAAGGAGACACCCTAAACAGGATATCAGTGCCAGTGCTCAGGGGACCAGTTGGCTCAACAGGAAGCTAAAACTTAAACATCATGGAGCAACATCCATTGTAACGGATTTCATCAGCATTTCAAATCACTTAAAAATATTGTGACTTTATTATTACTTTATGCAGATGACATTATGAAGCCCCCCCCCCCCCCATGCAAAGGTAATTTCTGTTTTTCCAGCTGTAATAGGGCTTTACCAGACAAAAGGGAGCAAATAAAAGAAGTTCACTGTTCAGGTTTAAATACAATTTAATTACTGTTCTTTCCAAACACAGCTTTGTTATAAAACTATGTCTCCTCCTGCCTTTTATAGCCAAAGAGTAGAGCAGCAATATACAAATGATACACAGTGCACAAGAACTGTGTAGGTGTAATAGAAAAAAAATATATAATGAAAAAAACTCTCTAAAGTCAGACGCGGGGTATGAGGTTACAGAGTCTCCACAGAAGATGGAATTCAATGACTGCATTTGCAATAAAAGCGGAATTTTCTTTTGTGTATCTAATAACCAGCATATATACTGTATATATATACACACTGAGTGGCCAGATTATTATGACCACTCCATCAGTACATCCACGAGATGACTCCATGAGATGACTTTGTTGGGCCGCCTCGTGACTCCACGAGATGGTGAAAGGTGATGCGAGGAATCTGACACGGCATTGTTGCCCTTCTGTTGTCTTGTACTAGTCTTGCCACTCTCCGTTCTGCCCTAACATTGACTAGTCGCTGACGGCCACAATTCGCACGTTCAGACCCAGATTTTCGGCTGACAGTTCGGTCTTTAAACACTTTAACAACAGCTGCTCTTGATTTAGAGCGGAGACTGCGAGCCAGGCCTTCTAGTCCAACATCAGTACCTGACCTCACAAATGGTCAAACATTCCCATAGACACACTCCTAAACCTTGTGGACGCCTTCCCAGAAGAGTTGAAGCTGTTATAGCTGCAAATGGTGGGCCAACTCAATACTGAACCCTACAGACTAAGACTGGGATGCCATTAAAGTTCATGTGAGTGTAAAGGCCGGCATCCCAATACTTTTGGCAATATATGTATATATGTATATATATATATATTTTTTTATTTTATTATTATTTTAATATAGGCTTCCTTTAATTAGAACCTTTCTCGCAGGAAGCAGGAGGACTCATAAGGCGACTCTCTAACTTTTTTGGGCATTAGACACATTTAAAGGGAGGATGATGAAAAGAGTTCCCAGCGTCTCATTTATTTTTAGTGAGCCAAGCAGAGAAGCTTCCCGTGGAAGTACAATAGGAACAATTTAATTGCAACAGCATAATTTATCTCCTCTCAACTTTCTCCCAGCTGACAGTACTTTTTAATCAGGTCCATGAGCGCGAACAGGTGACCGCGTTGTCCATTGTTGCATGAATGAAGAATGTTTAACATAAAGTCATTTAAATGTACTTTTCCTTCTCTGCAGATTTTTTTCACGCAATGAACCTGTCAGGTCCTAAATACGGCTGAGCTGACTGGCGAATGCTAGTGAAGCGTACTGCTTTGTGATGCATGCAAGTACCTAAATAAAAAAGCACCACTTTAGACCCCCCCGTATTCCAGGGCCAGTCTGAACATGGGGCTGCAGTCTTTGCCTGAGTTGGCAGTTAAACTCCTTCCACCCAGGGCCTGGATTTCCCACAAGGCCAATCGTGTCTCGGGGCAGCAGGGAGTAGAGCGGCTGCAGGGGTGTGGAATTCCTATCTCCCGATGCCCGGGACATTCAGTTCCGGGCGCCGGGCGGGTAGTTGTCTTCTACCCGCAGGCCTAAATGTACAGTGCGGAAGCCGCCGCTTGTTTTGTACAAGTGATCTCGGCGATGTTGCCAAGATCACTCGTATACAGCCTGCATACGGGGGGGAGTAGTGAGGAACCTGGCATTGGGGCAGCAGAGAGAGTAAATCTGTCCCTGCCTCCACCCCCTGGCGCTAAGCAGCGCTCTGCCAACAGGCCAACGCGGAAGCTGCCGTTGGCAACCAAGGTGGCAGTATTGGAATGCTGGCTTGGTGTCAACTGGACCCAGGTCCCCAGAATAGGCATTGCTTGGAAGATTATCATAGGTACTTGTGGGCACCAGAAGGTGCCAGTTTTTAGGAACTGGCAAGTACTCATTAAGGCAAAGCTCCAAAAGCTGGCACAGAGCAGGGAGGAGAGAAACTTTTAGGAGGCTTAAACAGGGCGGGGAGGAGAGCGCTGTCAGCGGTGTCACAGGAGGCTGAGCTCTTCTTCCGCACCACCATGCTCAGCCTCCTGTTGCAGGCAGATCAGGATGGACAGCACTGCAGGGGGGAGACAGCTGTGAGTTGTCACAAGAGGCTGAGCCGGCGGTGCGGGGGAGGAGTCAGCGGTCAGTGGTGTCACAGGAGACCGAGCTCTTCTTCCCTAACCGCTCGCTCAGCCTCCTGTGACAGGCAAGTCAGATGAAGAGCAGAGTACAAGTGCTTAGCGTTTAGAACTGATCATTGAGTGTTTGTAAATAACTGAGGACATAGTATGTTTACTGTGTCCCCAATTATGAATGAACAGGAAGTGTTCTACATCACTTCCTGTTCATTCATGATTGTGGACATAGTAACTCATACCATCTCCACAGTTTATGAATGGGCAGGAACACTCAGTATAGAGCAGGGGTCAGCAACCTTTTACACACCTTTGAGAGCTCATAATGTTACCTAATTAGAGAGCCGCCTCTGGTCGCGTGCCAGCTGTCAAGGTCTCGCGTGCCAGGCTGGGCACGCGTGCCGGGGGTTGCTGACCCCTGGTATAGAGGATTCCTCTTAATTCATAACAGGGGCTGCAGAAAAAGAGATTGAGGACTCTGTTGTCTGTTTAGACCCCTGATATTTCCCCAGAGCCCCTGACAGTAAAAAAAAAAAAAAAAATATTAAAAAATAATGTAAAAAAAGTTTGAAAAAAAATAATTTTCGATTTCGGCCTGACAAATTTTTTCATTTTCAGTTTCAGTCAGAAAATTCCATTTCGGTGCACCTCTAGTTTAAATCCAGCCCAGCATACAGCTCATATATCCCTATATTAAAATATCAGCCATGTTGTCTGACACCGATCACATATTTTTTGAATTTTAGATACAGAATATTCCTGGGATGGAATTCTGGAGACATCTGAAGGACCTGAAACTGCTGTACCTGCACAACAATCGCATTGGAAATCTGAGCAATGTGCAATCCTTATCCGCTTGTCCTGCACTCTTAGGTCTCACCCTCTATGACACGCCACTGAGCTTGCAGAAAAACTACCGTCATATCGTGGTCAACAGTATATGGTCACTAAAAGCCTTAGACCACTTTGTTATTTCCGATGAAGAAATTATCGAGGACTGGACCCTGCAAGGCAGATTCAAAGCACTGAGCCCTGAACTGCAGCTGAACATTGTACCTGCTCCTAACAAGGTATGCTAGGCTCGTTCAATATTATGATGTTAATATACTGTATATATACAGAGGACAGAGAGAGAGTGGGGGAGAGAGAGGAGAGAGAGCAAGAGAGGGGGGAGGATGAGAGAGAGAGAGAGAGAGAGAGAGAGAGAGAGAGATATTAAGGCCTTGCTAAAATTAGCACATTTTTATTTTACAGTGGGTGGGGGTGGAATGTGTCCAAATAGCTTATATATCTTTTATCATGCAATAATGTTAATAAAAACTAATGCTACGGTGAGCTATTGGAGAAAAGATGGAGTCTATTTATAACCAATTCACAGAGCTATTCACCCTTACAAATTTTCTTTTCAGGTCAAATGTAATACTGCATTTTGCCCACCAGATGGAGCTGAGGAGCGTAGGAAATAAGTATGTATTTCTTATGCTCCTCAGCTCCATCTAGTGGCCATAATCCAGTATTACATTACACTCAACCTGAAAAAAATATATCTAAGAACGTTCATTTAACTTTTTTTGGAATTATTATTATTATACAGGATTTATATAGCGCCAACAGTTTGCACAGCGCTTTACAATATAAGAAAGACATTACAATACAATTCAAGACAAGATGGTAATGAGGGCTTACAATCTAAAGGAAGGGGCCAGTGATAAATGAGGAAGTAGCTGTGCAGGGATAAATTATTATTATTATTCACACAGAACAAACATTTAGAAAGATTCGTAGGGCGAATGGTTCAGCGAATCGGTTATAAATAGAGCCCATGGAAACCAACAAACAAAAAAGGAGAGATGGGTTCATGTTTCTTGAAGTATAGCCTCTGGGGGGTACTGTGGTTTGTTTGAAAGCTAATAAATACCTGGAAGTGTTACACATACAGATTTCTTGACATGCATGCACTTAACATAAAGCAAATATATCTGATGCTAGCTCCACTTTAAGGCCAGCTCCAGACGTATCTAATCCTCATAAGTATTTACATAGACACATATGCGAACCTCTGTTTGGCAGACTTGTAGTATCCATTATACAGCCCTTCTGAGCAGGAAGCAGAGCATGCATAGTAAGCAAATACATATGTGTATACGTCTATACATACTGTATATGTATATAATTACAAGGTATGGATAGAAAAAAGGCTTCAAAATCAGAGCATACATTGATACGATTACCTCTTTTATGTTGGTATCTGGCACAGTAAAGCCTTCAACTTGTCCATTTCATCACATATACCTAAAATAGGACAAATATTCCTCAATTCAGGACAGTGACCTGAGCCATGCAAATCATTCCTGTACGCCCCATCAGCCAGATTTATATCCATAACCGCTGGTGTGGTATATAGTGCAAATATCACCTAATATTATAGAGCCATTTATTCCAAACTTCATACAGCTGTTTCAGGTTTTTTGGCCATCATGAGTGCAGTGTATAGAAACCATGGCTTTTAGGCAGGGTCATCCCTATAATGAGGCAGCCTCAGAAGGTTAAGCAAAACAAACGACAAACGCACTCAACAATTTGTCACCGCACTATAAGAGGTGCCTTGGCGCGCCAGTGCGGCTTTCACATCCTCTGCAGAAGCCGTGTATCGAAACCTCTGTTATTATCCTTAGTGGTGAGACAAGTTGTTTTACATGCTTGTGAGTGTGCCATGATGCCTTTCTACAGCCTCAGAAGGTTGCCTCAGGCACACGGTGGTGGTGTGGGGCAGCAGGTGTGCTACTTTCTGGCCAATGCATCCCTGTGATGTTGTGGACGGCGTCCCATCCTGCTCATTGATGTCACTGGTTGCCAGGAACTGAGCAGGATTCTCTGGCTGGCTTCCTACCCAATCCCTGGCAACTAGTGACATCAGTGAGCTGGGCGGTACGCCGGCAAGAGGTACTGTGCACCACCTTTCCCCACCAGGAAACATGCCATTTTTTCCTTGTAGCTTTCTCAGGAGGCCGTGGAGACATATATACCTAGCTGATGTAGACCAACACAAAGAACAGATTGCGAAGCACATACACTCCTTCATTACAGACAGGATGCAATGGGATGGGTACGGGGCATCCTGTCTGCAGTGAAGGGGCATGTTTTTGCTATACTGGTCTTGGATGAGATTGTCCTGTCACGATGACTACGCCGCCCTTGTTGCCTCTCCTGCGGCCTCCTGGGGGGATGGGGAGTTTCTGTGTAGATGTGGGTATGCTTCTTAATTTGTTCTATGTGTTGTTCTACGTAAGCTGGCTATATATGTCTCCACGGCCGCCTGAGGAAGCTACTTTGTAGCAAAACGCGTTGACGAAAGGAGCTTTTTGACTGAATCCACGCATTGAAGAGCTATATGCTTTCATCCTCTAACAAGGGACTATTATGTTATATGATTATAGCACATTATCATGGAGTTTTCACCCTCCCAGCATGGTTTTAATGTATTTTTTATTCAATTTTAACCTATGCAAATACAATTATTGTTTTTTATCGGATATATGTTTCGGCTGCCTGGTTATACCTGAAAAGCCCCCAAGTCTCTTTTTTGGTCCTATTTATGCCTTTATAGGGGTGTGGTACCAGAGGTAATCCCATTAGTTGATATTTGTATGTGCTATTGGATAGCAGCTGTTTTTGAGCTTGTTAGAAGTACGGCCATGTTTTTTTTCCCCTCGCTGCCCGGCTCATCCTCCTTTTAACTCTCAGACAGCCCTCTTCAGCAGCAGACGTTAAGTGATACATTAGTAAGCTGGTTATGTATGAGTAAAGGTCAGGGAGTTCCCGGGGGACCCCGGCACTCAAATTCATTGTCCTTTCAATGATCCAGTCTGGCCTTCCTTCACTGCATGCGTACTGCAGGCTGTCAGGTCTGTGCGGGGCTGAGAGCAATTTGTGTACAATTTTCAGTACGTCGCGGACAATATGTAACGCCATCTGTAAGTTTTCCGTGATAAATGTCGCAATTATACACCGGAGTTTGATCGAAAACGGTTGTTTCCTTATATTTATGGTATGTACACTGTAAGAACATGATGCCTTTCCCTCGTTTCCTTCTCTTGCACAGCAAAATATGCATCCAACCACCTTTATGAGAACAATTCACCTTTTTAAAGAGTAACTCCAAGCAAACAGATGAATACACAGATTTAATATATAGACAATGGCCAAAAATAGATCTTTCTATCCAATCCTGAGGTTTACACAGCTCTGCCACACATCACAGCCCTGTCTGGCAGGGCAGGAGACCTGATTTCCGCTGCTGAAGTTCAGTAACAATTACAGGTCTTGTCCTCTAACTGGATAGGAGGAGAGAACAGAGTGCTGACTTCATCAGTGAGCTGCTGCCCTTATATTGTCCAATAAGAGGCGTTGTCTAAGCTGTATTGCCGAACTGCCTTGGAGAAAAGTAATGTGACCTATCTGTCATACTTTTCCTGTATTATAAAAGGTATTTGTGTGTATAGCTTGCAGTAATGTACATTATATAGAGGGGAGGTCTTTGACCCTCTTGTTTCATGACCGATTAAAAGCAATAGACTTTCTACAGCAGGGGTGGGCAACTCCGGCCCTCCAGCTGCGCTTTAACTACAAATCTCAACACACTTCTGTCTCTGGGAGTCATGCCTGCAACTGTCAGTCTTGCAATGCCTCATGGGACTTGTAGTTGCACAACAGCTGGAGGGCCAGAGTTGCCCCACCCCTGCTCAACAGTACTGATTGGTAACCAGAAAACATGTGACCTGGGCTGCCTAGCCTGGGGGCCGGGAACAGTTATTATCCATGGCAAGAATTAGATACATTGTTACTCAATGTAATAAAGTGATCTGGTAAGGTTGACATGTACCTAATGGATTCGTGTGACCTGCGAGTCTTATTGGCAAGTCCATTTTAAATAAGCATACATTTCCATTGCATATGACCTTATTGTGTTGCGTTGCAGGAGATCTCCGTGCAGAGCGAAAGCAAAGATACGAGCAGAATCATTACAAAAATCAATTGCATTCTGGCCTCCTCTTCTCCGGTGCTAATTGTCCAGAAATGGATACGAGGGTATTTAGTGCGGCGGAGAACGGGGTACGTAGAATGCTCTCCGATCGTTTTATGTTTGTTTGGAGCGGGCCGAGAAAACAAGAAACACATTTCAGAAAGTGGTTTATGTTCCCATAAAGCATATGAGCCCTAGCGTCCCATGAACATGCTGCTGTATAACAATAATGGCCTTCTATAAAGAGCCCGCACCTCCCTGAGCCCCCATCTTTTGGGGGAAATAAACTGTTAAGTAGTCAAATCTGGAGGGCATGAGTGCTGCGGAAGGGAACTTTTTCCAACGACAATAACAAAATCTTTGGATTTTTAAGCACTGGCAATGGTCAGAAGGACGAATAGAGAAAGAGAAACAAACAACATTAAAAACTATTTTCTCCACTGTATCAAAAATTTTAAAAAAATTAAAAATGGTCTTAGATATACTTTAATTTTGCAAAGGTTAAAAATAGAAGCAAATTAAGATAAATTTGAAACAAAGTTGATTTTTTTTTTTCTATTTATTTACTTTTCAAATAAAAATTTTAAAAAATAATTCAAACCAGTAACAGGGTCTCTTTAAATTGAAAACAAAGAAACAAACAAAGAAAGTTAACAGTTCTTAGACGAGCACTTTTCACCTTTGCGTTGTTCTGCTGCTTTGCCGCTGTTGTTTTGTTGACAGCCTGGGCCTGCCTTGTAGTGTCAGCTGAGCCCATGATCTGGATAATACTCCGGCGGCTTCCTCTGGGAGTCGCCTGTCTGAGTGAAGAGTAAGTAGCAGCAGCAGCAGCGGCGGAGGAGCTCGGAGAGCGGGAGGAAGGCATCTGAGAGATAGCTCACAGCTAAATAGAGCGCTGGGATTTCGGGAGGAGTGATAGGGGTATAAAAAAGAAAAATGAAGTATCCATATACAAAATAAAATAGGGAAGAGAAAATCCAATCTGCGCTATGGCTGCAATGCGAACATTTCTTTAAGGATGTGTAGGTCACAGTGAGACTTTTTATCCCCCATCTATTACCCGGGGCTTAGAATATTTGCACAGTATACTAAAAATAATATGTCGCGTGTATATTTGTAGCCTTATTTTTCAGCCGGGGAAGCGGAGGACAAAATTGCATTCCCAGCGGAAGAGAAGTCAGGAGGAAGATGGGAGGAAACCTCTAGTAAAGTCCGGATTGATAGATAACGTTACGGACCTCCGAAACGGCGGAAAAATGCCCGCCATTATACAGGTACGGCATCCATGGCCCTTCCATGACACTGCGACTGGCGCTTTATTCATTTCAGCATTATAAGATGGGAAAGGAACCTGTGACCACCTTTTGAAAATGTTTACTGCTTACCTGGCTAACTGCTTGCCAAGTGTGCAGCCAGTGAAGTAAGAATTCCTGATCTTATACTTGTTCCTGCACAGTGATTCAGGAAGTGTTGAAACTTTCAGCAAGAGGTTGGCATTGGCAGCCTACATAAATAGGTACATAGGTATAGGTTGCCTTTAAAGCCCGGAAAAGAAAACTCCCCTAGCATGGGAGCTGCCCACAGTTGATCCAGAGGAAGGCAAAACCCCTCTTACAAAGCAATGTCGATTTTTGCCCTAATAGGAGAAAAAAATTCCTTACTGATCCCCAGTGGCGTCACTTGGGGGGGGGTACCTGCACTGACAGTCATTTTGGTGTCAGCCCTCTGAAAAGTCGGGCACTCAGTCATGGACCGAGATTGCGACCGTTGAACGAGAGAGGAGGGGACCCAGTGGTATACCTTATGACGTCCCCTCCTCTCTCTGGCAGTGCCCAGCACCAAGATATGCGCTGACATCATAGCAAAGTGCCACGCGGTACCCGTTCCTGGTGACACCCCCGTCTCGGGACGCCCCTGCAATCAAAAAAATTAGAATTATGTTTACCCCCATCTGGAGCCCGTGGTGCCTAGGAAAATGTGACATTACACTCCTTCCGGCTAGAGAATACAGAGCATGAGAAGATGCCCTGGCAATGGACAGAAGTGCTGCTTGCGAAATTTTGCCTGCTCTCGGAATCTTCTTGGAAGGGTGGTCACGTCATTCCCAGCGATTCGGAAGACGGGGGTTAGGTGAATATCCTGTAAAGCTAACTTTTTCTTTATAGGTACATGTTACTCCCCCCCAGAGTAGAGGGTTTGTGAAGGGGGCACAGGCAGTGTAAAGGTGGCCATACATTGTATGATTTTCATTTCTGGCACGAACTCGTTCGGTTATACTTGGACTTCCCCATGAAGCATAGTCAAATATCAATTTCGGAAATCGTTCGATTTGCCATACTAACCAACCAATTTTTGACGAACCCCGCAAATAATTTCCTTTTGCTCATTTGCTGTGTTCTTGCTGAGATTTTCGACGAACGAAAACCCCACTGAACGAAAATCGTACAATGTATGGCCACCTTTAGGGAGAGACGAGGTCAGATGGGCATAAGGCAACAAGTGGCCGAGATGTCAGCCGGCACGGTGTGCTGTTAGTCGCCCGTGCTGCCGCCGCCTCCCCCCCCCATGCCATACTACACCTGAGGCTTTATGGGTGGTGGCGGTGGTGGAGGCGCAGAATGGCCTTGGGCTTCACTCCCTCTTTGCTTGTCATGGCTCAGCCACAAAGTTCCCAGGTATGAGTATATCTTTCTGGGGTGGAGTAAGAGCATAGGTTATCGGGAGGCAATGTCACTCTGTCCTGAATGGGCAACTGACATCATTCATCTCAAGAAAATTTACCAACAAGAGCAGAAAATGTACCAATAGGAGCAATTCAACAATAACAGCAAGTCAATTGCAGCCATTTTATTCTGACAGGTCCCCATTAAATAGAGTGATCCATTCTAAATTCTTTTATTTTTTTATATTCCAAAAATAAAACTTTTTAGAGTTATTATTTTACTTTATTCTTTTAAAGTTTATTGATTAACAAAAATAAAGTTTAAGTAAAAAAAAAAAATCTGCAAGAAGCGCAGACAGCTGGTTTAGGCTGATGTGCGGCTTTCATTATAGATCTGAGCTCTATGTAAGTTTGTAAGCAATACTCTGTGACCTTGGTAAAGCCGTGGACATTAGACTCTGTGACATTGCCGGGTGTAAGGACGCAGCTTCACGAGGCCTTTTTCTATCATAAACATTTAACAGCCCATGAGACAAGTAAACAGCACTCCAGATACGACGCCAGTGAAGCATATTACGGTTGATTTGTGGAAGATACAGCGCGACGTGCGACAGGTGAGCAGCAGAACTTGCTTGTGTGTTTTATCTCCCTCCTAAAAGGGTCTACGACTTTCCATATAGCTTAATCCAGCCTTGCCTTGATCCTCAAAAATGATCTACCAACCCCTTCTCTAAAATCTTATTCTTTATTATGTTCATTTCCCCAAAAAAAACATTTCTAATATGTTAAAACTTGCAGCTTTCATTAAGCTAATACCTGGTAAGGTACCCTGTTCAAGCACTTCCTGTTAAAGGGTGACAACACTCTGATCCAGTCTCCAAATGGGGCTGCTGCGTTGTCACCATGATACATGGTGACAAGTTAGACTACAAGTGGTCGTTTCAGTACGCAGGCCCAGTCCACTATTATCCCTATTGCTATTACTATCCCTATTGCTATTACTATGCCTGTTAATTACTAATTACTATTCCTCCTACTATTACCATCCCTATTACTATTCCTATTACTGTGCCTGTTGCCATCACTGTTACTATCCCTATTACTATTACCACCCCTATTATTATTCCTATAACTATGCCTATCACTATTACTATTAGTATTACTATCCCTATTGCTATCACTAACACTGTTTTGTTGCATGAGCAGAAACAACAATTTCAATTATATACAATGGGGGGAATTTATCAAAACTGGAGCAGACTAAATCTGGAGCAGATTTGCACTGCAACCAATCAGCTTCTCTCTTTCATTTTTAAATCTTACCTGAACAAACTGAAGAGAGAAGCTGATTGGTTGCCATGGGTAACTGTTCCAGATTCTTCTGCTCCAGTTTTGATAAATTCCCCCCACTGTATGTATTTCTCTTATTACAACACTGGGGATGATCATGTGTTTATGGAAGGTAGCCCCTCCCGCTTTGCACTCTGTTTGTATAAGTCACTGCAGTGGCATGGCCTCATTTCTACAGTCAGCTCTGCAATAGGAGCGCAATGTGGGCAAAACTATATTGGAAGTATAGCGGGGCTTTCAGTATGAATGGTTCCAGTTTCTGCAGATGCCTGCCTTCCTCAGCTTCCTCCACAGTTTGATTTCAGTTTATTGTGAATCGCAGACCAGTTGTTAATCAGCAGTAGTGACTTTTATTCCTTTACAGCATTGCATAACGGAGGAGGTCAGGAGGATTTCCCGGGCACAGCCAACTCAGTCGTTCTCGAGCCTGCAGGCAACAAAAACAAATGTGTGTGTAATGTATGATTTATGATATAAATATATGGGCAAGCATATATTTTGTTGACATTGTTTTACCATTCCATCCATCAACGATTGTACGTTATTCTACATAATTCTGTGTGTATTCCATTACCGTATACTGATTCGCTACTAATATATATTTGTTGGAGCTTTTATTTTATTTTTTCATTGTTGCAGTATGCGTTTTATAAGGCAATGAATGGCTTAAAAGCATACAGAATTCATTTGAAGAAAGCTATTTAAGCTGCTTGGATTTATCAGCTTAAGTTTAAATACTCATTCTGCCCGCTGAAGCGGAACCTGGTTCCAATCTATAAACAATAAAACTATGATGAGAGTAAGACTCATAAATTCTCCATTGTACACTAAAAGGAAAAATTAATGTGTGCCTTTGCATATGTGTAAACGATCTGCTGCGATCGCTCCTTCCGACTCCTGGCGGCGCGCTGTAATTCTGGATATTGACACAAGCTTATGTACATACCGTATATCCTGCATTCGCTCAAAGGGTACCTGGAAGACAAAGCCCGGGCCGGTGTCACTTTATTCTTCTACCTGTTACATTCGTTGTGCTTTCTTCATTCTTTTTCTTTCGTATCGATTTATTAGCTGATTATTTGTATCGCATTTATCTTATTTAGGCATATCATTCCAAGATATTATCCAGCACGCTATATTATAGAGCTATTTACTTTGCACATGGTGGTCCAGGTCAGATGGGGAAGATTTTAGGTTGTCAAGTTGCATTGGAGCCTTGTTTGTTGGCACAGCATGGGGCTAACCATCAGCATTATAATTTGTAAAAAGTGGGTGTGGCTTCCGGTGGTGCTAGATCTCATATGCTTTGTCTCCTTCTATAAGGCCTTAGGGTTCCATCTCTCCAAGTGCAATGACTTTGCAGCTCTTAAAGCAAAACACACTAAGGGGGTTATTCACTAAGCTGCCGGAGGCAGCCTAGTGAATAAATAAGTCGTAGTGAAGTGAGCCGAACAACGTTCGGCTATTCACTACAGCTCAGTATGGCTGATTTCAGCCGTACATCGGCTGATTTCAGCCGTACAGTACAAAAGGACTTCGACCCAGCTGATGCAACATCTGGATCGGCTGAGCCGAAGCTCCGACAGCTCACTCGCTGCCGTTCGCCCCTATTCTCATAGGGGCTGAACGGCAGTGCGTGAATATCTGAATGCCACCGAGCGGCATTCAGCTCGGCTATTCTGCTCGGTACCTCCGTGATACAGAGCAAAAAAGCAATTCCATTAAAAGAGTAAAAAAAAATAATAATAAAGTTGTAAAAATATTTTTTAAAATGTAAATAAATGTTAAATCTAAAAAAAATTAAGATTTAAAAAAAAATTATTTTAAAAAAAAGGACAATTGGGCGGAGCTAGCAGTGACAGCTAGCTCTGCCCATCTGTTTCCTATTGGCCGGCACCTGCTAGAGTCTTCTAGCAGGTTCCAGCCAATGAATAACAACTGGGTGGAGGTGGCCCGTGAAGTTGGGGTTGGCTCTGTCCAGTTGTCATTGTTTAATGACAGTTCAACGTCCCCAGGTCATTTGGGGACGCTGATCTGTCATTACAACTGGGCGTAACCAGCCATGAGATCACGACTGGCTCTGCCCAGCTGTCATTTGCGAGGCATTCGGTCGGCCTTTGACCGGCTGATCGCCCCGCTTCGGCTGTCACTTCAGCTCAGTCGGGCCGAAGCATATGCCTTCGGCTCAGCTGAGCCGCACGGCCGCCTTTGACAGCTATACAGGCTATTGTGAATAATCCGTACAGCATCCCTTCGTTTCAACTGAACCGAAGGGCTCCCACAACCGAAGCTAGCCAAAGGATCAGCGGAATGCTTCGGTTGATCTTTCGGCTAGCTTTGTGAATAACCCCATAAGTGGTGTGTTTTAGGAAACATAGAACAAAGAAAAAGCAGGAACAATGATTAAGTCCAAGTAAGAGTAAGTAAGTCAACTTATTGCCAAAAAAGCCCATGCGTTTATAGAACATATAGTTACCCTCTTCATCAGGGCTTCACTGATTTAGGAGATTGGAATACACAGACTGTAGACAACTCTAAATTGTAGATAGATTTAAAGTACAAATAAAGGCAATGGCAATATTATGACAATTATTACGATTATGTATTTATTATTATTATGACTATTTATTATTATTCAGGATTATGCAGGGTTTATATAGTACCAACAGTTTGCACAGCTCTTTACAAAATGGAGGGAGACAGTACAGATACAATACAATTTCACTACAGGAGGGTTAGATGGCCCTGCTGAAGAGAGCTTAGAATCTAGTCGGAGGGGCAAATTATACAAAAGGTAATCATTGTGAGGGATGAGCTAATAGAAGAAGAAGGAGGAAAGTTATTATGTTGAGGTGGGATCAGCTTCCCTGAACATATGAGTTTTCAAGGACCTCCTTGAAAACTCTTTATTTCTTTTGTTTTTCGGACTTCAGATCCAAAATTTGATTCGGTTCGTTAATTAGATTTCGGATCCGTACGAATTTTCATTCTGAAACAAAGTCACATAACCGTGCCTGTAATGCAATCCCAACAGCCAAAAAAAAAAACCCTCATCTGATTGGCCAGAGAATGGTCACATGTCCATGTTGTCCTTTATTTACATAACTATATTAATATGCAGGTCTTACCTGAAGCAAAACTGACCCATGAGCTTAGGAAGCAAAATCAACAGCAGCCTGCTCAATGTGTCATTGAATGTGGACATGAGAAGTACAAAAATGACACTGCATTAAAAACAAGCAAGGATCGAGGTATGTTGTTAACCAAATCCTGTTTTCCAAGAAAACCCCTCCCATTTCTTGCTCTTCCTTTTTCCTTCCATTCCCTTTCCTTTCTTCTTCCCTTGCTTTTCTTTCCTTTCCTTTCATCTTCCCTCTCTTTCTTTTCCTTTCTTCCTCACACTATTTCCTTCCTTCTTGTCTTGCTTTATTTTCTTTCTTGCTTTTCTTTCTTTCTTTCTTTTCTCTTCCCTTCTTCCTTCCCTTTTTTCTTTCCTTCATCCTTCCCTTTTTCCTTTCCTTCCCTACTTCTTTCTTCCCTTTTTTTCCTTCCCTACTTCTTTTCCCTTTTTTCCCTTCCCTCCTTCTTCCTTCCCTTTTTCCTTTTCTTCCCTACTTCTTTCTTCCCTTTTTTCCCTTCCCTCACTCTTCCTTCCCTTTTTCCTATTCTTCCCTTTTTTCCCTTCCCTCCTTCTTCTTTCCCTTTTTCCTTTCCTTCCCTACTCCTTTCTTCCCTTTTTTCCTTCCCTACTTTTTTCTTTCCTTTTCTCCTTCTTTTTTTCTTATATCTTCTTATTTTCCTATCTTCCCTTCTTCCTTTCTTCATTCTTCACTTTTGTTTTCTTATCTTTTCTCTTTTTTTCTTCCTTCCCTTCTCCCTCCATTTCTTTTTTTTCCTTCCTTGCTTACCTTCCTTTTTTTCCCTTCCCTTCTTCCCCCTTTCCTCTCCAAATACAAATACTGGTATGCTAATAATATTGTTATCATATAGATTCAGATTCAGAGCAAGTAAATGAGAACGAATTCAGCCTTTCCGGGCTAAAAGCAATTTTCCATGAATCTAAAGATCTGTTATCCAATGAAAAGTCAGCAAGAGACATCCGTGCTTCCATTCGAGAAATCCATTCAACAATAGAAGCCAAACGGGATGCAGCAAATCTGGTGAAAGATCCTGTGGCTAAGAGGCGTTCCATGCAACACAGCCATTTAGTTAACCTGTTGCCATTATATGCTATAGACAAGGCTTATGAGAATCAGAAGAAAAATAATAAAGTAATCCAAAAAAGAAATTTGGTTGTTCAGATGCAAGCTGATAAAAAACAAGGAAAATATCGTATTGAAGAGTTTTTGGCGGCAAAAAGAAAACAAACCATGACCCAAAACCAGATAGACTGCGAGAAACTACAGCAAAGTGCACAGTACAATCTCCTGGATAAATCCAACATGGTTGACAACGTCAAATATCGGCATAAACAATTTCTTTATGGAAAGGAGGCCAGAAAATTAGAAAACATATCGGCCAGAGAATTTAACACCCAGCACACTTCTGTGACCAAAACTTTAATGAGGCATGATCGGCTAATAAGGTCTCATGAAGAAGTGCAAGGGAAAATGAAATTTGTGCAGGGTTTAAAAGAAGACCAGGAAAAGCAGAAAAAGTTCATCAGACGTCTCCAGGAACACAGGTAGGATATATCTTCAGTCATTACGGATTGCAAAATTGCAACAATGTAGCTAGGAGTTGAAGGCTGGAAGGTGGAGGCAGAGGGTATAGGATTAGTCAACACTATGACCTGTAGTCTCCCTGTAGCTGATCTACACCCATTACTAGACATGTGCATTCGGATTCGGACGAACCTGCAAATCAACAAAAATCAGTTGATTTGGCGGTTTGTCTGAATCCGAAATAACGAATGTAATATATCCCCGAATATACTAAAACGACATTCGGGCATACATAAATTTGTTTGCTGCCACCCTGTTCTGCACATGCCCGCCGCCATCTTGCAGCATATGACGTCACATGACTGTGACGTCACATGATGAACAAGCGGCCGCCGGCTCGTTCCGCGCATGTGCGTTGCCATTTAGTAGATCTAGGTCTGCACCAAGATGGCGACGCTCAAACATGCGGGCACTGCCATCTTGGTGTATACCAAAATCTACTACAAAATGGTCGCCGCTCGTTCTGCTGTTTCAGTATGCGGTTTCGGAGGCTCGTTGCCTCAGAATCCGAAACAACATAAACATTTGTTTCCTTTGACAAAGTAAATGAAAACGTTTTTCGTTTCCATTTGTTTCATCTGAAAACAAATGTTTTGGTTTTGCACATGTCTACCCATTACTGACTTACCATACCTTGTTCTACACAGTGCCCTTGTGTGGAGGCGGCCATCTTGCTAGAGGCAGGGTTTTGCTTCCTTATGTCAGAGCCTCCAGCTAGGAGAAAAGAGAGCTGCACAGTAATGACATCACAAATAGAAGACTCCTGACACTAGCAGTCCCTTAGCGCTCACATTATAGACATACAGCTATTAGGCTGTAGGCACAGCAGTGCCTAGGCACCCTCACATACTGCAAAGTTCAATGTTATTGGAAAAATTCCAGACAAAAAAAATAAATTTTCGGGTACTGCTTACGCTTAACTATTATCTCAATTTTTTTTAACTCAAAGGGTGTTTTTTTCTGAAATAAACCAGAGTTCCTGTTACACGGCCAGAATGGATGCATATCATGCTTAACGCGGTTATTTAATTGATTGTTTCGTCTAGTATGTTGTTCACCATTTACAAAGCCCTAGACCAGGAATCTTGAGATGTGACCATGTGCATTAGTCTGTTTAGAAACATTGACAAGGCAATTATATTTCTGTTTAGACCTAACGATTTCTTGTTAGGCCATAGGACATCACACACTACTTACATTCACCTATAATGGCATAACATATTCTTTTTTAACTGGGGGTCAATGCTTTTGTCTCTGCCTCACTCTTTCTTTGTTTACTGTTATCTAAGTTCGCAGAAAGCACAAGGGCAGCTTATGGAAATAAAGGATTTCATTTTTCATGAAAATTCTTGTATTATTTAAGGGCCCATTTACACTTCTGTGTTGCAGTAATGCCTGTGTTGCTGCACATTAAATGCTTTGCTTCATTGAGGTACCATTAATTTTGAGGCCAAACGTGCCACAACTCAAGGTAGGGCATTGCATTAAAATAAGGGTCATGTGTGCATTTAAGCACATTAAGATTTGGTAGCCCATCTATTTTGAAGGGGTCGTTTCAGCATATTAGGCAGACATGGTCCACTGTGGTCACGAAGAAGAACCCCAGCCTAATCATAGCCCCAACTTTTTGAGATGAGACAGAGGGAAACCTTTTAGTATAAATAATCTAGTCAAGGGACACTCTCCCAGTTACACGGACCATAAAGAATTGGCACACCAAAAAATGATTGGTGGAAAGGAAAATGTAAATGATATAAAGATGGTGACCATTCAGGGTCGATACTTTGAGTCACTAACCCAGAACAGGTATGCACATAAGACTTCTGATACCTGTATACTTGTTCCAGGCCAGTGATTCAGAAAGTACTGACAGCAGCAGGTGAGCATAATAGCCAGGCAACTAGCATAATTAGAAGGACTTCATCAATGGTAGCCTCCGCATTTCTCTTTGAAAGGTCTTCTTTATGGGTCTGAAAACGCTAAAGTTGAAGTCAATGATGTAACATACTTTAAAGAGTTAAACTGATACTTCTATTAATTGCAGGCAGCTGGTGCTCCAGGTTGAAAATGCTTCGGAAAAGTTTGCCCTGGACTCTCTCATTCTTCAGAAAGCCAATGGCAGGTTGCAGGATGCCCAAGGTCATGTCACAGCCATGAAAAGTCAGCATGTTATAGCAGAAGCCATGGATAAAGTCCCTGTCAAGCAGCCTGTTCCCAAGGAGACATATCTAAAACACTGATGCACTTAAAACAGAAAAATATTAATATTGTCCGCTGGTATGGAGCTTTCCATGTAGTCCCACCATTGACTTCTGCTTTTTCACGAAGCAGAAGTCACAATTCCATATTTTCCATGCAGTGCCACCTGATGGTGAAAGATGATGTTCCCTTTTCTCTGGTAATCTCTAAAGTGTACCTAAAGTCAAAAGTTTTTTTTATTACTTTTCAAAATATTTTATTGGTTTTTGACATTTTTCCAAAAAGGAATGTAACATTGAAACATGAGTGTTTACATATACATACATGAATGTCTTAAGCGTATACATTGAATTACATAATAAAACTGAACTGACAGTCTTGAGACAGCCACCGAGGGGACTAGTCGGTATATAAGCAAAAAATTCACATATAGCATCTTTAGGTGGCCACCAGAAAAACTTAAGGGGGTTATTTACAAAGCTGCCGAAGTCAGCCGAGTGAATAACCCAGCCGAAGTGAAGTGAGCTGAACTACGTTCGGCTGTTCACTCCGGCTCAGTACGGCTGATCGGCTGCCCTCGGCTGCACTTCGATCAGCCAAACATGTTCTGCATGTTCGGCTGAGCCAAAGTGCAGAAGGACTTCGACTCAGCCGATCCAACATCTGGATCGGCTGAGCCAAAGCTCCGGCAGCTCACTCGCTGCCGTTGGCCCCTATTTACAAAGGGGCCAACGGCAGTGAGTGAATAGCCGAATGCCGCTGAGCGAGTTAATGAATTATCAGCATTTTACATGCCACAGCAAAGTACTTCGTCCTCATTTTACATATAACAGCACCTTAGCCCATTGAAGGAACTGAGGGTGTAATACTCCCTTTTGTTGCACAGTTCCATTAAAAAAGAACTCCTGGAAGCACCCTAAATTTTGTAATCGTGTTATTTGCTTTACACGATTTGTGTTCCAATAAATCAAATATTTTTTATAAATGCATAATTTGTACTGTATCATTATTTATTTGGTATTTTGTCCATTGTAAATGGTTTCTCTTATTTTTAGATGTATCCAGTTCTCTTGTTTCCTGAAGGTTTATCCAAAATGCAGGCAAGTTGAGGTAGTTTTCAGTTTTCTGATTTTGGAAATGGATATTCCTGGCTGGAGATAAGGTGTCTATTCTGCAGAAGGGGGGTAGCTTAGTATTATTATTATTACATAGTATTTCTATAGCGCCAACAGTTTGTGCAGCGCTTTACAATATAAGGAAGACATTACAATCACAATACAAATCAAGACAAGATGGTAAAGATACACAACATTTATATTTAGCCCTGATGGAGAAGTCTTGTAACCCCGAAATGTTTTGACTTAAATAATTTATACTGCAGAAGGGGGTTAGCTTAGTATATACACAGGGTTATTCACAAAGGGGTGCAGAGTTTGGAGAAGGCAGGAGAAGTGAACAATCTAGACCAAAATAGCTAATTTGGAAAAACTCTCCAATTCAGCTCCCTTTCCAGTTCAGCTATGTTGTCCTGGATTGTTCCCTTCTCCCGCCTTCTCCAAACTCTTCACCCTTTTGTGAATAACCTTGACAATGTTTCTATTTCACCCTGGGGAAGGAGAAGCCTTGTAGACCCAAAATGTGTTGACTTAAATTGTTTGTACTGCAGAAGGGGGTTAGCTTAGTATATACAATGTTTATATTCAGTGCTGGTCGACAAAAAGTCTTGTAGCCCAAAAACGTTTTGACTTCATTGATGGAGGAGGAAAGTTCAAAACAAACCTTTATATTTTGTTTTCGAAAGCTCAGTTAAAGCTTGGAACAGACTCCCAGAAAAGGTAGGGAGTCAATCAACAGTAAGTCAAGTGAAATATGTTTAGTGTTAAACAATAACCAAAAGAGACCCCACCAGCTTGATGGACAACTTAATCTTCTATGTTGCTACATAAATACACTTGGACTCATATTCCGGGGCAGTAGTACTCTTGTTCTCTCTACACTTCCAGAAAGTACTGAAGCCATTGGCTGAGCACAATAGCAAGTAGACATGTAAGCTGCGGAAAAATTTACTTTGGATATTTCGGAATTCGGGATTTGGATGCGAAATTCGGACCGGGTTTCGGACTCGGACAAAATCGGAATTTTCGTTAGTTTCGGATGAGTTTACGAATATACGCTACGAATGCCACAGAAAACCATATACAGATATTAATACTAAAGCTGAATCTCCCAGAACCCGAATGGCATTCAGGATCCGAATTTCCGAATTGCATTTGGGAGCTCCCGAATGCCCTTCGGGTCTGGCAGCCGCAGCTTTAGTAATATATGTATATGGCTTTCAGACCCGAATGGCATTCAGAAGCTCCTGAATGCGATTCAGAAATTTGGATCCCGAATGCCATTCGGGTCTGGGAGCCATATACATATATTACTAAAGCTGAGGCTCCCCGAACCCGAATTACATTCGGGCGCTCCCGAATGCAATTCGGAAATTCAGATCCCGAATGCCATTCGTGTCTAGAAGTCTCAGCTTTAGTATTGTATATAGACATGAAAACTGAATCGAATATGTGACTTTTCTGGCCAATCAGATGTGTTTTTCCGTTTAATGCATCCGAATGGGTAACACAAATTTTCGTTACGGCTCCCATGTTGCCGTAACAAAAATTTGTGTTACCCATTCGGATGCATTAAACTGAAAAACACATCTGATTGGCCAGAAAAGTCACATGTCCGATTCAGTTTCGTTGTTTAATGATATTCGGACGGGGATACGAAATTCGGAAACGGAAATTCGGATTTGGACACACTGGGATGCATTGAGATTCGTAAATTCGGATGTGTCCGAATGTCCGACTTTCGGAAAATTCGAATCGCACATGTCTAATTTTCAGATTGAGGTCCCGTTTTCAAGGGTTTGTATTCTTTTACTGAATATTATTAGATATTGTTTACCACATGGAGACGGATCCACAATACCCGACTTCTAAAATGTCCTCATTGTTTTCCTCCTGTGTAGGGAAGTGTATCCTGTGATTGTCATGTCAACGAATGAACCGTCCTCTCCTGAGATTCCCACCACTTGTCACTCTTGTGAGGTTCAGCGCTAATTTTTTCCATGCAGCTCTCAGTTGTCAGTCCCCCCCGCTGTCTATGAAAATCACACAGACGCACTTTCTGGAGGCTTGCTTTCATTCCTCACGCACGATTAATTCATTGACAATGTGAGACAACAGCTTATTCATCAAAGTCATACGGGAATGGCGTGTGTGCCCTCATGCTCCAATGATGGAGATTCTCTGCCATGCACAGTGAGGGCAGGAAGATGGCCGAGCCCCCATGAGAGTTGCCCCCTAAATAAATGTAAAAAAAGAATTGTCATTCCTATTGCAGCAGAAATTAGGTTTGAGCTCCTGTTCTGTCTCCAGGTCCTTATGAGGGATAGCTCAAAGAAAACCTGTTATGGGAGTAACACCCAGGCTGCCATCACTGAATGCTAGTTGCCTGGCTGCCATGGGCATGTCCCAGGTCAGTAAATACTTTCCTTGTCGCACTCCTTACCGAATGTCCTTTGTAGTGGTGGTGGTGGTGGGGGGTGTTCGTAGTGACTGCAGATGGCGCCGCAAATATCAGCAATTATGTATAGATGTCACCAGCACACCAACATCCTTTAGGATAACCAAGTGTTCATTTATTGAAGATTCTTGTCATATAAACAAGTGCATTCGGGGCCGCAGAGGGTCCCTTCATCAGGCTTAGCATAGACTAAGCCTTCTCTTCAAAAAATGAACACATTCTTATCCTAAAGGATTTTGGTGTGTTGGTGACATCTATACATGTTCCAGGTCAGTGACTCAGACAATTCAAGTCCATAGATCAAAATTAGGAATAACATTTTGGTGAAAAGCCTTGGAGTCAATGAGAAAGGCGAAATTAAAGCATGTCTAGATCCAAAAACAAATATGTAATATATTGCAACACGTTTTAGATGTGGTGGCTGAATTAGCTTTCTTTTTATAGGCTTTTTTTACCTTTAGTTTCAACTGGCGATACTTCCAGGAACACACAGTTGACAATCCTCACTTACTGTACTCTATCGGTAGAGAAGCAAGGTTGTCACCCTAAGCCAGACTTTCTCAACAAGGGTTCAATGGGATCCTAGGGTTCCTCCAAAGGTTGCTAGGGGTTACATAAGCAATAAGCAATTTCTATCTCTCAGATAAATAACCGCTGATACCAATGATATTTTAGCTGTCTGTAATGAAGACTTTCTTCCTAATGACTACCAGTGTGAGGTGGGCTTTGCCCCAGTGACAACCCTGGCCTGTGCAGAGTGGCTGACAATTAGAAACACAGGTGATGCTTCTCCCACTGTCCACCAATGTAAGGGGGTCCTTCTGCATTGACCTCCAATGTAAGTGGGTCCTTCTCCACTGACCTTCTATGTAATTAGGTCCTTTTTCAGTGACCTCCAATGTAAGGGAGTCTCTCTCTACTGACCTGCAATGTAAGGGGGTCCTCCTCCACTGACCTCCTATGTATCTCATATGTCATCTTACTGTCCATACTGATGTACCGTGAGCTGAAGATACAATTATTATTAGCAGGGTTTCCCTGAGAGCTGAAAGTTATTGGAGGGTTCCTTAATATTGAAAGGTTGAGAAAGGCTTAAGCTGCTCTTCTGCTTTGGTCTACACACCTCTCCATCTCCCCATCTCCACTGAATAAGGAGGGTGGGGGGGGGGGGGTTCTGTTAACAGAAGATAACTGGGAAGGCTGATAAAATAGTTTGAGATTGTAGTGCAGTGTATAGGAAGTTATACTGACCCTCCTCCCATTCCCCCCTCCCCCCTGAAAAAGGGGGGGGGGGGGGGGGTGTTCTGTTAACAGAAGATAACTGGGAAGGCTGATAAAATAGTTTGAGATTGTAGTGCAGTGTATAGGAAGTTATACTGACCCTAGATTTCTGGCAGGGAATTGTTTCAGTATTTGCATTAAAAAAAACGAATGCACCCAGCACGTCTAAGGACTGGTAAGATACAAT